TATTGTAACACTGAAATGCACTCAATGTGATGCATGGATACACCATTTTCGTTGTTCTGTAGCAAACGGACAACACCATTTATTTGATCATAGTATCATCACCATTGGTTATAGTACTCACATGACCAAGACAAGAAACGAATGTGATCTACAGAATATTGTATTTCCATGAGAACACTCACTTTTCCTTATGTCCTCAAGTGGCCAACTAGTTTCTTAACCATAGCATCGGATTGGATCTTTGCAACCTTTCTCAGCTGATTGCCTGAGACCCATCCGACCTCCTTTCGCCAGGTATTGCTGGTGGTAGTTCTCTGCTCTGTAGAATTTCGTGGCGGGAAGTATCTCAGTCACAATCTTCTTGTTCAAGATCTTCTCCTGTTTCTCCACTGCTTCACGAGCTATCTTCTCTTGCTCGTCTGTGTAATAGTATATCCCTGATCGGTACTGCGTCCCCACATCATTCCCCTACTCAATCAAACAAATACGTCAGCACCATATGTAAATGACCTCAACAACAATCCTAGATTCATCCTCAAATACACAGAGCGTCTAATCTCACATCACAGTTACTGATTCCAAATGTAATTCAAATTGAGATGAGATAAAGTCTAAAACTTTTGAGGGTAAAGCTATGACCTGGCGATTCAAGGTGGTTGGATCATGGCGATCCCAGAAGACATCGAGCAAGCTCTCAAAGCTGCAATCTTTGGGATCGTACTGAACTCTAACGACCTCGTTGTGTCCCGTCGTGCCCGTACAGACATCCTCGTAGCTCGGATTGTGGACGAGGCCATGGCTATAACCAACCTCGGTCTTCGTCACACCAGGGACTCTCTGGTAAGCTAGCTCAACTCCCCAGAAGCAACCGGCGCCGAATTGCGCGAATTGCTGACCTGGCGACGGAACATCATCGTCGGGTCCTTGGGCGATTGCGGCGGAAGCCGGGTCGGGTTGGGGACGTGACCCGAATCCGAGCCTGTTGAAGAGGTTGTTCATCGGGGATTTGTAGACGGAGATGGGTCGAGCGGTTTTGGGGAAAGGGCAGACGGGTTTGGCTCTAGATAGAGGGAGCGCGGCTTTAGTGAGAGAATGGAGGGGTTTAGAGAGAGAAGCGGCGGAGATGACCGGAGGAGAGGCAACGAGAGCCAGCATTATCGAAGGGAAGGGGGAGTGGAGTGACGTGGGAAAATTGGAACTTTAAGAGTTCGGATATTTTTCTATCTTAAAATTTTCATTTTTTACGCTCGAATTTGTCGCCACTTTTCTAGAATATTGCGGAATGATAATCTGTAATACTTGATGTTTTAGAGTTTACACATAAATTAAGAAGTAATTAATATTTAACTTTTTCATTTTAAATAATTATCCGCCAATAAAAATTATAGATTTCTCTAATGCAACATTTATTAATAAAAAATAACTTTAAAAGCTAAAAACATAAATACATGAAACAAAAAAAGAAAAGTTTAAACATCAAATATTAAAAAACAGATGGAGTATATTTCAACTCTTTTATATTGGTTGAGAATTGACACGCTCACAAAAATACTCATGTTTGATCGCGCTAAAGTAGAAAAAAAAGAGTTAATTCTAACAGAGAAGGTTTTAAGAGAATTTAGGGAATTCAATGATAGAATTCACGTGATCAACGAAGTAGAAGATGAAAGTTTTTTTGAATTTTGGGAAGCAGTGGATGCCAATTCCATAAAAACACCATAATTGATGAGACCATGAGGATCTCAACTTCCAAGAACTTCAAAACAAAATTGCAAAGTTAAAAAAAAAAGCATTATTGACTGTGTGTGAATTCTTGAAGCCACAATCTGAAAAGTACAAAAAATGTACAATGGAAGTGTGTCCATTTTTGGTGAGTGGTACTTGGTGAATGGTGCAGGTTCAAAACTACTTGGAATGATCTCCAGCAGCATGGATCAAGGGCCATAACAATATTGAAGAAAAATATATATCTAAATTTTTTGTTCATTGTGTTTAGCAGCTTGAAATGTGATCCATCTGCTAGAAACAATTTTTTTTTTCTTTTTTATGTCATTTTGTCTTTTGGAATTGTGTTCATGAACGATTTGTGTCATTGAGACTATTCTGCCAAATAAAGAAAGTTTTTGTCATACTAATTACCATAAACATCTTGAGCTAAGTTAAGTTATGCCTCAGTCTCCAAAGAAGCGCACTCGGAAAAATGGAGGATGTTTAGAGATCATTTATTGGATCATTAATGTATTTGGTCGATTGGTAACAACTAAAAATACCTTGCTTAACGAAACCTTACATCTGTTAACACGAAAGTTACCTTATTTTATTAATGAAGTTCGAAATTAGTTTTTCATTTGCTTAGTTAAGTGCTGTTGTTCTTCATAAAGCCACAATCAGAGGAGAAACAGAGTACATACATTATATATACATATGAAAGGCAAACGGTTTTATGCATTTTTCATCATAATTAAGATAGTCTTGGCTTCTTGGGTTTGGAAGGAATTTACGAAAGGCCCGACCTCATATAAATCAGCCCAATACATGGTCCGTTTCGAGTGTACGTTCGGTTCAGTTCCAACGCCACATTCAGAAGTGAGACAAGAAAAACAAACGTGTCCTCAAGTAGACCCCTCTCGTTTACACATGCAAGTGCTGCATGGTGACGCCATTAACACGTGTCGTATATTGCATGATGACGCCATTGACACGTGACTTTTCTCGCCTCCCTTCTCATCATATATCTATTCAATTTAACACTCGCAGCTATTCCAACACATACACACATCCGATCTCTCAAATTTCGATATCTCCTTTCTCTAGTCAAACAAGAGCAAAAAATGGCGGACACAGCTAGAACAACTCATCACGATATCGTCGGCCGAGACCAGTACCCTATAGTGGGTCGAGACCGAGACCAGTACGGCCTCCAGTACCGAGACCAGTACGGTCGTGGTGGTGACTACTCCAAGTCTAGGCAGATTGCTAAAGCCGCTACTGCTGTCACCGCCGGTGGATCCCTCCTTGTCCTCTCCAGCCTCACCCTTGTCGGAACAGTCATTGCTTTGACTGTTGCAACTCCTCTCCTTGTTATCTTCAGCCCAATCCTCGTCCCTGCTCTCATCACAGTAGCTCTCATCGTCACCGGATTCCTCTCTTCCGGTGGGTTTGGCATTGCTGCTATCACCGTCTTCTCTTGGATGTACAAGTAAGCACTCATGTCAATATCATCATCTAGTTTGTTATGCCTCTGTCTATATGTAAAGGCGTTGTGTATGATATTGATGCATGGATGTGTGTGATGGTGATGAAAAGGTATGCAACGGGAGAGCACCCACAGGGATCAGACAGGCTGGACAGTGCAAGGATGAAGTTGGGAAGCAAAGCTCAGGATCTTAAAGACAGAGCTAGCTACTACGGACAGCAACAACATACAGGTGAGCACGACCGTGACCGCACCCGTGGCACCCAGCACACCACTTAAATGACGATGTTGTTGTCATCGTCACAGTCCAATAACTCCGATGTCGGGGAGTCGAGGTCAAGAGGAATAAGGTGTTTAAGAATTTGATAGGGGGGGGATAATAAAAGCCGATATCACGAGTTTGTTTCTTTTTTTGTTATAAATAATGTTTCAAGTGTCTTTTCTCTTGTCAAATGGTACCATGTTTTTTTTTTTTTTTTTTTTTTTTGCTTCTTGTTTTCATTTTGTAAACGTTGTTGTGTTGGCTCGTTTGTAAGTGGTTACGTTTATATGGATAATGTTCTGTTTTGTGAAACTTCATTCCGTTAGGTGAAACTTTCGATATTTTGTTATGTTGTGGACTGCCTCTCGGATGTGCCTGATGGGGATGTTTAAGACCAAATGAAGGACTTCCTACTTATGCTGAATTAACCGATTGGAATTTTCAACTACACCAAGTATATTATGTTTACATGTTTTGCTTAATTTAATTGTTAATTTTTTTAAAAAAATCTTATGTTCCTTAATCAAAACATCGATTTTTTGTTGCTAAATTAACTTCAAACCATAACCAGTGTGTTATTTAGGAAACATAAAATTTCTAATGGTTTGATATGTTTCATAAAGTGAAAGCAGTTTCAAGCTAACACTCAAATTTGTAGAGGCCAATACAAAACACTCAAAATGGGGAATTGGAGCTTCTGTTGATAATCTGAAAAGTGACATATAGTGGAACAACACGTATAAGCACTCGTGATAAGACAAGGGAAACAAGATACACCACCATCTTTAATAGTATAGATGTATTGCTTTATTACTTCCATTACACAAATTATTGTATCCCTCAGAATCTAATCAAACGTGTATAGCTTTACCACTTCCATTAAACAAATTATGGTATTCCTCAGAATCTCTGGATGGTGTGTGTCCATCCCATTTTTTTATTCATACTTGCAGTTAAAAGTCACAGACAAATTATATTTTGTGTTGTTTAGTGTCTTCCTCACAAACAACATAATTCTTGAACCAGAGGAAGCTAATTGGCATTTTTGCATCTTTATAAATTGTTGTTGGAACAAGCTCTCTTAACAAAGAACTGAAGTCATTAGCACATACATATATAGCAAGTAACTACATGGCAACCCAAACTTTCAAAAACAGCAGGTTGCTTCATTGGTCACCCGGAATTAGCCCTGAATAGTCGAATTAGAGTTTTCCCAACTTCAGGGGATATAATACATTGGATTCGGAAGTTTGAAAGACCTCTCCGACATTGCAAAACCCAACAAATCACTCCATTGATCACCTGAATTGCCTCTGATCCTATACCCTTCTTTCACCATCTCTTCCCTCTTCTCCGACTTGTACACGGTCGCCGTCTTGCGCTCATCATCCGACGACCTGTTCCCATTACACACCAAATGAAACCGTTAGATCATCCAAACAGAAGATCAAACAATGTCAAGTTATCAAGAATTAGATACAAACTTAATTATGAGCTACATCGTACCTCAGGATAAGCTCGTCCCAGTTACGGAAACCGGTATTGAGGAGGTTCTCGACGGTCACAGCCCTGTGGATCTCTCTCCGCCCTGTAAGCAGGACAATTTTGTACCCCAAATCTTTAACCTTTTGGTAAAGTTTCAAGCTTGGTGCTATGGCAGGTGCAACACCTTTCTCCACCCACTTATCAAACTTGAAATGATCAAAAGCTTCCAACCTGAAAAATTCCCAAACAGAAATTCAGTAAACGAACACAGATTCACATTTAACAGTTTCTAGATTATCTTGTAGATGATATCAATTGAAAAAGACAGACGACCCAAATCTCTAGATTCATCAATATAAAATTATTATTAAAAAAGAAACAATTTTTTAGCGATATTGTTGAGGAGATTGAAGAGAAATAATTACCCACAACCGTGTTCTAGATAATACGGAAGATTCGATAAGAGAGTCTCATCGATATCGAAAATCCAAATATCTTTCCCGTCACCGGCAAATCCGAAGCTGCTCGCGTAAACCATAGACTCTTCCGAGACTCTCTCCAGATCGACGACGTAGCCTTTACCCGTCAGGTAGTTTTTCACGTAATCGGCGCATTCCGTCGGAATCGTTTTCCACGGCGCGAGGTTGTTCGTCTCCGCCGCGAATCTCCAGCTCGTGCAATGCACATTGACATTGTCGTTGTCGACGCTCTTGAGCATGGTTCGAGAACGTAGCCCTTAAAAGTATCTAACGGAAGAGAAAGAGGAGCCTTCTGCTTTGCATCTAAGCCTTCAGCAAGGTCAGCATAATATTCAAAACATCCAGCAACATCATCCTGCAAGGGTTACAAGCAACCACGTATGACATTTGAATCACAAACTTGCCAAAATATTCACAAAAAGCAAAGTGAGAATACCATGTCCCATGCTGCTTCCTCTAGAGGTTTACCACAATCAATAGCCTCAAGATTAGCTAGTTCAGACTTTCTCTCTGTTACCTGGATATGGACGTACATATGACAACACAAACAGTTACAGTATGCTATGGAAAGAATGCAACATGAGAGGCACATAGATTTGGTACCTTAGCTGCAATAGCACGTAAGTATTTGGCACGAACAGCTCCAGATGCTTTAGCCCAATCTTTTCCTTTGTTCCTAGTAAGAGCTTTCCTAGCAGCTTCCACCGCCAGCTCCACATCTTCAGAAGTTGCAGCTGGAATATAGCCTAAAACACCACCAATCCAAAGTTTAATTTTAAGAAACTTTAAACACTAACGAAGAACTCCATCAGCATAAGAGGAAATCCAAAAGTTCAACTGGATATCTTCTCCTCCTACATAACCACACAGATCTGACGCAAAAACAGCTTCCGATCCAGTTCATAAACCCGCAATCACAGAAGAAATTATGATCATCGCAAGCAGCTAAAGTTCAAAGGTCTATGAATTTGCGAATCAAGTATACAGTAAATAGGAAATTCATAGTCCTTATCTCAGCTGATTGAATCGAAAACTCGCGGAAATTGATTGATCCAGTTCAAAAAGTGAGCAAACCGAGAAAGAAAAAACTACCGATGATGTCTTCGGTAGCGGGATTGACAACAGGGAGAGTTTTACGGCGGACGGGCTCTGTCCATTGACCGCCGATGAAGAGTTGCCGTCTCGGCACCGTAATCGCCATACTCTCTCTCTCTGCTACTAGAGGAGGTGAAGCTACTAAATCAATCAATCGATCGTTGGACTTTCTTTTTTCGTTGTCGATATCTTTGCCGATTTTCTTATCAGTGTTTTAAAATGTTGCTTTGTTAAATTGGTTTATTATTTAAATAGTAGTCGGTCTTCAAATCGTGCCCAACATGTGGCCAATAGCGAAATACTTTCTTCGATCGGAGTATATAAAATTAATTAAGCCATTAAAAAAATGTATATTCCGATCTTCACAGAATCAAACAATTCAGCCCATTCCACGGAACGATAAAAAGATCACAAGAATCCAAAAACGATATCGAAAAGTCTTAATCAATCCAAAATATACAACAAATCCAATTTTTTATTCATAGGTGAAATCGAAACAGAATTAGAGAGAGAGAAATGAATCAATTCTTGGTGGTGGTTTTGTGATACTTGTCTTTGACCCAATTAAGACCCAGCGACGTTCCTATCTTCACCTTTTTCAACCCCGAACTCGCCGCCGCTTTCGTCTTCCCCAATCCAGCTCCCACCTTCTCCTTATACTTCGCCGACGATGATGTACCGCCGTTTTTACCGCCGTCGGTCTTGTTTCCCGACGGTTGACTGCTGTCCCACTGATCGGCCCAAGAATTTTTCTCCATATTGTCTATGTGAGAGAGAGAGAGAGAGAGAGAAGAGAGAGAGAGATTTGGATTAGGTGATAAAACGTATTTTATTTAATTAAAATCGTGATTAATAAACAAGACACGCATTTTATAAGGTTTGTTGGGGTAGAGAGAAGATCTAATTAATTTAAACAAGCTGGCAATAATCAAAAATATTTTGTGGAGTATTGTGATTAAATGGTAATTAAACTGAATCTGTATTATGTTTATCTTTTCGTTACGTGTGTGTATAATAAATTAATGATATTTCCTAGTACAGATTATGAAATAGTCTCATTATGTACATTTTGTATTTAGTTAATGCAAACTTTGTGCTTATCTCTTTGACTTTCCAGAGTCTTTCCTCTGTAAATGCAGTAAATACATTTCTTCTTTCCACGATTTTTGTTTCCTTCTCTCTTAGCAAATCCTAAGTTTTATCTACATGTCACCTAATTACGGTCCTTAAGACGGTTAAAAACTATGGGCCTCATCCAATATCCCATATTGGGCCAATATTTTTGGGCTTATCGCAAACAGCTGAGAATTTGAATTTGCTTTGTCTTTGTTTTAACCAAAAACATAGGCTAATCAATCATCCAAGTCAGTCTAATCCGCTTTTAAAATCTGCAAAACCCACAAATTATTGGCCTTTATTCAGATTTATCTTTAAATCAAAATAAAAAGTATACTTACAAGTTACAACAATCAGAGATAAAATGTATATATAAATTAAACATTTCATAGGTAGATAGCAGGAGTAAATAAATTATGTACTAACACTTATAAAATCGTCCCATCAAAATGTGTATGTAAAATATGAAAGCAAAAGTTTAAATCATATGAACTAGGATATTGAGTATATAACTAAATGTCAATGATATATTGTTTCATGGATCACGGAACATACGTGCATGAATGCATGATACCTCTCAGTAGTCAGTGAACCTAGTTGGTTTTGTGAGAGCTTGACTTTGATTGACCGATCTATGCCATTGTCTTAGGATGCTAAAACGCTTAAGTGCAATGTTGGCCTTGTATTACTCGAATAAAGGTTGCTAGCCGGATTGTCTAAGAAGTTATCTTGTTTCTTTATCCTCAAGAACACTCTTTTGCATATTTTTAAGTAAAGATCGCGTATTGACTTCTCCGGAAAACCGAGAGACCCGTTTTGGTTAGTCGGAATGATTTTGATGTGATAAATCCATATATCGTTGTTTGATTGGAATGTGCAAAATATCTCCGAATAAAATGTGAAAGACATTTCATTTGCTTTTACATTTTAGATTTTTTTCATTCTTTGTTACTCGTGCAAGATGGAAAGATTCACTTATGAATTTTGAGATTTGTGATAATAGTTAATAATTTGGCGAGAGAGTTCAGAATGGTGTATAGAGACATTTAGCAACTTTTCGTCACTCTTTTTAAGGTACTATTAAAATGTAGTGCACATACATAATCAATTAATAAAGCAATCGTTATTAACTTCCAAACCCCCACCAACTCATAATACCTTACTATTTTCTTCAAAATTTTGATTTTCAGACTTAAACCCGAAACCCAAAGTGTCTACTTGAATAAACTGATTTCAACGGATGCAACAACAAGAAGGCACGCTTATTTGAGCCATTGCACATCTAAAAACAAAAATATGTTTGGTATATTTTTTCGTCTGTTTCTGTTTGTTATGTAGTTTTCGAAACTTAAAAGTAATGCTTAACATCGTGTTTGAAAATTGAAAATTTGAAATACTATGGTCTAAATATTAAGCGGAACATATTTGTGTAAATCGGATGTGTTGTGGAAAACTTAATAGATACAGAAATGGTACATTCGCTATGATGTGGAGTAAAACCGACAAGAAAAAAACACCAATAAATGTGTCTCGAGGAGGAGATCTTACGAATTCTTAAATGTATACGTCCAAATATCGAACGAGAAACTTATGGGTATGTAAATGTACGTACACATTTCTTAGTCACACTAGCCATCATAACATTCTTTGACCGTACCAAAGCGACACAATCATTCGTATATAAGGAATGATCTACCACATATATATATATATATATATCATCTATATCATCTATATACTTTCCCATATAATATATATGTTATATATATATATCAATATGACATGAACATGCTTCATGTTTTTTATCAAAAAAAGAACAAGCTTCATGCTTTAAATTTCACGAAACATTATTCACCACTTCCACGCATCATTAATGATACACCGACGATGAGGCAATTCAGCTGGCAAATGAACAAATTCAGCATACATATACATATACATAAATCGTTGTTCGTATATAACAGATTATTTATTACCTTGTGTTAGATTTTCATCGAGCCGTGAGAAAATTATCCAAAATGCATAAAATGATACAACCATCATATATGGGACATAATTCATTGAGTAGTATTTAATAGAAGATCGATCATAGACATATAGTGATACATGTAGATTCATAAATCTAAAAAAGCCAAACGAAAACACCGATCGAAAAAGAGAAATCCAGAAGAAAAGAAGAAGCAGCAAATAGAAGAACAAAAGGTAGTCAAAAGAAAAAGAAACACAAAAAAAAAGAGAAGAAAGAGGTAACAAAAACACACTTGATTAGAAGATCGCTTTAAGCAGCGAAGGATCGGACCGAGACGCTTGATTCCCCTTTCGGATCTCGTACGCACACGTGGGTGATGATACAAACATATGATGATATGATCTGATCAAGAATCGATCTAAATGAAAAAGTAGAGTGAGATGAGGTAAACCCTAATCTTAATATATCGATGATTATGATGATAATCAACAACTTCTTCTTCTTTTTCTTGGGATTCTTGATCTTTGGTTTGTGTGATGGTATCTTCTTCTTGGGTACTGGGACTTGGGATGTGAAGAGAAAGAAGAAGGAGAAGAAGACGACGAAGATGAAGATGAATCATCATCATCACTACCATCATGATGTGGGGAATTAAAGTGGAGGTAGAGAGAGAGAGAAGTATGGTTGTAATGATGATGAGGGATGAATAGAAGTCAGAGGTAGGGGAGGAAACTTATCATTACCACTTTGAACAAAATGTTTTCTAGCTTCTCTTTTTTTTGGGCCTCCAAGTAATATCCTAAGTCCTAACCCTATCTTTATGCCCTTGAGCTTTTCTCTCTCTAGAGTTGTGAGGAGAGAAATAGAGGGAGAGACAGAAATGCGTTTGTGAATAATTGTGATAGGAGGAGTAATACTTTTTCTAATTGCCAAAAAAGAAACACACAATATGTAGTACCTTTTTTTACATGATCTCTACTTTATACTAATTTTATTAGGATCTGTTAAAGAAACACAATATGTATCTAATTATATATAAACTATGTTGATTCATAACTTTCTGAAAAAACAAAAGACAATTCGATTTTATCGTTTCAAGTTTCAAACGGCATAATTTTTAGGAGTCATGATTTATATTGACATTTTATCTGTTACTATTTTATAAGTGCAACTAAGAGTAAATCTCGTAAATCAAAACACATCAAAAAAGAATAAAGAACAAATGTCGCCAGATTTAACAGAACGTAACTATCTAACTAGTAGAATCACACTAGCACAAATACAAATATTTTGATGACCTTCTTAACATTCTTCTACTGGAAAGTGTAGAGTAACACAAATCCTTCAGCCTCGAATATATTCGAGCTTGGTTTTCTTCCAAATTGGTGTTCCCTTTTAAAATTTTAACGTATGCCTTATATTTTAAGTTCATTTGAATTTTAAAGTAACGATTATTATTTTTTTTTTTCCTAAAGAAATGCTAAAGGATGGATCAAACTTTTTGATCGATCGGGCTTATTCTAAAAGCACATGGATATTCTTTCTATATGCAAAAACATTATGTCGAATCCATTAACCAACTTTTTCAGTTCATTCTCAGTGCTTTATTTTTTCCTACTTTAAAGTTTAAATTGATTAATATCAACAATATTCTAAGTTAAAGGGGTCTTTCCACCAAACGTGACATGTCTGTTTCTTAGTTGTAATTAGAAATACGCTAGTTTACTATGAATGCATCAAGATCTAAATCATTGCTGGCAATAAGAAAATCCCATAGTCACTATTTACTTATTAGGTTTTTTAATTGTGTTTTGAGTTTGATTACTCACTCTATGAATCGTGCTCACTCACTATCTTCGACATATTAGTATTATCTTCTGGACACAATTTATAATACATATTTGTAATAGCTTATAAACTGTAAATTACTATTATATTTTATATCAATACTCATTTAAAAGGACAATTTCTATCTTTGCAGCAAAATGTACTTATAAGCACAGACCAAGTTGTTATAGTTTCCTCAAACTATGTAAATGTAATGTTAAGACTTGATAGTCTAGGCTAACATTCAATCAGTGTAATTTTTTCATTATTTGATCAATGTCATAATTTGAAATATTGTTCGGTTTGCTCCGACTACGGGGACTAGTGGACTACGAATGTACTTTTAGCTATTTTTTGTTTTCGTTGAGAAAAACTCATATACTCTTAGCTATTTCAACATTAAACTTGCATGCAAACAAGATTTATAATCATTTATATTTTAATATAGTAAGATAGAAGAAGAAAATCATAGAATTACTCTACCACATTTTAGTGATCATCCTACCATATTTTCTACTTTCACAATTTTTTTTTTCTTTCTTTCCGCAATAAAATTGTCTTTCTAGTCAACTGAATTTACTGACGAAAGGAAAAGGCTGTTTGTGACTGTATTTGGGGAGTAAATAGATTACTAAATTGCTAATAACATGAGCTTTATTGGGTTTAGTTAAAGAAGGAGAATTTTTTGGCAGTCCATGTCTTATTATACTCTACCATAAGCCATTTAGTTATCCATATTCATCTGTTATTAAAATTTAAAAGTGACGACAGTCAGAGGACAAAAAAAAAGTAATGACAGAGGAATCAAAATCATGAAACTCAGGAAAGGCAGTGCCTTGAAACCACCAGAGAGAGAGAATGAGGTTTTTATTTATTTTCCTGTAAAAGCAACCTCAATTTATGCAATTATCTTTCTGCCATTCTTTTAAAACAGTATACTATTAAAAAAAAAAAGTTTAGAAGAAACAAAGATAAAGAATGAACTTATCTAAAAGAAATGCTGTTTCTTGAAATTCGGAATTTCCCCCTCAAAAGTACTAAAATGTCAGCGTTCTTATTATGAATAAACAAGTGCTAATATGTTGTGGACTTGTGGGCGCGCAATGCGCATGGCAAAACTTTACTTCTAGCAAAACAAGTTAATTCAAACCTTTTGGGTTTATTACATGAATTATATGATTATATCCTTCGTAATTTTGAATGTGCACCCCACTTGAAAAATGTACTTGTGAAACCATATTAAAAAAAAAAAAAATCAGAAACATAATTTCAGCAGTTTGTCTCCTACAATTTCGCATCATACTGTTGAGTACTGAGTATTGAGTATTGAGTAGAGAAGAGCGGATTAAAACGTTGAACGGTGGGTGAGCCATCAACCTCAACCCTCAAACGTAGGGTGCAAATGAATAAAACTTTAACATAGTTTCATTTTTTTTTTTTGCAATTTTATATAATTTTCTCATAATATATTTCCTCTTTCCCTCTACTCACCATCATGGATGGAGTTGAGTTGCCATGGCTACAAAGTTCATGGTCACTATAATGGGCTTAGCCCAAAGAATATAATTAGTAAAGTACACCTAAAGTTTCAACGAGGCAAGATTCCTAATGGGCCAAACATGTTATGCTCTGACATTTGGGTGGAATTTAAAATTTTGCAGAAGCTAAGACATTGTTGCATCCGGTGTTTAATAAGTCCGGTAAAACTACAAGTGTAGCAGCATTTTAGGTGTTTTTTTTTGTTAAAAAGCATTTTAGGTGTTACACATTCATATAATTACTTTACCTTTTTTTTTTTCTTTCAGATTAATAAATGTTAATTAAGCTCATTTTTAACAGTATTAATCATAGTCAATCGAAACTTTTATTTACATTAAATGATTTACTAAAATTTGAAACACTAGACTTGTTGAACTTTTAGTGCTTGTTGCTTTCAGTGCTCTCTCTTTTTGTTTTGTTTTTGATTGTTTAAGCTCAAATTTAATGAGAAACCAGAAAATGCGTCTTAAATGAAGGAGAATCGGATCCAAATCCTCGTTTTTATCGGGTGAGAGGTTCTCGGTTTTGGTATATAATTTCCGGTTTAAGCTGTATATTCTCTGACTCAGTCCAATGACAAGACTAGTACGTAATACGTAGAAAGAATCTCTCTCACCGACGACGACAACGACGACGAATTCGAAGACCGTACGTGTACTACATTCTACTCTTCTCTCTCTCCCATCACGCTCACACCACTCTCACTGACACACAATTTCTGTTTTCGCTTCTATAGGAATCCACATTGCTTGACCTCAGTCTCAGAAAATACATTTGACCCAAGAACCCAGAAGGAAGTCGGAATTTTTCTTCTTCATTTCTCCTCGCAGGTAACTTTTGTTGTATCCTTGTCTTTTGTGCTATTAAAGTTTCGATTTTTATTGGTTTTACAGATTGCTAATTTGATCAAGGTTTTCACATTCCTGATTCGATTTTGTTTTCTCTATAATTTGGGGGATTATTTCGTGATCAAATGTGAGCAATTTGATGTTTTGATTTAGTAAAATGTGTTTTTTTTTGTTTCCTTTTTGGGTGCAGAGCAGTTGAAAGCAGCGATAAAATCACAAAACCTAGATAAGAAAAACCCTAAGAGAAGCCTTTTGGGAGTTTTAGCCAGGAAAAATCGAATCTAGTGGCTTTAGGCTATGGCTGGCTTGAAATGTGATGGGAAATTTCCGGTGACGGAGGAGGTATCAATGGAAGAAGATGATGGTGGTGATGAAACGAGGAAGATTGGAGTCTCTGGAGGAAATATATCACTTGTTGTTGATTTTAGTGGCTCTTTGACTCGGACTAGATCTCAAAATGTTTCCCCAAATGAGAATCTTGTTAAGGAAAATCAAACTCAGGAGCTTCTGGTTGGGAATCTTGTATGGACGATGACTAAATCCAAGAAATGGTGGCCAGGGGAAGTTGTTGGTTTCAGAGCTGATGCAAAGGAGAGTTTCATGGTTAGACATCTTGGTGAGAGCCAGCTTGTTTCTTGGTGCGCACCTTCAAAGCTGAAGCCTTTCAAGGAGAGCTTTGAGAAGCTGGTGAATCAAAGAAACGACAATGGCTTTTTCGCTGCGGTAGAGAATGCTATGACCCTGTTGGGAAACTCGTTGAAGCTTGAGATGACTTGTTCTTGCATTGCTGAGAAGAACGGAGTAATGCCGTCTCAATATGGTAAAACTCGGAAGACGAAGCCTTTGATACTTCGTGAATTCTCTGTGGATCGGTTGGAACCAAAAGATTTTGTCTTTGAGTTGAAGAATCTGGCGAAATGTGTTTCGAATGGTGGGATACTTGAGATGACAGTTATGCAGAGTCGGTTATCAGCTTTTTACACTTTCTTTGGGCATAGGCAGGTACCAATGAGCGAGCTACAACAAAACGAGGTTAGGAAAGTGTTCACTGCAGCTAAGATGAAAGAGAGTCAGTTCGTTGGTTCTCCGTCCGTTGTTGCAGGTAGTAGCAGGAGGAAGTTTCGGAAAGAATGGTTTAGGAAATTTGTCAGTGAGGTTGACAATGTGTCTGCGAGAAACGATTTAGTGAATGCGTCTCCTTCTGATTTGGTATCTAAACTCAAGCTGCTTGCTGTGGGCTACAGTTGTTCAGAAGAGACTGAAGATATTGGTCTCTTTGAGTGGTTCTTCTCCAAATTCAGAATTTCTGTGTATCATGATGAGAATGCTTACATGATGCAGTTGGGTAACATGGCTGGTTTGAAGGATTTGATGCTAGCTAAAGATGCAAATCCAGGTTCTACGCAGAAAACCTCCATGTCAAAAACATTAGGGAAGTCAAAGATTGTTTCAGTTGCTGATACTGAGCAGAAGAAGACCTTTGAGACGCAGAAATCAGTGAAGTCAAAGATCGAGACTTTGACTGGTGTTTCAGTTGCTGATACTGAGCTGAAGACCTTTGAGTCGCAGAAATCAGAGAAGTCAAAGATCGAGACTCTTAATGGCGTTTCAACTCCAGATAATGAGCAGAAGGCCTCCAAGCCTAAGAAATCAAGGAAGACAAGGATCCAACATATCCTTGATCACTCTGATTCTATAAGTTCTGTTGCAAATGCGTCGTTTGCGAAAGATTTCGAAGAAAAAGCTTCTTTGGCAGATAAACTTAGCAGACCTGCTGCTACACATGTACTACCAGACTTAAACAGCGGAGGCAATGCTTTAGCTTCTGCAGAATTTGACCGTTTACAAAGACCGGAGACTTTAACTCCTCCCAATGCCGTCCCACAAAAGGAGCAGACGCCAAGAACTATGATGTTGAACTTCCAGGTGGCATCTTCATGTTCAAACCACGGAGTCTCGGGAACAGGGTTTGTTTCCAGCCAGCCAGCTTCGGAAAGAAACTTCACTAGCGCAGACCTCTTTTTCAAGAGAAAGAGAGGAAGGAAGAGGAAGAATCCGGAAGAGCTTCCAAAAGTTGCACATGCCACTAGTGGTATACCTGACTTAAACGGAACAGCTACAGAGCCAGCTTCGGTTCTGCCTCAAGCCGAGCCTACTCAACGCAAAAGACGTCAGAAGAAAGAGTCGCCTATTGGATTAACCAGAGGAATCACTATCCTCTTCTTGAAATTTGCCTCCCAAGCGTCAATGCCTTCAAGGGACGACTTAACCTCGACATTCTCTGCGTTTGGCCCTTTGGACTCTTCTGAAACACACGTCTCAGAAGAGTTTAGTTGTGCACAGGTCGCCTTTGTGAGTAGTGGTGACGCGGTGGAAGCAGTTAAAAGCTTAGAGAAAGCTAACCCGTTTGGTGAGTCCTTGGTGAATTTCAGGTTACAGCAGAAACTGATAGCCGTTCAAAAGAACATAGCCCCTCGAATGCCGGTGATCTCGCACATTAGTCCACTACCGAGACCGAGTAATGCACCGATGGGTGTGGATTCAATGAGGCAGAATCTGATGATGATGACTGCAATGCTGGATAAATCAGGGGATCGTTTGTCAAGAGAGACAAAGGCAAAACTGAGAAGCGAGATCACTTGTCTTTTGGAAAAGATTAATTCTATGCCTAGCTCTTCTTCTTCTTCCTGAACAATCCCATAACATACATCAATGTGATCTTTTTTTTTCCACTCAAAAGACTTTCTAATGTTGTAACTTATAAACCCCTTCCACTTCTTGTGTTTCCATATTAGTTTCTAGAATAAGATTAGATAGATAGTAGAACATGTTGGCGATATTTTAATAACATCTTTCAGCTTGAGAGTTTTTGTTCTTCATTGCTTGAAGCTCTCTAGTTAATAATCTCCATCCTTCAGGGGACATAACCTGCAAGATCTCAAGTATCTCCTCCTTTGTACATTACACATGATAGCTCTGGTTCCGTCTCTTGATCTCTCTTTTGAGTATGTTTCATCTTGAGAGAATTTGAAAAGTTCAATTTATACTCTCACTTCTCAATCGAATCAAACTGATGCTGCTGTTCATACTCCAAGATAGTAGTTAAAAGGTCAAAACACTACAAAAGCTGAAATGAAACATTAAGAATAGTGAGCAAAGACCGAGTAAGTTTGTGAATTCTTCTTCTTCAATGTTTCTTTTTGGAAACAAAAATCAAATCAAATCTTTGAGAAAAGAAGAGAACTCAGAGGTTTGGGCCGGTCAGGTAGAGAGAGGAAGCAAATCGTTTATGAATTGTTCAGCGCTTTCTTAAACCGGCAAGTAGCTCAATTTGGGTAAAATCACAAATCGGGGAATTTAACGATTCAATTGGTGTAAAGTGAGTCTAGTGGGGCTAATTCCTGAAAGTCATAAGAATACAAGGGCTTATATGAAACTTTTCACAGTCGGCGAGTCCTCCACAGTCCAGTCTCCTCCTCCCCGGTCCAGTCCAGTCAATAAACCCTGAACCCTTTCCCCAGAAATTCGAAAATCAATTTCATCGTGTTTCAACTCCCCACTCACTCGGATTATGCTGTAGACATCGCTAGTTCGTTTTGATCATGGTTACTTCGAGGGATATCCATGAGGTCGTCTCCAAGCTCTCCTCGGATAAAGCCAAAACTCGCGAAGTAAACTCTTCACTTACCCTTTTTATCATTTTGGGCGAAAACTGCTGAGAACTTTTAGAATTTCGTTTTTTTTTTCTTTGTGGGTTTGTCACAACGATGCTTTAGCGTTTTCTTTCTCCATCGGGTATGGCTTAAAATTGAGGGGGTATTGCAGAAATTGCTGTTTATTGTGTATCAGTTTAATGAGGTTACTGTAGTCTCCTTTCTGTTTTGGATTTGAGTGAAATGCAAGGGAAATTGAGAAAACAATAGCACCTTAAACTGCAATTCAATGTGTGGGCTTTGGTTGAGAATCGTTGAAATACTTTTGTTTGTCTCCACCTGTTTACTGTGCAACATTTGTGAAAGGACTATTAAACTGTGTTGAAACTAGGTCTTGCCATCATTCTGCTACATCAAAATGTTACATTTTTTATCTTACTTCGAATCTAGTTGGTTTCAGTGTTGGACTAAAGTGTTTCCAAAACATGTGTGACTCCCAAAAGCTTATCTTTTTATGAATTGTGTACCTATCTCTGAGTGATGTGTTATGCAACTAGGTTCCTATGTTCCACTACGTATCCTATATTCCCTTTTTAAGGTTTCTCATGCTGATGAATTACTTACATTATCTGTATATCCAGGATGGTGTCAAGTTATTGAATACGTTTCTCGAAGGAGAAAGGTCAACTACCTTCTGTAGATTTCTTTCGCAAAACACAGCTGAGCTTAAGTTGGACGATATTCCTAATGGTCGGTGGAACTTTGCTGCTATTATACAATATACAGTGCATCAAGATTTACAGTTAATCCAGCACCTTGCTTGTCCTTGCAGCTGAAACGTGGCCCTTTTTGGTTAAAATTCTCCTTCAATGTGTATCACTAGAGGTGTCAGGTAGTAAGCGACCAATGTCCAAGCTAACCTTTGCAAAGACCCTTCGATTTGCAAAGACACTTCGAGTTGTTATTCAGAGAGCAGAAGAAACTAAGTTTCCTGGTAAGTTTGTGCTTTTGATTTCGTCCTTTAGTTACTTTGTGCTTACTATGTCATTAGAGCAGAATATCTAGTCTATTGGTTAATTTTGTTTAATCTCTGATTTTGAATCCCTGTCGTTACTTACTGAACCAGAAAATGTCTGTATGTTGGCAATCTTAGAAGAAGCTGGTAGAAAGTGAACATTGATGGAAAATGATTTTCTGGAACTAGAGTACTTTAGGTGTTCAACTTATTAATCTGCATATAGAAAGTATTTTTGTAGGTCATAAATATTACATGTTGATGGTGCATTTTCTCTTACCAAGAATTCATATTTTTCCTGTTATGTAACTAATCTGTTCTAATGTCTCAGGTGTACTTATTCCTTTGCTATCTATGGCTAAAACCCTCTTTACACATGTACTTGATATCTTGAGCAATACACCTGGCTTTCAGTCAGAGTATGGGACCATACTCCGCCATCTTTTGGAAATAAGGGAGTACCGTCTCCAAATGAGGAAGCGCACATATTCCAGTGAGTTCTCTACAAATCTAAATATTCTACAATTTCTAGTCTTGTCATGGATCTGGAGTGTATGGTGTATGCTGGTGTTGGATATGTTTTAAATATAATGTTTCTGCAAGGTTTGGTGCTGCTATATATAGAAAGGGCGGAAGCAGGGTTTTGTGGAAAAAACAATGGACAACATAGCCAGAAGGAGGAGGCTTTTCGTGATATCCTTACCCTTCAGTCACTTCTAGAGAATCCCCCTGGAGATTTTCCTGATGATCTCCGAGAAGAAATTGTGAATGGCCTCGTTCACATCTTCTCTTCTGTAAGGTCTGGTTTTATTTGTCACCCAATGTCTCGCTCAGATTCTACTCCTATGTAAACCATAATAAAAATTTATACTAATTTATTCAGAGAGGAGGGAAAGCTGTCACGAAAACTTATCGAATGTGTAAATACGTTCTTGCTGAAGGATGGTCCTAATATAGGCTCCTTGTCATTGGAAATTCATAATGCGGTTCAACAATTTGTGTTCCGTTCCTGGTTAACAACCCATGATAAAAACCTTAAGGTATTTTTTTTGTGTGGTAAACACATGATTTTCGTTCTTAATACGGTTCATGGTCTAAGTCTATTTCTTTTCCTTCTTGTTCTATCTTGTAGGAGATACTTTCTTCTTATGGAAGGCTACAACTGAATTTGACAAGGGGTTCTAGTGAATCTAGTTCTCTGGTGGAACAACTTTTGGACGTGGTTACTCGTGAACTGGATCTTGGTAGTTCATCAAGTTCTGCATCATGGTACATATTTTCTGACTCGCCTCTTCCACAGGATGACCTCTTTAACATCTACACGACTACACATTTCGTGAAGTTTACGGATTTCTAATTTTTTTTTTTATTTAGGGGTGATTTAACCAAGGATGATAAGTTTGGGACATTGAACAGCTATCAGAATAGCCTGGTTGAGCTGGCTGCACATGTGCTCTACCGGGTACCTGTTTTATATTCATTTTACTTTGTTCTCACAACAGAGTTCCAACTCAACCAACCATTTTTTATTTTATTTTCAGCAGTGTCTAGATTTTGCTTTATCTACCTTCGCCACCTTTTTATTAATTCGCGTTATGATTTGTTAAAGCAATTTTGTTCTGGACTGACGTTTGAATTTTGTACATTGAGAATAGTTGTTTTTTTTTTCAATACAGTCAATTGAAATCCCATCACATAAATGCGTGTTTGCTCACACCCTTGTGTATCCTTGAATATGTGTTTGTGTTCTGTGTGTCTAGAGGGAATGTGTGAGAAAAAGAGTGCTGATATTCAGAACTTTGGCAGGCAGTTGTCAATACTACTAGACCATCACTGTCAGAGAAACGAGCTCGAAGGCAACATATTGCATCGCGTCTGGTAGAGTCACTAACTGAAGGAAAATGGCTGTGGTATGTTTCTGATCAGAGCATTACTAGAGGATATCCCATCTGCAGCGAGAGTTTTTTTCTAGATATGTGTAGCCGTATCATAAGAATGCCTTTGATGAGCGTACACCATTTGTTTGTTGTCGACAGTAATGCTGGAGCATAAGTTTCAATTGCACAGTACATCCCTTATTAAAAAACAACTCTATAATTTCTGTCAGTCTAGATAATGTCCTTGCACTATTTTGAATTCTTTGCTACCTGCTTTCCCTAGATACTTTATATGTTACGAATATATGGACTGAAATACATAAGCTTTGTTCAGGTGTGCGGCTTTTGGTTGTCTAGTTCGGACTTACTGTACTCGCATCAATAAGGATCTCCTTATTTACTGGTTTGAAGCCATCTGCACAAACTTTCAGAGGTAATTTGGAAACTTGTACTTAGTTATTTCGTTGATCTATGTTTCTTTGCCTCTAGGAGAACAGTAGGTAAGAGCTTAGGAGTTGTTTGTTAACAAGGAGTATTGATGTTGTACTTTCTGGTATGATGCTCTTTAGCAAACCATTTCCAACTTTATCCTTTAACACACTTCACTGGCTTCTATATTAAACGTAAGAAGCAGTTGCGAAGACCACACATTTAATTTAAGTAAGATGGTGGTTAGACCACACTTCAAAAAATGCCTGGTGAATGACCAAGTGATTGTCTTTATTGACCAAAAAATGACCAAGTACTTGTTACTTTTTGTTGTTATGTTTCTTATTCTTGTATGCTTCTACAGATCCCCCTCTCTTTTTTTATCTCTGTGATATTCTGTTTTAATAAAGTAAACAAGCAAACCCAATTCTATGAGGCAGATCAGGAGCGTACTGATTCATTAGTTTTGAATTGAAATTAGTTTTTCGTATTAGCCTTTTCTGATAATATGATTCAACATTACTTAGGAACTTTATATCCTCTTATGATGGCACTTGGCTCTTTATGGTTTTATTTCGGACAGCCTCTTACCACTGTAATAGTTACAAATGGCAGATATGGTGCTCTCCTAAATATTTCAATGTCATATACTACTAGCATCTGAAACAGTGGTCTCTTTGGTTTACTTAATCTTGTTCATGACAGACTTCTGGAGGATGCCAATATGAGACGTTCATATGATGGTCTATTATGGACTTTGAGGTACGTTTATGATGGAACTCAGGTGTTTACTCTTTTAAATCGGCAGCAAGTTCCTACATATATTTTAAAATGTTCCTTGGTGTGGAGGTGTTTGATACACAATATGTTAAAATGATATGAGGCACTTCAGATCTTTGTTTACCCTAACTTTTCAATTTTTAAATTCTCTGATCCTATATCTCAGTTAGTATTGTGAAACTTTTTTTATTGAAGGAGTTTGCAAGGGCTCTGTTCTTGTTTGTTACTTCCAGATGCTTCCATGGACATATCAAAACCATCTGTTTCCTCACGTGAGGTATTCTACGTGCCTCTACTACCTTTATGTGTTAGAGTGTTCACTGAAACATGCATTGCTGAGATTTAAAGTTGATTTGGTGTTGTTACTAATTAAAATAATACTTGAATCCCTTGATCACACAATCGACAAGTTGAGGAAAAAATAGGATCTTTTTTATCCCTGTGTGCATCTTGGCAAACTTTTTGGTGTAAAACGTAGGGAACATTAAAGGCCTGTCCACATATTGGATTTTTCTTTAGATGTTAACTTAAGCTGGACTCAACTTGGATGTTAGATAAATCATGTCACTAATTTTGATAGAAATCAGGTGGGTGATTAGGCTTTTGGTATCTTACACTTGCTGCATGAATTTTGGAAATCTTTATGACTTTTGGTTTTATGATAGCTGTAACGGTTTTGTTGCCCTATTCATTTTCTGCTTTCTTAATCCTAAATTAATATAGAACTTTAATTTTCTTTGTAGTTTAGCTTTTGGTCTCATTAAACCACATTATTTTGCAGCTAGATCGTGGTTGGCAATTGATATGGAGTTCTTTAATCCATGGCCTAGCAACATTCAGCAGCATGAGTGTAATTGTATGTTGCACATGTCTACTTATATTCTTCTTTGTTTCACACAATTCATGGTTTGCTTTAAAACTGTTGCTCTTTCGGACGAAAGTATAGAAGTATATATTCCCTGAACACTATGTAGCAAATAACTTTCCACCAGTGAAGCTTGAGCTTGTATATAGGTAATAAGCAAAGTTTTAACCTTTTTCACATCTCTTGGAACAATGAAAAATTCATATTTTCAGGTGCATATGTTAGATCAAATGTTAGTACTTTACTGGTTCAGGGTTTCTTTTCTAGCCATTTCTCGTTTAAATTATCTTCTTACGTTAAATCTGTAATAGTTTTGGTAGTTGATCACACATTGATATTCTAATATCTAGGCAATATAGAGTCATCCTTGATGGGGATCAAGGTCTAGGGGTTTCTTGGTTACCCAATACTAGTTAAAGGTGTTTGAAACTTCTTTTAGCTAAACAGTGTTTGGTATTCACTTTGCTTAGCTGATTAGTAGCTACAAATGTACGTATGTGTGGCTGGTGCTACTCTGTTCTGTGATCGGATCTTGTCCTAATCATTATTTTCATGCAGGTCGATTCTGTCCTGGTGCTCCTTGGATCAATTATTTCAAGTGTGAGTTTGCAAATAATTTCCAAAACAAATTTTATTGATCTGTTCTCTAAATAACACTGTCCCTTCATTCAGAACCACATAAACGTGGGGATGCTGCCTCAAGAAGTGTGGGATCACCAATTATTCAGACACATACCCTCTGAGTAAGCGTGCCATCCTCAAAACTTCATAAGCCATTAAGTTAAGCTATTTACTTAGGTGTTAATAGGCTAGAGCCGCCGCTGGAAAAAAATTCAAAAAAAGTTTGGATTTATCTTATTCTAGTTGAAGATCTTATACTGTTTTCTTCCGCAAGATTAATTTGTGTTTGACTATTGGCTGGCTTGAATTAGTATATGCTGAATGGCTCGACTGTTAACTAAAGAATTATAACTTTTACTCAGGCCGGCCTTGTACTTCATTGCATGTTACTTTTCACGTATGGGTTGCCAGGTAAGCAAACTGGTTCTCGCTGGAACTGTATGGTTTTGGTATCTACTTTCTATGTTGACTTGATTGCTGAACCGTACAAGTTTTTGAACAGTTATTATACCATCGTATCCATTCCTAATCACTAGATACATTGTACAGGGAAACCTGCAAGATGATTTACATCTTCGACGCAATCTCCTTAGAGCAGTTTGTGACCCCCTTAGCTGGAAGGTAGTTTCAATTCTTTTTCCAGTATATATGGAACAAGGATCTCACTGATAATCATTATGTTGGTGTGATGATTGATGTGATACCTCTTACTCTCTCCGTGGAGGAGGCGCTGTCTAGGATCTGACCAAATCAAACCATTCATATGAGCCATTTTGACTCTACAACGTTGATTGATCTTGTCATATTTTTAATATTCATAGTTAAGAACATAACTTTTGGTTCAGGCAGTGAGAATAGTGTGTATTTTTGTTATTTCCTGCCAACTAATTTGTAATAGCTGCATTCTATTTCTACCTGATCTGTGAAACTGAAAATCATATATATTAGAATTCGAAATCTTAAAATGTTCACTGTGTGAAGTCATTGTACCACACTATCATAGTTGAGATCTTGCTTATGGTTATACTTTTTTAGGGTCGTTTGACACTGAATGAGAGAATGGTTCAACTTCTACCAGCAGCTGCTTTTTCCCTATGTGTTGGTTTCACAACTTCCCTTCCATTACCTCAAGAACATCTCCCAGTACCATCTGAATGGGATGTCTGTGAAGTGGTGAATGATGTGGTAAAGGTGCCTGTTATGTTTGTTATTTAAGGACTGAATAATTTTCATCTCAGATAATTTTGCAAGGCTAATATTGGAATTCACTGTTTTTGTTTCTTTTGCAGATGGATGATATTGAACTAGAAAGAAAATTTGGATTCTTTGAATGCTCTGTGGAGGTTCTAACAAGAGTTTGCTCTATTTCTGGCAAGGTGGAGGATCCTTAGTTTTTCCTTAACTTGTTTCTCCGCTGACATTGGTTCTGTTTCTTTGTATTTTCAGATCTCTAGTTGCCGAGTTCCTGATGGAGTTCAAATACCTCTGGTATTAAGAGATCCATTGCTTAATGACATGGAAATCTATTTGCTTAGCATTACCCCGGAAGACAGTGAGAAAAGACCACTGTCTGACATCTTAATGGGATGTGCTCTGCTGTGTCAATTTATGCATGGTTCTTATATCACAAGGTAAGTCAACTCATCTTATTCTTGGTATTTTCTTAAAACATGTGAATGACTGGTATTGTTATCATCGTGACAGAATCTCTCTATCAAAGGAGTTCACTGCTTTTGGATGTTTATAACAAAAGTTTCATAAATCTTAAAGTGTATCTTTTTGTGTGAACTTTTCTCTCATTGGATTTTCTTTGTTAATTCTCATTTCTCAGGAAGGGTAAAGGAAGCAGTTCGTTCTTCTTAAAAGCATGCCAGTATTTGTTAGAAAGTCTGGACTATGCTGCTGAAGCAGTTTTAAAGAGCATCAGTGATTTTCAAAGGCTTGGTCGCTTGGGGTTTGGCTTAGATTTTAATGAAAAAAGTTCTATAATAATTTCATTGAGGTCTCTTACTAGTTCTCCTGTCTTCAGCAACAGAAAAGACCAAAATCTTCTTGCCACTAGTTATGATGCTGTATTTCACTCGCTAGAGAACCTTTTGCAGTCTTTTGCTAAAGCTTACGAAGAATATACTGAGCACCCATGGAATACCCAATCTGGCACTGTACCTTTGAAATCGTTAGCACTTGATTCCCCAGAAGATGGGAGGATTGTGGATATGGATTTGGATCTACCTGAAGATTCTAAAGAGATTGATCTTATGACTGCTGGTGGAAAAGGTGTTCCCAGCGTGCCTGTTTCTACGGGGAACTGGAAGTTGGGTATGATATCACTTATCTCATGTTTTTCTCCGGTACTTCAGTCTCCTACATGGGATGTTCTATATAGTATCATGGAGAAGGAAAGTGATCCTAAGGTATTTCAGCATTTTTTTCTTTCACATATCAATATCTTAAGCTTTCGTGGTGACCTTACAGCAACATCTTGTTTGATTGCCTACATTTGTAGGTGTTGGAAAATACGCTGTATCATCTATGCCAGCTTTCTTGCTTGACTTCGATGCAGAAGCTTAATGATTTGGTATGAAACCCAATTGTTGATTTAATATAAAGGATTTTATGTCAATTTTTTTTCACCAACTTTATTGTGTTTATGAGTTTTCGTTTCACAATTTCACTTTAAGGTTATATTCTTGGATGACATGCTTAACACACAAGTAAAGATCAAGCGTAACTGTCTCAATATAGTCACTGCTCTTCATGTTTTACTTCAAAGTTTATCATCCTCGAGGATGGATTCTTCTGGGCTCAGAACAAACTGTGATTTGTCTTTGAAAGAAGGAGAAAGTTGTCAGGTAGTACTCTCTGCTATTTGCGACACTCCTTGTGAGGAGGCAACCCTTCTCAAAAGCTGCCTATTTAGCTATTTTCCATGATTTGCTTGATTCATTGCCCGAGTAACATGCAGGTATTTGTCCAACTTGGCGCAATGGTGAATAAAGTTTCTGAATTTGGTCTCTTGGGCTGGTTTGGGCGTGTGAGGCTGATCAACTGTATATGTGAATTTGTTTTGCTTAATCCTCAGATTGGTCAGGTGACTACTTCTCACATAACCCACTTGTTCGTTAGATTTGTAGAGCTAGCATATGCAATATTATGAATTACACTATTTTTATGTATTTTCTTTTGAAGTAAAAATGTTCATGCCTTAAAGGTTTCATGACTTAGTTTACATGTCAAATACCATTGAAGTGGAAGAATAACAAATCCTTATACTTTATGTTCAGATGAGATAATTCCTATAGTTTGCAGATGAAAGAATTGAAAATTTCCATGCACACATTACTCGTAGCGAAAATATATAAGTAAAGAGAACCTATAGTGCGTGTATTGTAAACATGTGTTTTTATATTAGGACTAAAGACGAGTAAGCAGGCAGTTTGCCTGTTTTACCATTAGTGCTAATAGTTCGTCTTTTTGGAACTTCACATCGGCCAGTTACAGTTAAATGTTTTACTCTGTTCCTTGTGGAATTCATATATAATTAGTTTCTTGCTGTATAGCTCATTGAATTTCTTTTTTGATTTGTACAGACAATGATTGAGCCACTTTTGTTAATGCTAAATGACTCTGACTATCGGGTGAGGTTTGTCCTGGCAAGAAAAATTGGGCTTTTATTCCAAACATGGGATGGTCATGAGGCATTGTTCCAAGATATTTGGTAAGTTTGATGTTTGTTTAATCAAAATTGTTATCCTAAGGCTTTTTTTAGTTTGGTGTTGTCCTAGTAAGTAGTAAGACAAACTGTTAGATACTCGCTTCTACAGATTTACTTGGCAACCAACAAAGAAAAAAAGAGAAAGATGATGGTTTTTCTTTGTGTTGTGGCAGAGAGTATCTTTTGATATCACAGGGCTTGTTCTCTCTTTTGATGTTGTTGTCAGATTGAAGTACCTCATTAGTTGTTAATTTTTCCCATTTCCATTTCCTTTTCCAGCTCCAGCTTTGGTATTATATTGGTAACCTCCTCAAGGGAGAAGCTAGTCACTGCGAGGGATGTTTTGGCTGCTGGTCCGCAGCCTCGCCCAAAAATGGAGACTGTCATCATTACTCTTATGCACCTTGCTCATCACAGTGAGAACATAGAGCTGCAAGTAATATTTTACCCAATTTGTCTTGAGTTCTTAGAATTATTTTTAGCGCACATCAGTAAGCTGTGTTTTAACATCGTATTCCCTACTGCGAGAAATGCAGGCAATTTTTATGATGTGCGCTATTTCAGCTATAGATCCTTGTCAGAGGTATTTATCGCTTGGAATTGTTACTGTTTTATTTATTTATTTGGAACGTTCTTCTACTTATCTGGCCTTTTTCCTACTAGGGAATTAATTATTGCTGCACTTGACAATCTATCAGCACGACTCCGTTACCCATCTAGGTTCAAGGTGTTATTATTGATTCTTGTTTCTTTATCGCATCGTACCTGCATGATAAATGTTCTTCTCATTTTTCCTTTTTTTTTTTTTGAATATCAGCCTACTTACCTTAGTCTACCTTAGTCACCTCTGAACCTTGTAAATGCTGCCCTGATGACATCATCTCCATCTCTTTTTATACTGGTTGTGCAGTACCTGGAGGAACTCTTGGGCCCGATCCTCTTTTTCTGGATTGCGTGTGGTGTCAGTTTAGCTGCTCTTGTTGAGGTGAGCTGAGATTCTCTTTTTTATAGATGGAATTCTTCTCTGTGATGGTTATATTACCTTTTCACTCGAGTTACTCGTGGGCACTTTGTTTCATTTGTTTTATATTCTTTTCCTTCAAAATAGCATTAATATTTGAAACTTGTACCACAGTTAATAGGTTCAAATTCTGTTTTTGTCTCTTCTCGTGCACACGGGTCTACAATATCAAAGATAGGGCACAGTTTAAGTACAATCAAAGTAAATTACCAATCAAAGAACGAAAGAATGAATTATCTACTTGCGGTTATACAATTTATCCTGTGATCATGGCAGTTATCAGAATGCAATGCGTAGAATTTAGCATTCCATATAATCTGTTTTTTTTTTTTGGTTGCAGACAAGGCAGCTGTTCATTCTAAACGCTGAGCCGAAATATTTCATCCACTTTTGTTCTCACTGGCTACTTCCAGCTCTTCTGCTGCATGAAGATCATGCTAATCTTGATTGGGTAGCTAAGGTAAGGGTGTGTTCCATATATCATTATGGACATAAATGGATGTTTCGAAAAACTGCCATCGCAGTTTATGGAGATGCTTAGAGATTTTTCTTAATGAAATTTGAAATATGTACAGCCGTTTGGCTGTTTTTTCTTCTATTTTTGTATAGGCCCTTTAGATAACGTCAGAGATTTGAACTTTTCCGATCTCTGTTTCACTGACACTGTCTACAATTTACAGATGGCTGGCCAACCGGTGGCTGTGCTGGTCAAAGAAAATTTTGTGCCAATCTTTTCGATATGTATGGGATTGCACTGTAGTAAAACGTCAGAATGTGATAAAGGTGCAATGGTGCTTCAGAACTCAATATTGTATGTGGGTGAGATCAGCGAGAATGAGAGGGATAAGCTCATTAAACGGAATATGGTATGATACCTGTAACAATGTGACTCATGATTCTAGCAATCTGTCTTTACTGTTTGTTGTGGAGAATTCGAAAGCAATGTCAACTGCATGATCAATAGTTGGTTGCTTTATTTTCATTGTGGAGATTCTAGTTGCAGATGTAATTTACTTTCTCAATTAAAACATATTGAATCTCTGATTGGCTGTTCTGTTTTCGATTTCAGGTCTCTATTGTGAGTTTTGTTTTATCAAGTGCTTCCTCTTCACCAGAACCTCCAGTTCCTGCTTTCTCTCGAGACACCATTTCACGTGCAGTGCAAACAATTGTGGATGGTTTTCTGGAAACGTAAAATTTCTTGCTCAGTCTATGTGGACTTATTGTTTCAGTTATTCCTTTGATTAAGTCTTTCTTGGTTTTTGCAGCGCTGATTATCCTAAGAACGCCGCCGTCACTGACAGGATAAATGTTTTTCGCCCAGATAGGGTGTTCATGGTAAAATTTTCATTTGCGAAGCTTTCACGAGATAGCAATGTTCTTGTCAATTTGATTCTTCAGTCACAGTAACTTTGTTATTGTTTGGCAGTTCATCACAGAAATACATTATAGAATGTCAGCCGCATGCCATCATCGGCATACCCGTCATCATTTGGCAGCGCTTGAAGAGCTTACAATTATTCTTGGCCATAGAGCCTCAGTTCCAAGTTCTTTAAAGTGAGCAGAATTCTCTATCTATCTATTCGATTATTTGATTGGTAGTACTCTGATTGTTTAACACCAAAGTGACTTTTGTGGATTTTATTGAATCTGAGTTAGCAATGAGATTGACCATTTAAGTTATTTTCTCGAGTAAAAACTATGTCGTAGATGTTGGAAGGTGTAGTTTTTACTTGATTCGTCTGATATTGTCTTGAACTCGTTTGTTAAAAGTAAGATAGGGATTATCATAATATCTCGCACAGTGTTCCTTTTGGTGAGAGTAACTTCCAGCTTTAATATATAATTTTTGTTTAAAGGCATTTTTAGTTATTTGAAGAGCTAAGGCACAGTATATGATGTATTGGCACTCCTAGGTTTTTCTGTTAATAAACATGTTTCTCATCTGTAAATTAAAATTTCGGTGGCACTGAAAGGTGAATCTCTCTTTTTGAGCTTTAAAGAACTGATTTGATCTTTATTTGTGGTCTCTTTCAGTTACATATTCAATCTTGTTGGACAATTTATCGGCTTTCCCTCATTACAAGACCAGTGTTGTAGTATAGCTTCATGTTTACTAGATTCGTTCAAAAGCAATCCGGCCAAAGAAATTGTTAGTGTACTAGGTGACCAACTCCAGGTATGTTTACTTAATGTTATTATGTGGGTCACTTTTTATTACTTACTTGAAAAAGTCGTTTACTTTTCTTTATTTGCTGCTTTTTAAGTTTTTGGTCTCAAAGCTAGTTACATGCTGCATCGATGCTGAAGCAGACTCAAAAGTTTCTGGTTCTAAGTCATCTCAACTCGTAAATTTGCTACACAAGCTAATTATTGATTCAGAATCTTCTCTTGATGAAGATATCAGAGTAGGAGTCCTACCTATAAAGTTGCCTTCGTTTTTGTCCTACCAGTGCAAGGAATCATTGAGAATTTTATGTACTTTTGATTTGTCCATTTTTTCAGGATTTGGAATCATTTCCCGATATGGAAATTTTTCAAGTCATTCGTGAATCACACATTAGGATATGTGAAACCTATTCTCCAAGGAATCATTTGTTGAAGGTCAAACCCTCTGCATTTTGTAATCATTACATTGTTGTTGGCATTTTATCACTATCCAATATGATATTTCTTCCTGTCCCGCTACAACAGTGTGCTAAAAGATCCTGTTATCTTCCATCGAGATTCCTTTCCTGGAGGTATCAATTCTGTCTTTCCTGCGTTAAATTATCCTAAGATAAGCATTGACGCTACCTCTAAGGGCCATGATGTTCTTGGGATGTTAACTGTAGAATTAAGATAAAGTATGGTTCCTTTTATCTATACTTTGAAGACTTTGGTGTTTCTAATTACACAAACAAACAGCTCTCAATGGGAGAACTTTTGTTCTCACTTCCTGTAGTTCGTTTCTGTTTTTTTTTTTCTTATGTGGGTGGTCGATATATGAGCTACTTTGTTTTATGGTCTGTGCGCTATCTACCAACGCCTCTAGGTTATGCTCATGAGTGAAATGTTTGATTTAGGTGTGTGTTTTAGAAGTTAATTTAGAAGCGTGGATTGTTTGTCTTTCAATTATGTCGATCTGGCTTCTACCCTGATAGCAACAAAGTTGATAACACAAATGCGCGTTTGTCGAGAGTCTACTACACATTGGTCCTCTACCCTCATTAAATTGATACACTTTTATAAACTTATCATGTCCTTGCAGTCTCCAAGCACTGCACAACAAACTCATAGCTTCTGAAGCTTCTCAAGAAGAGACTAATGTAGAAACTGCAGATACGTTTTGGCATTCTGACGATGAAATTGTAAATGCTGTTTGGACTCTTGTCCGTGTGTCTGCCTCAGATGAAGCAGATAACATGAGATTGTTGGTGTCGGATTTTCTTTCCAGGGTATCTGTCATTCTCTTTTGGGGTCAGAATCTCTTGCTTTGCAAATACAAATATCTGGTCTTACTTTCTTTTGTTTTGATTGTAGGTTGGTATTGGGGACCCCCACACTGTTGTTTTCCATCTTCCTGGGGAGTTGGGTTCCATGTATGATTTTCAATTTGGTAGCCATAGTACTCGGTCAAAAGTCAGAGCTTTTCCTGAGAATGGCTTATCCGATGAAACCCTTATCATACTGCTGAAAATTCTGAAGAAGTATCTTTTGGATGACTCTGTAAAGATTATTAATGTCACGTCTCAAACCCTTCGGGTCAGTTTTCTAACTTTCTTACCTATCTAAATTTGACCGTTCTCTTTTTCCTTTTTGTCAACTGTTTGGTTGATTGGTCATAGTTTTTCAATTTTTACTTGTACAGATTTTATTGTGCCTCTGAATTCTGTAATGTGATTATGATCTAATTTTGTGTGATTTTTCTCGATTCTGTAGTAGCCTCGAACTTCTGTTATGCTGTTTCATGTTTGTCGCACTCCTGCTAGTCTCTTACTGTTTCTCATCTTTATATCTGGTGGAATGTTCGATCTATTATTCTTTTCAAGGATTTATTCTGTAATATCTTGACTCCTTTCTTGGAAAGGATTGTTTGCAAGTTTTATTTTGAATTCTGTATAGATATCCCTTTCTTCTTGCTTCAGGGGATTCTTTCAACGGAAAGGGGCCAGCAAGCATTAACATCTATCGACTCATGTGAGAGATCTTTGATTGAGGTAAGTTTCTTCTCCGCATTAGCTTTCCAGTCTTGTGCTACTTTTCACGGTTTGATATTTTTTCAAATAAAAAATGGAGAATTGTTCCCGTGGGCAGGATAAACCATGCACCATAAAAATTTTGCGTATATAAGATGTGGTTTCTTTTGGAAACTTGTGCAAATTTAATTTCTAGATTCATATTATGATATTAATAGATGAAGCCTTTCAGAAAATCAATGATATATATTGGATTTCCCATTCTTGTCAGGGTATACCGAGTAAAATATTGTCCTGCTTGCTCAGACATGTATTTTTTTTTTTATAGGTACATGGCAGGGGCGTGAACCTTGACATTGTGGAAACGATCTTACTGGACAGCCAAAAGCAATTCCAAGGTACTTTAATTATTACATGAACCTTGACATAGTGGAAAAGATCTTACAAGCCATAATCTCATATAGGCCTCTCATGGTTTATGTTAATAATCCCACGTTAAATTGTTCTATATACTATTCGCTATGAACCGTTCTTCCTGCTACCTGCTATACTTTGTTTTCATTATCGTTTTTCTGGACGTAAGTGCTTCTCTAGAAATAACTGAAAGCTGAAATCTATGTTACTGAACAAAGGCTATCATTTATATTATTATTGACCATTTAATTTTGATGCAACCTCAAACAAAATATGGAGGTTATTGATGAAGTCATCAAGGCATATGTATTATTTTTCCTACTGCTTTGAATCATGCAAAGTTGTTCTGATTGTTTTTAGACTATATATGCCTGGGATGATTAGATAATTCAATTAACATATCTTAGTACTTCTGTTACAATCTGCACATGACATGGACTGATGGACATGTAGGTTCTAAATTATTCATTCATTTTTCATACCTGTTTCTTAAATTATTCAAATATTGGTTTATTTTGGGCGCTGTCAGCTGAGAACATTTCGTTGGAGAAGTCTGAAGTGTGGTCCACAGATGGTAAAAACTTTGATAAATGGATTTGTCAGCTTGTGTACTGTATGATTGGTTTGTGCGAGGACGTCCCAATAAGGTATCTGTTTGGTTCCTTCTTACCAGAGTCATCCATTTAATACATTAAAGTAAAATCTTGCACTCAGTGGATCGTTGTTACTCTTTCTTTGTCAGGTTATGCCAGAACATAGCAATGCTGAAAGCTGAAATTTCTGAGCTTCTATTCCCAAGTGTTATTGTTAGTCTTGCGGGAAGGATAGGGACAAATATCAATTTACACGAATTAATTACGTCACAGGTATCTCTTATATTTATTGGGTGAAATATCCAAGACTTACCAGTAATGCTCCTTTTTTGTGCCCGCTTGCATTGTTTCTTTTCTGTATATCTCTGTTTGTTGAACCAAATCCGTTTCCCTTCTCCATCTTGGTTTCTTTTTGTGAAAAAACAGAATTGAAACCATTGCAGAGAATTAGTTGTCATTTTTGGTAAAGCTTATGATTCCCATTCGGCAGGTGAAAGAGCATATCTTCATTGATTCGAACAAGCTGACAAAATCGAAGCAGATAATGTTAAATACTCTGAATGAACTGCGGATGTGTTATGTCCTCGAAAGATCGACTTTTTCTGGACAAACTAAGAGAGAAAAGGTTAGGATAAATTTTATCATTCTAGCACTGGCCTAATTGCAGTATGTTTCTTTTAAGTTCCTGTGAATAAATGTTTTCCTGCATAACAAATGTCTTCAACACCAATAACTGATAAAGGTATCTCATGGGGAGTAAATAAGGATACGCTGCTATTTTAATCCTCTTTATAGTGAAATCTGATATCATAGAAGTTTTTATATAAAAGATCTCATGACCAACACAAACGTTTAAAATGGTCGTGCAGAGTACTAAGCATTCTAGCGCTGCCAAGATTAGAGATGTGGAAACAGCATCAAATGGAATGGCAGCATCCATGACTCAAAACTGGGACAAGGTATACTCTTTATTATATTTGCTTCAGTTACCATGTATATTGTTACGAGGATGAGCATTGCTGAGGATGAGTATTGCTGATCCATGCAATACCAGAAGTCTCCTTCTCGAATTACCAGAAGTCTTCTTCTCGAAGAGCTTTCGGCTTCCTGCTAAGTTTTACAACCATGTTTTGTAGAAAAATGTGATAGGCCTTGACAGAAACACATAATTTATGTGTTATGTCATATTAGAAGAATTCAATGTTTTCAAATGATTAACATTGAGGTTTGAAAACTTAATTTTATAGCACAGCCATGCAAAACAAAGTTATCCCTGTTAGCTGTATGCTACTTCTGTGGTTAACCCCTTTTGGTGTAAATCTTTTAGTTCAATTTTTTGTTAAATATTTATGTTCCATATGGCGCCAGTTGGCTAATCCTTTATTCCTCTAGGTTTTCTTGATATCTTAATTTCAAGGATGTGCTGCTATTCTTTACCTCTTGTTTCTTTTATTCTCTTTTGAATACAGAGTTACTTTTGTTGATCAGGTTTATTGGCTTTCCATTGATTATCTTGTTGTTTCAAGATCAGCAGTGGTAAGTCATCATTTTTTCTTGCAAACTATTAACCCATTTATGAAAGTACAGTTTCTAAAGTTATTTGCAAAATGTAACTCTTTTCATTGTTGCCAGGTTTGTGGTGCATATTTGACCGCCTCCATGTATGTGGAGTATTGGTGTGAGGAGAAATTTGGCAGTCTAAGCCTCGGAGATCCTGACTTTTCTTATCATGATACGGTAATTTATAGAGAATGCATGTTATCAATTAGGATTTTTGAACTAGAAAGAATTCCTCCATGGTTTCCATCTTCTGAACCAAATAACTAATAGGCATTGTGGTTTATGCTTAATGACTATCGTCATATATGAGACTTTCATGTGATGCATTTTCAAAGAACTGTAAACTCTGTGGTCTCTATGTAGAAAAGGGGATTAGTAATAAGAATCTTTTTTCATGGTTTTATGCGGCTAAGTTTTACAACTATGCTTTGTAGGAAAATGTGATAGGCCTTGCTTATATTATGTGTTTATGCGGCAGCGAAGATGTCTGTGCCGCTTTCTAAGGTTTCGTTTTCTTTGTGGTTAACAGTTGCCGGATCATGTTGAGATACTCGTTTCTGCAATAACAAGAATAAACGAGCCTGACAGCTTGTATGGGGTTATACATTCAAACAAGGTTCGTTTCGGATTCTAAAAGTCTGTACTATGGAGTACCTATCGGATTTTTGATCTACACATTTGGAACTTTAGTCTGTACTATGTGAATAACACTTCCTATTTCTGTTATATGGATGCAATTTGAAAGTTGTCAGCTCAAATAATCACATTTGAGCATGAGGGAAACTGGACTAGGGCACTCGAGTATTATGACTTGCAAGCACGTTCACAGAAAATGGTGGTGCCTGGTAGCCTTTCTGAAAATCCAGAGATGGAAATTTTTCAGCCAACAACTAGTGCACAGCATTCTGTTTTTGTTGAAGGGGAGGTCCAGAGGCAACCTTTCAAAGGGCTCATTAGGTCGTTGCAGCAGACAGGCTGTATGCATGTTCTGGATCTGTATTGCCGGGGTTTGACTTCCCGAGAAGGATGCTTTCAGGATGATCCAGAGTTCATCGAATTGCAGGTGTTCATCTTGATTTGGTTAATCTTTTTCTTATTTTCCATGGAAGTCTGAGTCTGATGTCTACATTATAAATACTTCATGAGATAAAGAAACGATATGATTAATCAAAGATCTTGAAGGAGTAGCTTGGCAGCAATATTTACTAGATAGTCACATTATGATGAATAATTGGCCCAAATTCTGATTTAACAATTAACTAATTGAACAAGAGCCAACTGTGATAGTCTAGTTGTGGTGCTTAGGTGATAATTCAGCTGCAAACTGACTTCTTGCTTGCAGTATGAGGCTGCATGGCGTGCAGGAAAATGGGATTTTTCTTTGCTTTATCCACAGACGCACTGCCCACCTTTGCAACATATCAAGAACAATAATTATCATGAAAATCTGCACTGGTAACACATCTATCCACTTACTTTACCGATGATGCTATTCAGCCATTAGATACTTTTTCCTGTTTGTAGCTCTGGAGTACACCAAATTCATTTGACATATTATCAACACTTAATTTGCCGCTAGTCTTGAACTTTTATGTAAAAGGAATGATATGTTACTGAGGATTTTTAGAATAGATTAGTTGAAAGCTCCATAAATTGCTGGTCTTTGGCTTTTCGTTCTTGGCCCATGTCCTAGTATCAATGGTCAGTTGGGATGAAGTCCTTTTCAGCTTTGTAAAGTCCTTAACGTTATGCATGAAACACTAGCATGATTTACTTTTCAGTTGTTTGAGAGCATTGCAAGAAGGGGATTGTGATGGCTTTTATGGAAAGCTGAAGAATGCTAAGAAGGTGGCATGATTTCAGTTTATCATTATTGGATTGTAAGGAGTTTATCATGATAGTAAGAATATTTGGTTTTTCTCTTTTCAGGAGCTTGTATTTTCCATTTCCCGTTCAAGCGAAGAAAGCACTGAGTTTATATACTCAACAGTAGTGAAACTTCAGGTATGGATTTATAAATTGACATAAAAGAACAACATCTTTTTTATATCATACTTGTCATCTGGATGCCAAATTTTTATTTCACTTGGGTTACTTTGTACTCCTTTTTCTTCATGTGTTTATTTTCATAATGGTACACTATGTGAGTGCCATACTTCGTTTCTTGCTTAAGTTTGTCTTGATGGTAGAAATCCTAAATAACTGCAAGCATCTGTAGCGCATGAACATTTGACTTATCTCAGGTGTCCCGAGTTCCAAAACTTTACTAAAGTTGAGATGTTCATCTTTTAAAAAGATACCTTTCCATTTCAAATATTTCCTCACAAAACCATATCCCAAAGACTAAAGAATTCATCTGATAAGCAGTCCCTAAATAGTTGTCCAAAAAAAAAAGCAGTTGTCCCTAAATAATTCACCCTAAATTGAACTTGAACTTTCTAGCTGTGAGAGATGTGAACGCAAGCTGCATGTTTATTTAAGATCTTAGGAAAATGTTAAGAAATGTGCTGATGCTAAAGATTTCGGGTGTCTTTGGTAAACAATTGCTTTGACTTTTTCCTATGTGATTCTCATTTATCATCTCCAGATTCTTTATCATCTTGGACTAGTTTGGGATCTTCGCTGGAAGACATCTTCACATCAGAGTGTGGATGGCTATCCAGTCAAACAAATGGCATGCGCGGACCCCGCGACTCCAACAATGGAGCAGGTATTTTCCCTTGTAAATTCTAATTTTTTAAGTGGTAGTTTACTAGCTTCTGGTGAATGATTTAAAGTGTCAAGAGTTGATGATATTACTTACTAGTAACATGTCCAAGTGGAAAAAACACCAAAGCTATTTATGTACATTTGCATATGCACAAACTACCTAGACGCTAAGTGAGATAATAGTGTTTGCTGAGGCCATATTAAATTATGAACTACAGTTGTCTTGGCTGAACAAGGATTGGAGCTCTATTATTACGCAAACTCAGTTGCACATGAATTTGTTGGAGCCATTTATTGCATTTAGGCGAGTTCTCCTCCAAATCTTGGGATGTGAGGAATGCACCATGCAACATCTCTTGCAGTCTTCTTCGCTACTTCGCAAGGTATGTATAATATGAAAAACTACAATCTCACTTGTATTAGAATGCAGTGGGCAACACATTATCTTGTTGTTTTCAGGGATCAAGGTTTTCTCATGCAGCTGCGTCACTGCATGAGTTCAAATTTCTTTGTGCAAGAAGTGATGGACAACAACCTGTTCCAGATTGGCTTGGAAGGGTACATTTTTTATGACTAAGCTTTGCATGTTTCATGGATTTTAAATATCACCCTTTTTCTCCTAAATAGTTCATATTTCTAATGAGACTTTTACCTTTTTGACATTTATGAGAGTGAGACATGATTTACAACTGCCAAAATTCTGAACACTCCTACTTTTTATCCGTGCTTCCTTCTGTCAACAGATAGTTGTGACCTAGGACATAAAAAAAGCTCTTGAACATAAGCATACAAGACTTCTTTTCAACTTATATTAGTTACTTTGCCTCTTAGTTTAAACCATGGTAATACATCTGGCTATCACAAAGAGATATGCTTCCCAGTAACTTTTTGTGCTTTTTCAGCTTGAAGAGGCAAAGCTATTACATGCCCAAGGGCGTCATGAAGTTGCCATCAGTCTGTCAAGCTACATCTTACAAAATTATCAATTAAAAGAAGAGGCTTCAGATATATATCGTGTGATTGGAAAGTGGCTAGCAGAAACCCGATCTAGCAAGTAAATCAACTGTTACTTTTATTATTTTGGTTGAAAGTATTTTCCGTCTATGTTCGTCATGATCTTTTCAGAAATCCCAACTCCGTTCTCTTTTTGTTTTCTCTTGGATATAGTTCTAGAACAATTTTAGAGAAGTATCTCAAGCCTGCAGTTTCACTTGCCGAAAAACAGAGTTCCAAGATCTGCAAAAGGTTGGTAGAAAGACAGAGCCAAACTTGGTTTCATCTGGCTCATTATGCAGATGCTCTATTTAAGAGTTATGAGGAAAGACTCTCCTCCAGTGAATGGCAAGCTGCAATGAGGCTACGAAAACACAAGGTCTCCGCCTTTGGTTACTCAAATTTCACCATTTGGAATTTTTTGTTTAGAAAATGCCTATTCTTTTTTTCTTTATAAACGGGCGCAAATAAATGAATCTCAACCCCGACTTTTTTTGTTCTTCTTCTGCTGTCGGGGAGAAACTAACTAGTGTGCTTAATCTATCAGACGAAAGAGTTGGAGGCGCTTGTTAAACGGTATAAGAGTTCAAAGAAGGTAACTAGTTGTCTCTCTCTGTTTGTTTGATCTCTGAATAGATCTCTTTGCAAAGCACAGGGTGATTGCTTGTCTAGACAAGTTTCTCATTTTGTTTCATATTGGTCTTTTACTGTGCTAGGGGGAACAATCTGATATTTCACTGAAGATTCAGGATCTGCAGAAGCAACTAACTATGGACAAAGAAGAGGCAGAAAAACTGCAGGTTTCCTTTATATCGCCTGATAATCTGACTGCTGCGGAGTAGTCGTCATTATTTTTGCTTGATATGTGATATTTTCTGATTTGTTATCTCCCCCTTTCTCCTCTAATTGCATAGGTTGACAGGGATAACTTTCTGAAACTTGCGTTGGAGGGGTATCAACGTTGTCTGGAAATTGGTGACAAGTATGATGTCCGAGTGGTATGTTATCTAAGTATTTAAGTGAGATCTGTCTAGATTCCATCCTTTATAACAATGAGGAAGCGTTTGAGTTGGCTTTAGAGTCACATATGAAGTTCCTTAACATCTATGTTTAGAGCATCTAGTGAACCTCCACATCTATGTTTTGCTACTATGATCACTCTACGATACTAGAATTGGGTTTCATATTAGTCCTTAACATCTATCAAGCAGCAATGTTATATTTTTTTGGTCGTCTTCAGTGGTCCACCGTGTCTTCTCATTTCCCTGTTTTGGGCTGTGGTTTTTAGCTGCTTGTTGACATTTGTATTCTGTATGAAATTATATTGTTGAAATACAGAAATAGTGTTGGAACTAAATTTTCTGTTTCCAGGTATTTCGACTAGTATCCATGTGGTTCAATCTCGCCTCCCAGAAAAATGTTATAGATAACATGTTGAGTACCATTAAAGAGGTACATGACTAACGGGGTCAGATTATTTGTTAAAGAGGAGGTTTTTGGTTTTTTCTCCAATTTTTTATTTTAAATTAAGCAATCTTAATCTCCCTAAGCATTCTTGCAGGTTCAGTCTTACAAATTTGTACCACTTGTTTATCAAATTGCTTCAAGGCTGGGCAGTTCTAGAGATGAATCCGGATCTAGCAGCTTTCAGGTGGAATGCATTTTTACTTGGGTGTTATTGGAAACTTGAGACCATAACGTTTCTAGCTAATCTCTACTATTTACCACTTGCAGTCTGCTCTGGTTTCACTTGTCAGAAAAATGGCCATTGATCATCCATACCACACAGTCTTTCAGGTTATGAACAACATGTCCATCTTCTGTATAATATACGTTTATTTTTTCTTGTCCGATTAACTGGCATCTGATTTGTTAGAAGTACACTGTAATAAAACCCTTGAATAACCGACGGCATCTCGAATCTGTTGAAATTAGTGAAAGTAGTAAAAGTCTGCTGTGCTCTGTAGCATACCATGGAAATCACTTTATTAGCAAGTGACTTTGTCTCTCTCTTTTGAAGTTGCGTTTCTAAATGCTGGATATATGTTTGTATTTTATTTAATTCTAGCTTCTGGCTTTGGCAAACGGTGACCGTATCAAAGATAACCAACGCAGTAGAAATTCCTTCGTGGTGGATATGGATAAAAAGCTTGCAGCAGAGCATCTCTTGCAGGATGTATCACATTATCATGGGCCTATGATCAGACAGGTAAACCTTATTTTCATTTAATATTATGCATCATAGACCAATTTTTGTGGTTACTTATTAGCAAATCCTGATTTTGGTTTTCAGATGAAACAACTGGTAGATATCTACATTAAGCTTGCAGAGCTTGAAACAAGGAGGGAGGTCAGATAATACTTTGAGATTAGAGGAAGTGTTTTGTTATGCTGTTTGCTGAACTTAAGTATCATTTGCGGAACTCTTTCCTTTGCAGGATACCAACAGAAGGGTAGCATTACCTAGAGAAATCCGTAGTGTGAAACAATTGGAACTTGTAAGCACACCGTTTTTACCTATTCATTTGCATTATTACTAGCTTGTAGGACACCATGTCACGGCTCCATGTATGAAATTTGTGTCTTTAATTTTGACATCAAAGATAGAAAATAAGAACATTTCGTGGGTCATCTTGAGAGGCTGCTACTCCTATACATATATTTGAAGATTTAATGGAAGCTAAATTTAAGAACTGTTTAGCAAATCTGGTCCTATGTGTTGGTCTGATCCTTGTCTTTTAATTCATCTGCTCCCATGTCCTCTGTTTTGAGTCTGTTGCAACTCCTAACAAGATCAATTCTTGTCTGAACGAATTGTGGTGATACAGTTTTCTCGTTGTCTATTTAGTTGGAAGAGATGTTTCGTCGCATGAGCTTCCAAGCATGTTTTTTCCCCATAATCCTTCCTAGTTCAGATGCTTATTCTCTATGCTTCTGATGTATCTATCAAATTGTATTGTTTTCGATTTTGTTTTTGAGTTTAGGTACCTGTAGTGACTGCTACAATTCCTGTTGATCGTAGCTGCCAATACAATGAAGGGTCGTTCCCTTCTTTCAGAGGTTTATCAGATTCTGTTACGTAAGTCTTGCTCAATCAATATAACCATATCCTTTGGCATTTCTAGTTTAAGAGGGTACCTTGAAACCACGTATTTTGGATATGCAGAGTGATGAACGGTATAAATGCTCCAAAAGTAGTTGAATGCTTTGGTTCTGATGGCCGAAAATATAAGCAACTTGCAAAATCTGGCAATGATGACCTCAGACAAGATGCTGTAAGGGTTCAAATTAATATTCTGATTATCTTTGCAATGTTTGTAATATGATACAGTGTGTGTGTCACTGCTCATTCTGCTGGCAGAAAATTGAAAAGATGATGAGCTAGTCAAGCATTAGATACACAACGGTCTAGTTATGCAAAGCGAATACCATTTGTTTCAGGTTATGGAACAATTTTTTGGGCTCGTCAATACCTTTCTACACAATAACAGGGACACATGGAAGAGACGATTAGCTGTACGCACATACAAGGTATGTCTCATCTACAAGAGGCTGTCCATGATTTTCGAGAAAATTTAATCTGTTCAGTAAGTTGAATACCTTTTATAATGCACATATACATACATATTCTCAGGTTATTCCTTTTACTCCAAGCGCTGGTGTTCTTGAGTGGGTCGATGGCACAATTCCGCTTGGAGATTATCTTATAGGAAGGTTGGTCTAGTAGACTAGTATTTACAGTTACATGATACAAGAATTGCTCTTTCAAGTCGTGACAGTACGAATGGCTGTTTGGATATCAAATAACAGCTCAAGGAGTGACGGTGCTCATGGTCGTTACGGCATTGGAAACTGGAAATATGGCAAATGCCGAGAACATATGTCGAATGTAAGCTCATTACGTTTCTCAGATCTTCTTAGTTGGCCATCATTTGACATCTGGTAATTTGCCTCAATTTATCTGGGGTGGTTGGTGGCTTGCAGGCAAAGGACAAGCGCAAAGCCTTCGGGGATGTCTGCACAAACTTTAGGTTTCGTACTTTCGTTCTTTGTGAAACTCTAGTACACTCACTAACTACTAGTTAGTAGTTGACAAAATGCATCTCCTTTTGCAGGCCTGTCATGCATTACTTTTTCCTAGAAAAGTTCCTGCAGCCTGCTGACTGGTTTGTGAAGAGGCTTGCTTATACACGTAGTGTTGCAGCTAGTTCAATGGCAAGTTTACCCTCCTATTCAATTTGACATCCAATAGGAAATGGTTGGTATAGATATGCTCTTTATTTTCCCCCTCTGATTCATCTGACATTTGGCATTTGTTTTGCTATCAGGTTGGGTACATCGTTGGTCTTGGTGACCGTCATGCCATGAATATCTTAATCGATCAAGCGACAGCAGAAGTTATTCACATAGATCTTGGAGTTGCCTTTGAACAAGGATTAATGCTCAAGACTCCTGAAAGGGTTTGTTCTCTCTTCCATCTGCTTTGTTTAGATATTCAGTTGATCTTCCTCTAATATATATAGTCTTTGCACGATTCTCATTTTTTCAATTTTTGTCACAGGTCCCGTTTAGGCTGACAAGAGACATAATTGATGGAATGGGTATCACAGGAGTGGAAGGCGTTTTCAGGAAATGTTGCGAAGAAACCCTGTCTGTGATGCGAGCAAATAAGGAGGCGCTGCTTACAATTGTTGAAGTAACCAAATCTGAAAGCTTGATATCAGTACATAAATTTATAAAATGACATATTTCGAATGCTTAATCAAGGCCGCTTGTTTTGCAGGTTTTCATACATGATCCTCTGTACAAATGGGCCTTGTCCCCCTTAAAGGCTTTGCAAAGACAGAAGGTACTTCGGACTCTTTTAGTTGCAACCTCCGCAAAGAAGTTGTCATTTCTCACACAAAAGTCTTTGATCCAGGAAACCGAAGATTATGATGGCATGAACTTGGAAGGATTACAAGAGGAATTCGAAGGTAACAAGGATGCTGCACGTGCCTTGATGCGTGTCAAGCAAAAACTTGATGGCTATGAGGGTGGTGAGATGAGAAGCATACATGGCCAGGTAAATTTCTTTTTTTGGGTTGACATTTTGATCAAAAGTTAAAACAGCAAAAGCTTTAGGTTGTTCTTTGTTCACGAGTTAACTGAGTGTATTTGCTCAAATACTTGTTGCTTTGTAGGCACAGCAACTAATACAAGATGCAATTGACTCGGATCGTTTATCCCATATGTTCCCTGGATGGGGAGCCTGGATGTAAACAACCACCTTCTTCTATTCCATTTTTTGGTGTAGATAAACAAATCTTGATGTAAAGCTCCAATACTCAGCTTCCAGATTTTGTATTTAACTCATGACTCAGGAGGGGATGGAGCATTCTAATCGGGGAAATTTTCGGGATAAAAAGTTAATGTGAATATAAATATTCCAAATTCTCTTGTTCATCTCATCTTTTATATCCTTTCCCTCAAATCTGCAGAAACACGGGCAAAACATTTCAAGTCATAACTACATATTTAAAACATTTCACAAATCCAGACCATTACTCAACCAGTTCATGCATCTGAAACAAGCATCAAATTCGTCACCTCCATACTTATTTTTTTCCAGTGATATAAGTTGTTATCGTCCACGATTGCCAAGGAGAAGAAGACTCCTGAGAGTCAAAGCAGGAAGCCATGAGGTCCCTTTTGCTGACTGTTGGAATTTGGTTCGATTTTTAAAAAGTTTGGGTTGTAGTTTGGTTCATGGAGTATAATTACAAATTTCGGTTTCCGACCCCGTGTACAATTTGTTGCAGTTACGCCGAGGCTTACATTACAAATGGTAACGTTTACACAAACACATACATACTAGGTTTGACCCGTGTCCAGCACGGGGTGATGGTTTCTGAATTTGTATTATTTATCAAAACATGTTTATTTAAGTATCTCTATATTATACTTGCTTTACCCAAAAAAAAAAAAATCTATATTATACTTTAGGCATATAACTAAAAAGAAAAAAAAAAATATTTCCTATGAATTTCGAAGTTCTAGTGATATTTTTTGTGTATCTTTTCCATTGATCAAAACAGTATCAATGTGACCCACTTCCACAATTTGACTAACATCTTATATTAACAAAATAAAGATGATATAGTTAGATCAATTATTATCGTGATGAATAATAATACAAACACAAACAAAAAAAATTTAAACTTTACTAAACAATAAGTGATATTCGAAATAAGGTGTTGCTATTGCTTCTTCGGTGGTTCTTATATAGTATGTAGATTAGGACTTACTGCAATATTGACTCACATTTACTCGTGATTGAAAAAATTGAATCTCACTTACCAAAAGTTTAATAACAATTACACATATTACGGCCCACATTATTATTTGATTATCATCTTCTGCTTATAATCAGCTGCCAAGAATAATTGTAATTGAGGATATATTTGGATTAAACAATAAAACTTTCTTCCCTTATTATAACGAATTAATTTCAAATTCTCCCATATTATAACTGTAAACTTTACTAAAATATAAGTCAAATAATGGCATATATATTAATGATGATTAAGCTATGACTTTACGTTAAACCTCAAATCATAAAAGCCATTTTGAATTTACATTTATTTAAAATGCCATGCACATAAATAAAAAAATGCCTTGCACTACGATTTGTTGTCACCTATTCTTATTGCATGAGTTACATTTTGTCTATAAACCAATGTATCATGCAAAAACCAGAGAAATAATTAATTGATTTAATTCATACTAAAATTCACAACCATTAATTTTAAATAAGTGAAATAAGTGTATAATAAATTCATATTTTGTATGAAATTATTTATTGAAACTAAATAATATATGTCAATATCAAACTCACGATTATATGTTAAATATTCTTGATTTAATGTTGAATATAAAACAATGAGGTATGTAAAATAAATGATAGAATGAATAAATATAATGCATACAAAACGTATGTATATAAGTACATTAATCAATTGCATAATACTTGATTAGTTATTTTATGGTAATAATATGTTTGGTTAATTATTTTATGATTTTGGTTGTAACCAAATAATTAAGAGAAAGAATGCAATGGCATATAATGTAAATAGTCTAGTAAATGTTGTCTTAATTAAAAAGTGTTTTGAGAGTGAACCTGGTGTAATGACACGTCAGCATGACATTTTGGTTAATAACACATGGAACAAAGTTTATTTCAAAGTGTTTTCTCTTTTAATATATTAGGGATAAGAATAATAACACCTACAGATCATTGGTTTGAAGCGAACCCATTAGAATAGTGGTTTCTTTGTCTTTCTTCGTCTTTCCAAACAAACCCGACAGGAATCGTAGAGGCAAGACAGACACAGAATCTGCTTTCTTCTCCGACACTTGCAGCTCCGCAGAGCTTTTCTTCGGGTTTAGTTGAGCTCCGCAATGGCAGTTTGAGAGTCTTGAGAAGCATCTCTTGTGGAAAACCGAACCACAAGACCGGCATTTCTTAACCTCATCTTCCTGCTAATCATTTCATCAATAATATATGTTGATACATTAACCAAAATATGAGCTATAGCGCAACACAGACTGTAGTATTCATTACAACCGTAATGTAGATGCTCACCTGGAACGGAAATATTAAAGAGGATGTGTCGTCACAAGCTTGTCTGGCATTACAGGGAATCCCTACGTCACAACAAACAAGGCACTGTTCTGTAATATGCTCCAGGATTTTCCTCCTAACGGTCTCCACGATTGCAGGAAGTGCTGCCATTCAAAATTAACGTCTTTAAATCTCTTGAATAAAAGTTACAAATGCAAAGACATAGATAAAACTGTTAGACATCAAGCAAGTAGTAGCGTGGGAATTGACTTGTAAATCAACTGCTAGAGATATATACAATCTGAATCCAACTTCATATGAGCCTCTGCACACATGAACTTGAAAATTTTGTTCAAGAAAAGAAAATTCACCTGCAAATGGCCCTTTAGAAAGATCAATTAGATCTCTCAAAGCAAAAAAATCAGTGCTCTCAAGAACGTATCTCCGAGAACTGAGTCCTCTGTTGAGTGTCTTGCGGAATGGGCAGCGTACATAAGGAATCATCATGGTTATCCTTTTCCGGATGCTCATAATATGGTTCAGTGCAGGGACCTTCGAGGACAGAAAAGGATTGACCGCACTGACACAAAGCATAGGCTGCAAAATAAGATTTGTCACAAACATCAACCATATGCTTGAGCAGATAATGTAATCATATACAGGTATCAACTCTATATGCGTACCACAGCAAGTGTTATACTTCTACCCAAATTACCTGCTCGTGGATGGAGTCCAGATATGATTTTGCCAGCTGAGAAACTGGATAACGATTAAAATCCCAGTGATGTAACACTCTCGCTGGCAGGACTGCCATGTCATTTGTATGGCAGGTTGAACAAAACAACTGACCAGTATATTCGCAAAGCCGCGTCTTACCCCATCCAAGGGCTTTCACAAAGTCCCGCACAAGAGTGGCTCCATCATCAAAGTATATGTGACATCCAGCGCAAATGTAATGCTGAGCTTCTAGCAACTGCTTCACTGATTTGTGAGGCCGAATATCAACAATGAGCGAGATGGTATTCCCATATGAAGAATTGGTTGCAGCAAAGGTATTGCCAGCAGAGCCTGTTGGAGAGAATATAGAATCCGACCCAGAAGAACTTGCATCTTGAGGGGACAAAAACCGAAGTAGAGCATTTGGAAGTGCGGGGAAGAATCGAGACTGGAGAACTGAATTTAAACAATCTTCAATAAGGACAGTCCTCTCAGAAACGGCACTGATCGATGTTCCAAATACTTTCCGGGATTCTTTTTCCACAGAGGCCCAAGGTGTAGGAAGCGTCCAGCCTTGATCAGCAAATAAAGATGTCAGACGACGGTAGAGACTATAGAAGTCACGATATCTTCTTTCAATTTCCCAATTGTCCATTCCACTCCAAACCCTTATGACATAAACTGTGTATTCCTTCACCCCAACCAGTCTCTCACTCAGCGAGACATCGCCTTTCTTTTGCTTTACCCCGACAACTTCAACCCTATCAATCCTAAACCGCTGGGAAACTATTGGAGATGAATCATCCAGGCCAGACGTTGTGGCAGTTTGTCCCCCATCCCTGTTAGGCAGAGAGAGCTGTAGTTGGAACATCTTGTCACTCTTAGAATACCTTGCCCCAGATGATTCACCAGAGTCGAGCAGGATTTCTTCCATATCATGAACAAAATCATCGTAGAAGTCGTTAAGTTCTGTGTTCTCCTTCTGCAAGATGAGCAATCCAAAACCAAAAAAACTTCAATAAAATAATAAGAGAATCAAATCAAAAGGAGATACAGTAGAATCCATGAAGTTTACAGATTGCACGAGCCCTCCTTCATGAGGACAGTAACACAACAGTAGTAAAACGAGATCCAGTCAAACCCTCAGATTCAGTGTTTAAACGTGAAAAGACCATAATAAATTGTAATGCACTTATTACCTAGAAACAGAGCATGAAAAATCCGACAGACTTCAAAAATAACCGAAGGACACATTCTACCAATACAAGCAAAGATAAATAGTAATATAAATTGACAGGCAGAAACAAGTTAACGTAAAAAATGTTTCATATATCAAGCAGCTGACCTTAGGTTGGGAGTAAGTAACTTGCAAGGCATCTATTGCAGGATGAAAATCTCTACATGACGGCTTATCAGAGTTACAAGATGCTAACAACGATTCTGAGGTGTCTCCATATGGATCTGACTGTTTTGCATTCTCAAATGATTCATGAACTTGCCCATCTAGGTCGTGAACCCCGCCTGAAGAATCTACGTTTCCTAACTCAATTGGTGTGCTATCCAGGACATCATCAGCACCACAAGATTGAAGATAATTCATGACTACAGGTTTATCTCCAGTTTCATTTTTGCTAAGGCAGCTATCTCGAATAGATTCTTCTTTTACTAGTGATTGAGGAACCACCAAGGTTTTGACTTCAGTGCTCAAATCTCCAGAACCTCTGACACTTATGCTGTCTCTTGCAATGCCACCTTTCTCCCTTTGAGTCAAAACAGATAAATCTCTAGATCTTACTATATCTTCAACATCTGCAGAGAAGTCACCTACATCTGGAGCATGCCTAGTGCTTACAGTTACGTTTATCTGTTCTTGCCTTGTTCCTGCTTGAGCTGCATCTGGAACCTTTTGTAAAACTGCAGAAAATGTTCTTGTAGATGTCCCTTCACTTTCAGTACACTCTTTTCCACGTTCCCCAAATCCACTGAAGTCAAACTGAGTGTCAACAAGTTCTGTGGCTTCAAGCTCAAACTCATCCCAATCATTTGTACCAAAGGCAGTGGACGAATTGATTAGAAACGGATTATCGTTCTCAGCTTCAGACTCTAAACTCCGTGGAAAACATAAATTTCTGCGAGAATGATCACCTGTATCTGGAAGTGAATCATCACCATCAGAATCCTCATCATCCACATCACTCAACTGATTCATCGAATCATTTCCATTTGCAGCACCATCACAAACCTTAGTACCCATCAAACCATCATCACAAACCTTAGCACTGAATCCAGTTTCTCTGATCATATCATTGTTCACTTTCCCAGTGCTTGTCTCTCCTGCACCACTACCTCTCTCATCGTAATACCCGTTCGTGATACCACCTAACCGTGTCTTATCCAAAGAGGAGAGCTTTATTAAACTTGGTCCCAAGCTAAAATTCTCGAACTCAGTGGCATCCCCAGACAAAAAACTTCCTTTGAAAGAGCCGAATTCAGATTCCAACGAATCGTGAAATGGTCCTGTGGAGCTGCACATACTCGGCGTTCCCATAGCCGAATTCGCACTACAGTACCGCTCAAACTCCGATTCACCACAGGATGAGTAATGCAACGATGAGACCGGAGAGGCATCCCCGCCGATTCCCTCTAGAGAGGCGACTCTCGAGGATTCCTCTCGAGTGTCCTCCCCATTGATCATTTGGCACCACCACCACCAAAATCAATATCGAATCGACTCGGACGAGGACAGTAATCCAATGAAATTTGAGAAAATTCGATACAGTGATAAGGAACGGAGGTGGATACACACACCAATTGATGCAGATCCAGGCACGGCGAAATCGAAAATCAGATGAGATTGAAAACGGAAACTGATCGACCCAAGCACTTGAGAAAGACGAAGCAACTGGGAAAACTAAGAATTAGGATTTCGTGCACGATAAAAGCTGGGGAATACGTACATCAGTTTCGTCTTTCTGCTTTGAGCTTCTTCCTTTCCTTCGAATTGGAATTTTTCGGGAGAAACAGAGAAAAGGCATGAAGCGAGGATTGGCAGCGACGCTGACATTTTCTGATTATTTTTTCATTATTTCTTTAAATCATTAATTATGTAACGATAAGTCGATAATATATTGTTTTGTCGTGAAAGATAATGAAAATACAAGTCAGCTATCGATCGATTTTTTTTTTTCTTTTTTTTATCGATCAGTGAAAATACAAGTCAGCCATCGATCGATTATCCATAAGCTTTATAGTTTTAAAACTCAATATCTGAAATTAAATAAATATTGCAAGCATTAATAACTGTAATTATTGGGCACTTGAATAATTGAATAAACTTCAATTTGGTAAATCCATCCTTCAGTTATTAGTTAGTTACGAATTCAGCTTCATGCCAAGTGTTAACAACTTAACATAACAGTATAACACCTACAAAAACCAAAAAAATACAAGTGTAACAAAGTATATCTTCAATAGTACAATACCACCATGACTTCAAAGATAAAATATTGATCAACCGATACAGACTGAATCCACCAAGCAAGAATATGACATTTATTTTCTCTGTTTATTATTCACTTTGAAGCAAAAATGGCCTCTAAATCTTTGTAAAGTCCCTTAGGTCTGGACTTGTAATCTGAAGATGACTCTTTAGAAGAGCTTCCACTAGTCTTTGTTCCCCAAATACTACTGCTCCAACCACTTTTGCTCCCAGACGGATCACTAGGAACCTTACTATTGCTCCTGTCTCTCGTGAAGCTTGCCTTTGCCATTTCCCTAATATGTTTCAACCACGGCTTGTCCAAGCTACCGGAGCTCCGACTTCCAGAAGAGTTTCTATACCTATTATCCGGTGTTGCGAAAGCAGTGCCTCCATTGCTGCTGCTTCTTCCTTCGAGCTGAGCCGCAGGGATCTTGTTCTTCACCAGCTTCTGAGGCAAGATCAACGCGGCAAGTCCAATGATAAACATCTTGAGACCACTTAAGAAGGATCTGTTGATCTGGTCTAACCTCTTCGTCTGTTTGTACAATGAGTACCATTCGTTGCACATCTGAGTAATGAAGCCAATCAAGAACAGTACGACCATGAATATCCCGAGCTTCTTTCCGGTCTCTTCTTGAAAGTCTTTCGCCAAGATGATAAGACACGAGGCAAGAACACCAACTTGAGATGCTATTGTGATGATCTCTACAAGCTGTACTTTTTTCTTGATGAAAGGCTTCTTCAGAACAAGAAAGAACAGCTGGAAAGAAGTGATGCTCAGCAAGACAACTATGGGAGTTTTAGCAGTCTTGTTGTCCAAGTAAGCACCAGCGATGATCCCTAAACAAACCCTCTTCACGGTTTCAAGAAACGTGTAGTAAATCCTGAGGATTCCAAACAGTTTCTGTATGCAAGGAGCTTCAGCGTCTTCTGTTTCATCATCTGATGCGATGATGCGATCGTCTCGTTGCTTGAGTGGGTTGCTTCCTGAGATCTGCGTGAGCATGTACTTTGGTGGACCTCTTAAGTCTTCGAAAACCGGACCTAACCTAGTTAGATAGACAGAGTTCTGCTCTGTTTTCCATGTCCATTGGCCTCTTTTACCAGGACCAAGCGTCACTCGGATGAGTTCTTGGTACCAGTGGAAAGTCTCGCCTTCTTGATGAATCTCTTTGTACTGTAATAACTTTCCGAAAGTTATCCCGACCGAGAGGAAGAGAAACAATGCCAGAAGCAGAACAGCTACCACGCAAAGCACAAGGATACCGACAATGACACTGGCCTCTGCAGCTCCTTTATGTTTAAAATAGCCTGAGAAAGAGAGAGAACTTAGTGCAAGTTGTTAACAAAGATTTTAGGAGGCTAGTATTAAACCATACCTTGTATGAGGCTCCTGGCAGCTTTGCAGATTGAAGGTAAGGCGAGAATGAGAAGAAAGAGCTCGAATCTTGGGAAGACAAACGCACCGAAACTCCTCTTCTTCTCAGTGTGTGCTTTCTTGAACTTGAGTATCAGAGAGAGTAATATATGAAGTAGTACTAAACTGCCTCCGATTATTGCTATCCAAAACATGATCCTATAGAAATCTGTCCACCTACAAGAAAGAAGAACGAAAGTTTCAAATACTTATGGCTTCTTCTTAAATCAACTGTAAGCAGCAACTAATGCTGAAATGAAACCTGCATAAAGAAAAGACAGGAGTACAAACGTGGATTGTAGGGACTTACACTGTTGCATGCGGTAGACCAAGAACATGTTCTGCTTCTGGCTTAAGATTTGAGGTCTGTAAACAACATGAACCAAAGGGTACTAAACACAGCGCAAAGAAAACAACACAAGAATCATCTGTGAAGAGTTTAGTTTCTTCTGACCTCAAAGAATAATCTGTACTCCATTGCGGTGAGTGGCAATCCGAAAACTGACTCAGCGTTGGTTGATGTCTGCAGATTATTCATATTGTTCTCCGTCTTAGAAAGGAAGGAGCGTGGACCAATGTAAGGACTTGAGGCCACCATGATCTGTTCGTTGTGCTTAGTTTCCCATGGAAGAGGAAAATAAGGGATTATCCACTGAATGCCTCTCACAAACTCGTAGTAATCCACAGGCAATGTCACAGGTAACCATCTCGAGAGTGCAAAAAACTGAATGTGACAAGCAGTTCTCTGCATAGAAGTAAGTAACCCACACAATACCATTGGTTAATCATATGGTCTACAAGAAAAACACAAAGGCAACATAAGTGTAGAAACTCATACGAAAAGATTCCTAGTGGGGTCTGATATCAGATAAGGAGATGGTCTTGGAAATGCTCCGAGAGAATAAAGGCTTGTGGTTGAGAGAGTGAGAAGTCCAGCAACGAAAGATGTCACCAAGAAAATGTAAGTTGATACCCAAGATATCACAGAGGACATCACTGGCACAGAATCTACAATTTAACGTACAAACATTTAAAATCCATAGGCAGAAGTAGAAAAAAAATCAAAATCATAGCTTGATAACACAAATTTAAAGTTGTTAAAACGCTTACAATGTTTCACTTCTAAGATGTTGGATGCGAGATTTTTATTTCCTGCAACATCTTGAGTAACATTTTCAGGAATCTTAACAGAGATTGTACTGGTGTTGGCTTTGACATATACAATGTATATGCTTCCACTCAGTTCCTCAAAGCTGACATTTAGTAGAAAACAAAAGAATTTTATACGAAGAAGAAGAAAATCAAGAAGTTACAGTACAAGAAACACAAGATCACTAACCTATCAAGATATCCACCTGAGATCGACACAAATGAGGAGTTAAACCCAAACACTGGCTTCATGAACTTTATCCAAACAGGAATGGTGTGCTTTCTTGTCCTCATACCAGATGTTGTGTTCAATACAACATCAGGCCTCTCAGTATCTAAGACCAAGAGCATACATTTCTTGTTCAAGGAGAGAAGCAAACACAAGAATCTGGAAGAAAAACAATAACGTATCGCTTAAGTTACCGTAAAGAAAAGTCAGTGGTGCAGTAGGAGATGCAGGTGTCCCATGTCTGCTTCTTATTGACTTTGAGTTAAGAGTCACCGTGACGATAGCACGCTGTGATGTATTTGTGACCTGAAAATAAGAGTGTGAATGTTACATGAAACGAAATATAGCACCAAAGAACCTTGAGAAGAAGCAGGAGAAGCACAAACCATAAACGCAAAACGGCGATTCCCGTTGGTTTTTCCATCAATAGGAAGCAAATCACCTTGGTTTGTTCTTAGTAGTCTGAGAATTTCAGTTGAAGAATTCAGTACCGGTTCCGAGAAATACAAGTAAACATTCAACTTGTCGTTATCATTGGTTGCCTGCACTGTCCTAGTTTGGTTGTTCAGCTTCAGTAACTTCTCCGGGACGTGAGTACGCAGGTTGACAAAAACGTTTCTTCTATCTACGTGCCAAGAAATTTCAAAATCAGTCTCCCTTTAATCTCTTAGAACAAAACCAGGAGGAGAAAAGAGTAAAGACACTCACCAAAATGGACAAAGAAACGTGAACCCAAAGCTCTTTTAAAATTGTTACCGACTGTATCAGAACAGACACTCTTGTTCATCACCAACACAATCCTTCCATATTGAGCATCTGGAGATAATCCCACAAGCAGTGAATATCTGAGATATTTGTCAAGAACGGTGACTGAAGATGGTATAACTTGGCCAGCACCGTAGACAAGAAGCTGTTACATAATTCAGTGCCGTGTTAAGAGTTACAGAACAAGAAGATGAAACCTCAACAAAGATTTTGATGAATGTAAATAAGGTTACGTACTCACGTCGCAGGCATTCACAGATGAACATTTGAAACCTCCTCCACCAACACATGGCTCGCTAAAAGTGACGTTAACAGAGAGGTTTTGTGCACTTGTAAATGGCATTGATGCAGTTACAAATGCTGTAGGAGAAACCGTATCTGCATACACAATTTTACAGCTTAAGTAAAGTCTGAAATCGAATACATTCAAGCAATACAAGAACCAATGGTTTTGGTAAAAGGAAGTGTGTATTCTACAACAAAGAGAGATTTAAAGGAAACAACTCTGATCTATTTGACTATTTCAGACAAGAAGATTCCTAGGAGAGAATCAGAGGAGTTGAAAGAATGGTTTCTTTACCAACACTCCAATTATAGCTATTGCAGCCAAATCCAGGCATCCGATTTGCGCAGACCTCAAGTGTATGATTACCATCCAGCAGCTTGGAGTAGGAAACTCTTCTTTGGAGGCAATCCAAACTAAAGTGGTCATCTAGCTGCAGAGAACACAATATTTTTTCATCAACAAGTGTGACTTGTTGACCATGAAAACAAACTTCAAATAAGTTGACACAAGTCTTGAATTCAGACTCAAAACTCTAGTCTCCTCCAACACATAGTTATTAGGCCAACAGACAAATCTCAGAACTGGAAAGCCTAACAATAAACTAAAATAAATAAATTCAACCTTGCAACGGAATTTGCAGCTTGAACAAGTTCTGTTTCCATCCTCAAAAGCTTGAAAGGAAAATTTGGCCGAGTTAAATCTAGAAATAAGAGGAGGTGCTTTCAAGAACTTGACAGAGAGCTCTGAACCAAAACAGTGATGAAACCTGAAACAAAAAGAGGAAAAGACAACCCAGAGAAGCAAAAGAATCCATGCACTTTTAAGCAGACCCATTTCTTCAACAAACAAATTATGATGCACTCATCAAGACAGAAAAAAAAAATTATAAGCAAAGCAGAGCCATGAGCTTCACTGAGTTTATTCTAGACAAAGTGGAAGAAGACATTGTAGAGATAATGAGTTGGTGAAGAGAAAAAGAGAGAGAGGCATAGGATTAAAAAAAACAAGATGGATACTTGCTTGTGTGGTCGATGATGGCTGTGCAAGAGAGATAACGGATAGTGTATGCATGAGAGCGATGGGAGATACAGTGATTGGAAGATATACATAGAGAGAGAGACTAATTGAAGAAACAGACAAACTCTTGAAGAATTTATTATTATTCCAGGACTTGTCTCTTTTACATACAAAACATCAAAAAAACATTGGGAGTAGTAACTTGTTACTTAATCTTTGATAAACTTTTTGCCATGTACATAAAAAAATAAATCTTTCTTCAGCTTTCTTCAGCTAAGCTAAACAGTGCAACAACAAGTCAACTATACAGTCTACAACAGAAACAAGTCTTGAGATGATTTAAGTTCTTTTGGGGTCACCAATCCCAGAATATTTGTTTTGTGCTGCTAAATGTTAGCAAGAAACCAACAATGAGCATTGAAAGTTTCCTCCTACTTCATATTCAATACACCTTGGGACCATCGTTTTCAGATCAATGATGGGACTTCAATGAACGGTAGGAGAAAAAATTTCTGGGATCATTAACGCTATTAAACAAAGAGGGCCCATTTGATTCTCCATCTGTAATATCAAGTTTACCTCTCACACCAAGTTCAAGAATTCCTCATTCTACAAATCATCATCTCACGGCAGACATGCAACATAATGCACTACATAGTTACAAAAACAATGTCACAATGTGATTTCGCTAATTTTGACTCTACAAATGACTAGCAACATAATAAGCCCAAATTACATTTATGAAAAAGTTATAAAAATATCTCATATTGGGATTTGGGATCTCCATTTCAGATTTCTTTTAAAATGAATTACCCAATTTGAGATCTTTTCGTTAAGTCAGAATCCAGGTAAAAATAAATATATTATCAACTAAGCAAAAGTCATTAATTTCATGTGTATATATACATATAAACTTCTTAATGAACATATATATTTTTTCATACACAAACAAAAAAAAAAATACTTAAGAAAGATGAATATGAAGAAATGCATTGTATTGCATTTGGTCAAAGAAAAAATGATATGCATTGTATTGATGATAGCGATGGGAGTAGTAATGGCGACTACGATAGTAGACCCAGAATTAGGACTCTCATGCATGGACAAGTGCGTGTTCAAGTGTGGATTATTACTTCAACCTGAAAGAGCTTGCACCGAGAAATGTGCCCGTAAATGTCACGAAATCCTACCACCACCTCTTCCATTGCAATCATCACCGTAATAATTTCTTCACTTATGTTATTTTGTTTGATTACTTTTGTGTTTTGTTTTTGAATGTTAAATTATACTTCTTCTGTTTCCTTTTATTTGTCATTCTAGAGATTTTCACATATATTAAGAAACTCATTAAATTTGCTATTTACCTTTATTTAATACTTAGTATTCTTTAATAGGAATAATCAATAAGCTAAAATAATGAGGATAAAACTGGAAAATATATAATTAATCTACATTGGAAACACAAAACGACAAGTAATATGAAAAAAAAAATTCTCTCTAAAATGACAAATAATATGAAACGGAGGGAATAGTAGATGTCTTTAAAAGATATTTCGATCAAACATTTGTTGAAAACTCAACATAACCGCATAAAAGTCATATTGTTTTTAGCATATCAAAAAATTTATGATAATTTTTTTTTTATGGTTTTCCAACTTGGAAATAAAAATACAAACTTGAATATTTGCATTAGAAATAATCATACACATAGGGATGTATTTTATTATGTTTTGTGGACAGAGGAAATGACATTGTTTATATGGGAAAATCGCAGTACGGAGATGGACGACTATAAGAATGAGAAACATAAAAAGGTAAACTCATCGATATAAGAAGTGATGTAATTATTTATCAAAAAATAAGTGATGTAATTAATAAGCTCATTAAAATTCATATTTAAATAAAAATAAAGATTTCTGCCAAAAAATCCTTCTAGTGAAAAGTTTTTGTAATATATATGTGACAAACATATTATTTAATAAAAATAAAAATAAAGATTTCTGATGATGTGAGAGAAATTAAACTTTGAGACAAATATTTGATTTTAAAAGTTTGGGCTTAGCAAAACATGAGAACGGTGTCGTTTTCATATTCTCTCGTCACGATGATTAGCCTTTTCGAAACTCGAATCAAATGGCGGGCTAAACTTCCATCGAAAGAGTCTCTCTCTTTCTCCTTTCTCTCTCACTTAGTCACTCTCGTTGGCGATGGAACAAATTAGCGAGATCGCTTGTGGAGACACACCGATGAAGACGATGAACTCTCTGGGACTCATATGTGAGAAAGAGATAGATGAACAGCGTCGTAAAATCGACTCCTTCATCGCTTCTCCGTTCCAGAGATCAATCGACTCTTTGCTCGAACGAGCTCAAGCCACTGCACAAAGCCAAGGTGAAGTAAAATTCGCATAATACCAATTCCGTCTCGTTAGACCCAAATCGAAAATCTCTACAATTCATTTGGGGATTTTGGGTTTTCTCTCTGTGAAATTAGGGTTTCTAATTTGAATTAGACTGGTGAAATTGAGCGGCTCTCTAATATATTTGTCATTGATTTTCGTAGTGGAACTAGCGAATTTGAAATCGGATCTGCGAGAAGCAGAGGATGAGCTCGTCAAAGTGCTGGCAGGTATCATCAGATTCATTTCCATTACCCTAAAGCTTTCAACTTTATGATTCTCCAGATTCTAACTTCTATGGGTTTTTATATGATTTTGATGTTTAGTGAAGACTCGTAAAGAGGCACGGCAAATGGGGTTAAGGGATTCAATCTCTGCAACGCAATCTCGAATCGAGGTTCTTAGAAGAAGTCTGCAGTTACAGAAGTCAAAGAGGGAAGAGTATGCCAAAGTTATCTCTCAACAATTGCAAGGTACTGTCAGCAACACGCTCATAAGAGGAACTTTGTAAAATGTTGATCTTTGAAAAGAATACTTTTCCTTTGAGATTTCTTGAGTCACTGAAGACCAATCTAATAGATATTTCTTTAAAGGCTTATCAGTATCCAAGGAAAATGCTGGTAAAGTCACTGAAGACAAAGCAGGTATACATGAAGCCATCTCTTGGTATAATCAGGCTCTTGGTTTTCACGTTGAAGCTGGACATGGTAAATGAGAGAGATTTTTGAGTTTGGAACAATCATAGTACTTATGCATTATTGAAGTTTTGACTATTAGAGATCTTGTTGTTTTACTGTTCTGTTTACAGGAGTTAAATTCACATTCACCAACGTTGATGCAAAAAGGCCTACACGCGAGTTTTCATTCACGGTTCACTATGGAAATGACATCTACACACGTGAGTATTGTATACATATCTTTTTGAAGCAAGCTTCAGCTACATTTTAGTGTTTACAATGGTTCTAGTAACACAAACTGTTTACAATCATCAGTTTTGGATTGCAACCCGCAATTGAATGACGTCGAAGAGATGGTTCAAGAATTGAACAAAACCAATGACCTCTTCGGATTTGTTCGTCTGATGAGGGATAAGTTTCTGAAAACCACTTTATCTGGTAAGTAAACAGTCTCACGCGTGCCTCTCCTCTGTAACCTTTATTGCCACACATAGTTTTCCATGAATGTAAAAATTTGACAAAGACTTGTGTTTTTTATTTGCCTTTCTCAGAGTTGCCAACGCAATCAGAAAATCTGCAACAGGAAACTTCCATCATATCTGCTTCAGCTCCAGCTATGTCATTTACCACTGATACAAGCATGACAACTCCAGAGGACAAGGGATCTAAGGTTCAAGCGAATCGGCGACACAAAAGATCTAGCGATTCACCACTCGTGTCTCCTGCACCCACGTCTTCTGCTCGCCGTTCTTCTCGCCTTAAGGTACTGGATACTCATTGTGTTCTTAATGTTGCACCTACCCAAGTTCAAATCTTTCCATAGAGACTATAGTAGGATAACGGAACTCATCTTCACCACTGAACAATTATTTAACTGATCACATTGAGCCTTGTGTTTCGAACAGATAACTTATAAGTCTTATATACTGAATCTAACTTGTTACAGGCCAAGAAATGAAGGTGGAGCTCTGTTTTTCTTTTCACCATCATCCAGGAATACACGAGAAGCTGAGATGTTGACGATGTTGTTGGAGACTTTTGACAATAGTGTGTTGTTTGAATTTCCTGTAATATTTAGACTAATTGACGATACTCGTCATTCCAAGTAATTATACTTTGATTATCAACTGAAAACTTATCACTATCACACACACGATATTCGTCATTCCAAGTAATTATACAATTCAAATTATGGATTTATCCAAATTATACTTTCATACCCAAATTTATCAGAAAGAAGAGACAAATTTTATCGCTACCATCACCATGTTTTATGGAAAATATCATATATTCTTTTAACTTATTTGTTTATAAACTTCTTCTTTTTATATAACTAAATTTTGCATTTTGTAGGGTGTAGAACATGATTGAAAGACTTGTGTGCTGTTTTGTTTGCAAGTTTTTGAAGTTTGAACATCTAAATTTATTATGTTAAGTGAGTGGTTACGAGGATGCGACATGTATGGTAGTATATTTGGTATTACTCTAGCAGATATATACTGTATTAATGTGTGTCATTTTTTATTTTTCACAAACATAGTATACTATATAAATACTATTCAGTCAAAAATAAACTTAATGACCAAATAAAATTGGTCAACTTACTAGATATGATTACTACGACTGAGAGTCAATTATAGTTACTGCTACGTATGTTTACGACTATAATTAAGTAAAGAGCCATTCACTATATTTTATAATAAAGTCATTGCATACTTAAAAGAAAACGTTACAAAGGAAAAAGAGATGAAAATGATGAAGACGATAATGATGGTGATGGTGATGATGATGATGATGGTGTTGGTTGGAAACATAAGAGCAGAGGTCACAGCGTCACATGAAATCTGTGTGAGAAATTGTCATAACTTCTGCTCAGCCAAGCCTAGGTTTACGAAATGCTTTGGCCAATGCCTCGTTTCTAATTGTGGTCCTTCTAATCAAATTGACGATATTCATCATTCCAAGTAAATATACTTTGATTATCAACTTTTCTACATTACGTATATATATTTGTTCGTTTATTTTAGTTAATTATTTATGTTAAATGTTTGACATTTTGTGTTTCACTCTTTGTGGGTTGAGCAGGATGAAGACTTCACAAAATCATTGAAATCAGAGGATAAACTTATATAACTTTAAAAATTAGCAAAAGCTATGGCAGATGTATCAGTCAATAGTATTGTTCGTTTTTGTAATTTTCATAAGAAACTTTGATATCTTTATATATCTGTTCTTGGCTTATTTTGTTGCTACTGATATTATATGACAACAATTCAGCTGATTTTGGATTTGACGAAATTTCAGTTTGAGTATTGTTTAAGATAATCATATTCGCAACGAAGGTATACCACTCAAATGTCAATATATTTAACATAAATAACACACCTGAAATGTAAATATATATAGTAATTAACCTAATGATGAATTTTTAAATAAAAAAATTCAAATTAGCAGATTTTGATATTAAATATTATTGATAGTGTTGATAAAGAAAAAAAAAGTACTAATTAGATTATATTTTAGTAGTAATGATTTTTTTTATCATAGTTTAGTGAGAAATTTTATGAAATTTTAGGGTTTAGGCGTTTAGAGTTATTTTAATCAATGAAAAAAGTGTAGTTTTGAAAATAGACATCATAGAGGTGTATTTTTGAAAATTGACACCTCAAAAGGTGTAGTTTTGAAATTTCCCCTAGTTTAGTAGCCAAACATTATATATATATATATATATATATAAATTTTAATAATCTAAATCTAAATCTGATATGGCTATATAATTTTAGTTTATTTAATTAATAGGATAAATGTAGAAATCATCTGAAATACTTTGAATTAATACCTAACAAAATGAGTAATTCTCAATTTCATTTCATGCAATATAATTAACATGTAAAACAAAAATTGGTTTCTAATAGGTTTTTTATTTTTATTTTAATAGTATAGATACAACTTGTGAACAAATATCATTATTATCATATTTTAAAAAAAAGACAGACATGGATTATAATGCACTACATATTTACAAAAATAAACGTCACAATGGGATTTCACTAATTTTGGCTCTACAAATACATTTATGAAAAAAAAATATATTAAAATATCTCAAAATAGGATCTCGATTCACTTTAAGTCTTTAACGTAATATTTTTTTCATAAGCTCAAGATACAATTATGAAAAAAATAGTAAAAGATCTCAAATTAGGATATGATTTTAAATTTATTTTTAAATGAATTACTCAATTTAAAATCAACTACTTTTTGTTATATGCAAAAAGTCAAAAGTAACTAAGACAGAATCCAGAGAAAATCAAGTATAGACTGTATAGTATCACCAATTAAGCAGAAGTCATTAATTTCATGTGTATATATATACATATAAACTTGTTAATGAATATATATAATTTTCCATTCACAAAAAAAAAACTTAAGAATGAGTATGAAGAAATGCATTGTATTGATGATGGTGGTGACAGTAGTAATGGCGTCTATGATAGGAGAAACAGAAGGAACTGCATGCAAGCAAGGTTGGTGCTTTGACTGGTGCACGTACAAGTGTGGGTTTGGACATCCTCCAAAATACTGTGATGACAAATGTACCCGCGACTGCAAATGCCTCCTAGCATCTCAATCATCGTCGTAATAATTTTTCACTTAAGTTATTTCGTTTGATTACTTATGGTGTTCGAGGAGTTGACATGGTTTATATGATGAAATTGCAGGATGGAGACTATTGGAATGAGAAACATAAAAGGATAGATGTGATATAAGAAGTGATACAAGTGTTTTTTTCTTTCTATAAAGGGCTTCAAGTGATATAATTGTAAACTCATTAACATTTATATATGAATAAAAAGATACGATTTCCGCCAAAAATCCCTTCTAGTAACAAGTTTTGCAACTCTCTATTGTCAGAAATCTTGTCGCAGGTTCTCACATAAAGTTGCTTTAACTTACACTGAAGAGGTTCAACATTATTTTTAGGCCAAACTAAGCCGCTTGTTGTTCTTACTTATATTTTCGTCTAACCTTAGCTAAAGAAAAAGCCTATGTTCACCTCACTAAACATAATTACTAGAATCATCAATACATATAGATAACAACAATCTCATATTTTTGTATTATTTCGCCTTTTGGCATTTATGTGATATTAGATAGGCTTTGGTCCGTTAGAAAATCTATAATCTGATATGTTGCAGTCAGTTAAACGCATTGATACTCTCTTAAGTAACTTTAATCAAGGCATTGGTTTTCTCCCTTGTATCATGATATGTTTATCAATGGCAAGATCCTTAAGAGATGTTCTACTATATTTGGTATTACAGAAGATATAAATTAGTGTTTTTATTTTCAAAATGAGAGATCAACTTACTACAATATATTATTCCTACGACTGAGAGAGTGAGAGTCAGTTATATAGTTGACCAATTTCATTATATAGTAAGTTGACCAAGTAATAATATAGTAAGTTGACCAATGTAAATCAATAGCAATATATGTTGTTCGTAAGTTTCATAAGACATGCACTTTGATATTTTATATATGTGTTGTTGGCTTAACTAATATCACATCACAACAATTCAGCTGACCTTGGGTTTGACACATTTTCAGTTTGATTATTGTTTAAATTAATCATATTCTCAACTGAAAGTTTCTAAAAGGATTTTAATTTGTTCAATAGCATAAATACAAAATTTTACAAAATATCAATATATCATATTTATAAAAAAAAACAGACATGCAACGTACGTAACGCACTACATATTTTCCAAAAGAAATGTCACAATGTGATTTCGCTGATTTTGGCTCTACAGATTACTACCCGCATAATAAGCCCAAGATACATTTATGAAAAAACTATTATAATATCTCAAACTAGGATCTCCATTTTATATTTCTTTTTCCATGAATTACCCAAGTCAATCAACTACTTTTTGTTATATGCAAGGAAACAAAAGTAATTAAAACAAAATCCAGAGAAAATTAAAGTACAGTATCAGAGTAAGCAGAAGTCATTAGTTCATATGTGTATATATACATATAAACTTCTTAATGAACATATATAATTTCCATACACAAAAAAATAAAACTTAAGAAAGATGGGTATGAAAAAATGCATTATATTGATGATGGTGGTGGCAGTAGTACTGGCGGCTATGATAGAAGAAACGGAAGGAGTTACATGCAGGAAAAGTTGGTGCTATGATTGGTGCACGTTCAAGTGCCGTGGGGCATTCTTTCAAAATCCTGTACAATTCTGCAAAGATAAATGTGCCGGCGACTGCCACTGCCCCCTAGAATCACCTAGTGTTCCATTTCAATCATCCCGGTAATAGTTTCTACATGTGTTATTTCGTTTGATTACTTTGGTGTTTTATTTTTAAATGTTAAAGTATAATTGGGGCTGTCTTTAAAAGATTTATCGACCAAGCATTTGATGAAAACTCATCTTAAACGCATAACAGTCATATTGTTTTTAGAATATCAATTTATTTTTGTATAAATAAAAAAGTTTCCAATTTGGATATTTGCATATGAAATAATCATAAACATATTGATGCATATTAATATATTATTATGTTCTGTGTACAGAGGAGTTGACATGCTTTATATGGGGAATTTGCAGGACGGAGACTATAGGAATGAGAAACATTAAAGAGTAGATACATCATGTAAGAAGTGTTATACTTGTAAGCTCGTTAAAATTCATATTTAAATAAAAATAAGACTTCTTCCAAAAAAAATCCTTCTCTATATATTATACTTGTAAGCTCGTTAAAATTCACGGGCCTCACGGCAAAGCGATTGTCATAAGTGATTTATCTATCTATATATGAAACTGTGAGACTATTCGCCTATATATTAGATATCCCGGTCCCTAGAGGCTGAAAGGTCCATGGAGAGGCTCCTAGAGGTGACTCAAAACTTGCCGGACTTATTTTATGTGTGTGTGTGTGTGTGTGTGTGTTTGTATGTTAAGTTAATATGTAGCGTACAGTCTCCAACAGAACACTTATACATGTTTTATATAACTTCACCAGCCTCAAAGAATAGTGGCATACTATTACTGTAGTGATCATGCTTATTTTTACAACGTCAATTTCTTGGATCCATATACTGTAGTCTATACACCTATATAGCCTTCTAGATTTTTAGTAAACTGTTTGTAAAACTAACGACGAGTAATTCTTCTATGACTATATATATCCTAAAATCTTGATCATCACACTTTACCATTGGCCTTATCCGAGAAACCATCAATTTTCGTCAGAGAGAGTCTGATTCATAACTTTGAGCTAGTGCCACTCTAAATGGGTGGACCTTGTCTCGTCTCCATGTCTATTTCCGCCTACAGATATGAGATGAGAATCTTAAGAGCTTCATAGGGAAAAAACTAACCCGGAAATAAGAGTAAGATGTAACACCAATGAACGAATGATTGTAGCGTTACCACTTCTGTGACTTGACTGGTTGATGGAATGTCTTGAAACTGTACTCTAGGTGCGTGTACTAACTTTGAAAGCTGCCTTAGTAATGTGTGCATGTGATTGAATTTGAAGGCACTAATAAATTTAAGTCTTAGAATACCATGATACATCTTAAGAATTGACAACCAGTGATCAAAGTAAGTGCCATATCTCTGTCTGTTAAAATTCGTCACATACTCTGGCTTGATATGAAACCTGTTCTCTTGTTCGTAGTAATCCATGCACTCATTAGGTGGAAGCTTGTCATCAAGCTCAACTCCAACCGCAATCTCTGTCAGCAACAAGGAAAGAAAAATAAAAAAATAACACATTTCAAGAAACAAGACTTGTATGATATGATATGAAGAAAAAGTTAACAAAAGCGATGAAAGAGCGAGACCGCATATACCACCAGCAAGGCAGCAAACCTTTACCACCCAAGACCATGAGAGGAACATTGAAACATCTTATGAACTGGAGGCAATCACCGTGACCCATGACAAACAAGTTTAACACACCGTACAGATCACCGGCTAACGAAACAGCACCCACACTGACGAACAATTGCTTCTGGCTGATAAACACGTTCATAGCCTTGTGGATAACAGATCTGAACAAAACGTTGAAACTTACATCGTCAAGAAAACAGAAGCCAAGAGATGAAAGTTAGAGAGAACACAAATTGATTACCTCACAAGACACTCCGGCGGTGAACACCAGCGAAGGGGTGGAAACCGTGACGGTGTAGATATAGGAGCTGGATCGACTGATTTTGAGCGTAATACTGAATTCCTCCATTGTTGCCTTTTGCGAAGTTTCAAACAAGTTTCAAAGAGAAAGTGAGGGAGAGTGAAGGAGAAAGAGTGACGTGTATATACGGCTGGGTTTTTACGAGATGGAGAAAGTTGATTTAACAAAAGATAAAACATATGATAAATCAAAGAGAAATTATAAAGTTTCAATTCAATTTCAGGTGAATGTTCTCATAGTGGGCTAATCTATGTTTAAACATATGGTAAATCAAAGAGGATGGTTTCAGTTTTTCTTCTTCTTTGAGTTGTAATCATATGGTGCTCTTTTTGTACAAGATTGAGGTGACAAAATACGCATTCAGTGAGTTGTGGTGGTCTGAACAATCTACGCCAACACAAAAGGAAAACAATCATATTTGGGTTTTTTGCAGTCATAAGTGAAACGCATTGATACTCTCTTGAGTTACCTTAATCTAGGCATTGGTGTTTATGCAAAACATCACCAGAGAGTTTTCTCCCTTGTATCTTGATATGTTTATTAACAACAAGATCCTTAAGAGAGCTAAAAAGCCGTTGAATGGCATATTTATTTCCAAGCTGTCTTTATTGGGCCATGTCGTCTCTCTCTTTCTCTCTCAAAACTGCACGAGGCTATCATATGCCTACTTAAATTAGAAGCATGTTACGTACTCTGGCTCAAATGCTTAACAGATAAAGAAACGAATGAGACAAGATAAACTTTGAATATTTTATCTTGAATATTTTCTTATAGAATCGAAGAAATAAGTTACTTGGCCAAAGAAATTTCATATATATATATGTATATATATTGAAAGCTATGAAATGAACACTTAAACAGGTGACAATGAGTAACACAATGTATGAACTTCTGTCTCACTCTAGACACACATGCATATATACAAGGATTCACACGTAAATCAGTGTGTAACGTGATAAGAAACGGACTTCGACACACAAAAACATGACAAAAATGGCTGTGTGTGAGTGTGAGTTTACATTTCCCAATGTATTCACATGTTTAACACTAGCAAACAAACATTTATGCGACTTTATTTATAACAGTTAGATTATCATAGTATATCAAAGGGTCAAAGCTCACTGCATAACGAACAAGCTTTAAAAAAATTGTAATTCAAATAAATTTAGATGGTTTTACCAACAACAGGAAAAATTAGATAGTCAGATGGTGAAAGTAAATTAATGATCAAAAATCTTAACTGTTTTTAGTTACCAAAAGCAAACTTTTGAACAGCTTCATAGTGATTTGGTTATTGGAAGATTTGGAGACCAGAATTCAAATGTCTTAACTCCGATTTTAATCATGGGTGGACAATGTTAAATACAAACATTGTGCTTTTATAGCCACTCTCATCTAATAGCGTAGGCCATCCTCCTCTGTGGCTACAACAACTTAGGATTCAGTTGGAGCATATTGTTTTTATATGGAAATGCAAACGAACAAAATTCTACAAAAAAAGTATATGAGCAGTCGATTTTTGAACTTGAATCTTTATTATGTTACGCTTACAAAAATAATAATAACACGAATCATCACATGTGTAAGATTTGGTTACGAACGACTCAACATTATTTAATCATCAAAGCCATTATGAGCCCACTTTTTTAAATAACTTCAGAAATACATCAAATCGATTTCATTGCTTAATGATATGAAAGAAGAAAAGGAATATTCGGTTAGTAATAACTGAATTGTCCAAAACACCCCCGTATGTCCAGCAAATGAAACGAATATTGAATTTTGATCATACGGTTGGGTCCCACTATGACGTAACTTTCTACTTATAAATAGACTCCTTCGACCCCGATCATTCTCGGTTAAAGTTTAAGACCAACAAACCAAAAACCAACACTCTCCAATTTTTTCCTCTTCCCCAAAATACTCATAAACTTTAAAAATCCAGAAGCTTCTTTCTGACGAAGTGAAACCCTGAAAATGGTGGCCGTGACTGAGAATCCAACATCGAAGAACGGCGGAAGCAGTCTCAAGTTCCTCTGTAGTTACGGCGGCAGAATATTACCTCGTTCAATCGATGGAAAGCTCCGTTACGTCGGCGGTTTCACCAGAGTGCTCTCCGTTGATCATTCCATCTCTTTCTCAGGTCCGATTCAACTTTCCCTCGATTTCATTTTCCCTTTTCAAATTCTCGAAGAAAAGCGAAATTAATTTTTTTGTTTTGTTCGTTTTCTCTTCCTTCAGAGCTAATGGTGAAACTGGAGGAGTTCTGTGGATACTCCGTTGATCTGAAGTGCCAATTACCAGACGGAGATCTCGAGACACTGATCTCCGTCAAATCGGATGAGGATCTTACTAACATCGTGGAGGAGTACGATCGCGTTTACGGAGGCAAGATTCGAGCGATTTTGTCGCCTCCCAAGCACATGTCGCCACGATCAAGCGGCGGCGGCGGTGGTTTATCACCGGAATCGCCTTTCTCCGTCGTGACTTCTCCTTCTCCGCCGAAATCGCCGGCGTACAGAAGGTTTCTACAGCCTCGGTACTGTTTGGCTCCGGCGGAGAATCTCGCCAGTAGATTCCGTATGCGATCGGGAGAATCTTCTCAGTGCTGTAAATGCCGTGTCCACAACAGAGACTCCAAGCTCATATGGCATTGACGCTGACGTTGAAAATCGCAATGCCTGGGGAAAAAAAATTATGAAAAAATAAACTTTCGAAAAATTCGAAATTTAAAGTTTTTATAAGGTCAATGTTTAGCTCTGAAGCGAAGAATTAAGAAAGAAAAAATGTTTGAATGTTGAGATCGGTGGAAAACGAAATGGAGAAGAAGACGTGAAAGTTTTCACCGGCCGTTTTTCTACCGTTAGCTTTGCCGTTAAGATATGTGGGAAACGTACAACGTTAGTTTTTTATCAATACGTGGTACGTTGCGACCGTTCCAGACGTGAAACGTGTCGACGTCGGATGTGAGTACACGTGTGTATCTTGTAGATAAGTGGAAGTGTTTCCTCACACGTGTATTTTTTTTTTAACTTTCTTTTTGTTTCTTTCCTTAGCATAGGTTTTGCTCTCCATTCAATTTTTCTTCTTCTTTTTGTTAAAAAGTTCATATATTTTTTGTTGTTTTGCAAGTTCTTAAATTTTGTAGATTAATATGGTATCTGTCGTCTTTCATGTCTAGTCAGAATGACATAAGGTATTTACTTTTTTCGTTAATTCAGTTATACTTTTCTCGAAAGCAAAAATAAAATCCATAAAATAAGGAATCTATAGACGGTTTAATGGGAATCCGATGCATAAAATATAAACAAACATCTTATTATATACGTTGTAAAAGTAAAAAATAACTATTACTATAGTCTATAGTCAGTAATTTTAGACAAATGGCCTACATGACCAAAGTCCTGAGAACGAGAAAGGCAATAAAAGCTAAGCTGAAAATCAAAATTCGAGGATGAAATATTACTAATTTAGTCCGAATGACAAATGCCACAACAACAAATTTTTTTAAGTTACTATATCTATTGTGGAACGACTTGACCAAGTCCACAAAGACATCCTGTAAATACAAAATTAACCATAGCAGGATGTAGAATTGATTGTTGGCCAGCTTGGAGATTGTTAATGTTAATACAACATTTTTAACCCAAATAATACGTGACAAGATCAAAAGAATAACCCCAGCTGATCATTTTCTTTTTGTTATCTAAATTTAGAATCAGCTTCTAATATAAATGAGTGCAAACGAGTTATTATTCTCTATGTTCAACATCACTTTCGAATCCGAATCCAAGTCAAGTAATCTGAAACCAATAGCATTAAGTATTTAAGTGTTAACCATTTTTGGATACAAAATAATAGAAGTTGCACTGCTTCTTCTTCTTTCTTTCGTTCTTTTTTTTTGCTGTTTTTATTCTAGTTAGAAAATGTAAAATATTGGATGCAAAATAATAGATTTTGCACTGCTTCTCTATTTTGGGTTTTATTTTTTAAACTAGTAAGAAAATATTAGTTTGGCTCAAACGTCAGCCATAAGACCCGAAGCCATGTTTGAAATCGTTAAAAGAAAATATAAATTTGTTAAGACAACAAATTCACTCATCATATTAAAAGTTTGATTTGATCATTTTTCATTTTGTTAAAGTTTGATTTGATCATTACTTGACAAATTCGATTTACTCGACACCGTTGGATCTAATCAAAAGACAAATGTCAGAATCATGTCACTACACTAAGCTAATTAGTTAGCTAACCTTTTTCAGGTTAAAAAATTGGAGGAATAATAAAATGTAAGGCGAAAATGGACACGAATCTAACTTTGGTGCGAATAAACCGATTAAACGTCAGCATCACGGTCGCTATATAACACACAAGATTAGATACGTACCCGAAATAACCTAAGCGCCAAGTGAACCGCTTCATGTCAAAAGTTGCTTCCTTTTGCATCATTTTCTGAAGCTTCAATTACTTTTTTCTTGGAGAATCCTCATCCTATGGTCTGTTAATGAGACGATGAGAAGTTGATGTATCAAAAGAAACAAAAATAAACATTTCTGAGACCACAACACTTGGCTGATAAATAAAGCGACATTTTAGTATTATGATGTGAGCTTTCTTCTTTCAGTTTCAGCTATTTAATCAGACAGTCCCATGTGTATAGAAGAAAACACGTAAGCTTATCATATTTCTGGAACAAACCTCACATGGCCAAGGCAGACAACAGGTCCAGCGATTATTATTCGGATAAGAGTATTCAGTCTTTTCTTGTCATCTTAAAATTTACATTTTTTATATTCTTTTTGTTGTGATTTTAGGAAGCATAGTAACTGGTTGTGAGCATCTTGTTGCGATTTGAATTTGCTAGCTCCAATACCTTCGGAGAGTACGAAGCTGCCTGCTGAATGGGTGATCGGAGAAACGGCGGGTACTGAGAGCAAAAGCAGAGAGTAATCAAGAAAAGAGAAGGCAAGAAACGAAAGTTAGAGAGAACAAAATTTGATTACCTCAAAAGACACTCCAGCGGCCGTGAACACCGGCGAAGGGGTGGAAACCGTGACGGTGTAGATACCAGAACTGGCTGATTATTATTGAATTTTTCTATTATTGTCTTCTTTCTGCAAATGCGAAGTTTCAGAAAGAGAAAAAGGGGAGAGTGAAGAAGAAACAGAGAGAAATAGTGACGTTTTCTCGAAATGGCCATATAGTCCTTGCTTGCACAGCAGACTACATGGCACTCACTGGTTTTGTGTCTTTGGCTGGAGAAAACCCCTATTTGAATATCCTTGGAGAAAACCGTCTTTTCCTGAAGTGCCAAAGACTCTCATGGACTGGGGCTATTATGTGGGTTTTTCTCTTCTGATATAAAATTGGAACAAAAATCCTCTACTTTAAATTTTTGGCCAAACAAGGTATCAACTTTGCAAAGTCATATTTAACCCCCCAATATTTAGGTGAATGTTCTCATAGTGGGTTTATCTATGTTTAAAAATATGGTAAATCAAAGAGGATGTTTCAGTTTTTCTTCTTCTTTGAGTTGTAATCATATGGTGCTTGTTTTGTACAAGATTAAGGTGACAAAATACTCACTCAGTGAGTTGTGGTGCTCTGAACAATCTACGTCAACGCAAAATCATTAATTTATGATCGCACATGAGTTATCAGTCTCTATTCAAACTGATTTTTTTTTTGTCAAATAGTTTCTTAAAATGATAGATTATATCTGGTTTGAGAATATGAAAGTATCTCGGATTATGTGTGGTGCACTTTAGAGCACAATGCATCCGTTTAAAATCAGTTAGAAAAAAATAACAGATTTAATCCGTTAGCAAGTAAAGCTCTGTGTGAACAATGTATTTATTATTCATTTTTAGTCAAATTGATTCATGTAAATGTTGTTTATGCAATGAATGTCATCATGGTTATGTATGATGTCCCTATAAACTCAGTTGAAATCAATATATTGAGCGTTAAACAAAATAAAAATAAATAAAATTGATATGGTTTGAGAAAAAAAATCAACTAGTGAATTCACATTAAAAAACATCATGAGAACCATCCATCCACCTCTCTTAAAAACATCTCCCCTGTCAACATCAAAAGGCACATTTATTTATCCGGTAAAGCATCTTAGCACTTCAATATGCCGGCGGGAAAGAAAAAAGTGCCATGAGGAACTTTGCATCATGAGGGGCCACAACATTGGCCGAGCTAAAGCGCCAAGAGGAAGCATGTCAGCTGGTTCTCGGTCTATAATTGTGATCTTCAACGGACCTATATACATATGAAGAGAAAGATGCTTGGATCTCTTCTTCAAAGGCCTCTTATCTTGTAAACCGGTTGAGAATCTTGTAGGCAATACAAGAGCTTTCTTGAATGTAAAGCAAAGCTCTAACAATTAGCATGTTGATAGCATCTCATCTTAGTCAAAGATGGTCTAGAGCTTTTCTCAAAAGCTTTCATCTGTCTCGCAGTCTCTAACGCCAAGTTGCTTGCTAAACTTTGCACTGAAGAAGATGTGTGTTTTATTTTATAAACCGGTGGTAGACCCGAACCGGAACTGATAAAAACCAAACTTCATGTAAAAAAGGAAATCAAATCGATTTTCCTTTTTCGTGTAAAAGGAAAAAGGAAATCAAATCGATTTTCCCTTTTTCGTGTAAAAGGAAAAACGAAAAATCAATCAGTCGTCACGTCCCTTGTCTATAAATTAACCAGCTTGCGAACTCCCAACCTCCCAAATCATCATATCATCAATCTACGGATTTTGTTTGTCTTCTCTTCTAAACCTATTTTTCTCTGTTTTGCTTCTCGACCGTGTTTCTGAGGAGACATGGAGTGTAATAAGGAAGAAGCTCGAAGGGCAATGGATACTGCAGTGAGCAAACTCTCGGGCAAGGACTACAATGGGGCCAAAAAATTCATCGACAAGGCTCACAAGTTGTATCCGAAGCTCGACGGTTTGAAACAAGTTTCCACCATGATACATGTTCATCATATCTCTGCATCAAACCAGAGCAAAGGAGAAGAAGAATCTGACTGCGATTGGTATGGAATCCTCGGTGTAGATCCTTTAGCTGGTGTTGAAGCAGTGAAGAAACAGTACAAGACTTTGGCTCTCTTGCTTCATCCGGACAAGAACAAGTTTAATGGCGCGGATGGCGCGTTTAAGCTGGTTTTAGATGCCTGGTGTGTATTGTCTGATCCTTCTAAGAGAAGCGCGTATGATCGAAAGAGGAAACCGAAAGAGGATGAAGAGAAAAAGAGATATGCTTCTGATTCAACAGCTGATAGCGCAACGGATGCTAATCAAGCAAAAGAAAGAAGGAAACACAGTTTTGACGACCACTCACGAGAAAGTTACTTTGCCGCTATACTTAAGGCAGAGAGAAGAGCAAATGCAAACTCTACTGAGGAAGCTCAGAGGCTTTTCAAGAATCCGATGAAAAGAGCAAATTTAAACTCTACTGAGGAAGCTCAGAGGCTTTTCAAGAAACCGGTGACGGCGTCAACCACCTTCAACGCAAACTCTACTGAGGAAGCTGCGAGGCTTTTCAAGAATCCGGTGAACACAGCATATGCCAACTGTACCTCCGAAGCTGCGAGGCTCTTCAAGAATCCGATGAGATGTGTTATATAAGTCCCGCTTTTTTTTTATAACTTTACTAGGATTTTGTGTGTTTGTCGATCTCTGTGTTCGTTGAATCTAATTAGTCAAATTTGTTCAATTGTAAATTATGAAATATTAAAATCAACTTACAATAAACTGTTTCTTCATAAACGAATGGATACAATACGAGAAGAGAGTGTTAAAAACGAATCTAACTCCAGAGAGGTTCCAGGATTTACCTCAAGCTGCACCAAAGAGTTCAGTGATCTTAGGGTGTGTTTTAATGTGATGGGGACTCGTGAAAACAATATCTTTTGCTTCAGAGAGTCTTCCTTCTCGGTAAAAAGCTTCAACAACATGAAAATACGCTGCAAAGGAAGGAGGACTCTTCGAGCTTAGCACATCCAAGAACTTCTTAGCGTCTTCCAAAGTCCCAAACTTTGCAATGTACCGATCAAAAGGCTCTGCATACACAGGGTAATTCTGCGTCCTCATCAGCTGAAGAAGTTCCAGCGCCTCTTCGCACTTCTTGATCTCTAGCAGCTTGTCTATAACACTCTTGTAAGTGCTTTGCCAGGGCTTAACATTCGCATTCCTCACCATCTCCGCAAGGAACTTGCAAGCGCCCTCGATCCTGTTCTGGCTAAGAAACCCATCTACCAAGACATCAAGCAGATCAGAGTCAATATCAAACCCTTTCTCTAACATACTCGCAAAGCAAGCAAAGGCCTTATCGACTTCACTGTTCTTGCAGTGCCCTTGGATCAGAATAGTCCAAGTTTTTATATCAGCAAAACATCCTTCTCCTTCCATTCGATCTACAACTCCACGAGCTTCTTCTAATCTCTTAGCTTTACAAAGCCCAAACACAACCTGGCTGTACGTAATGTTATCAGGCTCATAACCAGCATTCCTCATAGCCTTCACGATCTCCTCAGCTTCATCGAATCTCCCTACACTGGTTAAAGACCTATGGATTCCATCGTAAACAGCCTTTGAGAGAGATCTCCCACTAGATTCATATTTCCTAAACACCCTAAACACCAAATCCAAATCCGGACTAGGACCAGCAGATAAAGACCTCAACAGAAGACTACAATCTTGAATAGATGGCTTGAAAGGACCATCCATCATAAACTCGTAAAGCCTAACCGCCTCCAACATCATTCTAGACTTCTGCAACTGTCTTGTAACCTTTATGTAAGTGTCAAGATCAACCTCGTGCCCTGCAGCTTTCATTTCATCGACAAGGCTCCAAAACTCTGCCACCGAATCAGCCCTCGCAAAAACCCTCAACGCCGCGTTGTAAGTAACGGTGCTGTGTTTGTAACCTGAAGAACAACCACCAACCCAATGGAAAAACGCCAAAGCTTTCAAAGGTTGCTCCTTTATCCCCTTCAACACACTGATGACGAAATTATCCGAGAGAGCTAGTTTCATCTCCTGCAATTCCTTCTCAACCTCACAGCTCCAATCCACTTTCGAAACAGCAGCACACACATCGTCTGCAACAGCAGACGTTACGTTCTCCTTACGCATTCTCTCGTAGAAATGAGCCACAGCTGCAGCGTCCGCTTTCAAATCCTCTTTATTGAGAAAGTTACAGATGGTCTTATAGGTTGTGTCGTCCATGTAAAACCCTCCTTGTTTCATATCTCTCAGAGTCATCCAGAATCGCTTCATGGACCTCTGCTGCACTAAAACCCTAAGCATCGTGCTGTAAAGTAGAGAGCTTGGAGTAAGCAATGATTCTCTGAAAACCCAATCGAGAAAGCAATAAGCTTTTTCTGGGTGCTTGTCTAAATTCCTAAGGACGTAGACTGCAGTCTCGTGGGTTAAAGGCAGATCGGGTTTTCTCAATCCTTCTTCTACTTCCCTAGACCAATCGTTTTCCAGTACTAATTGAAGCATAGACTCTGGTTTTGAAGAAAAGGAGCGGAATTGCCATGGAAATCGACTAGGGATTGCAAAGGAATCGAAAGGCGAAGACGAGGAAACACCCACCTGAGCTCGGATTAGATACGAACGCGTCGTGATCTTTGAGTAAGCGTTTCGAAGAGAAGACAAGATTGCCTTCGATCTGTACATGGCTGCTGCTTGCTACTCTGTGATTTTTTTTTCTGGGAAAATGACGAGGAAATCGAAGATCAGTGTACTGACAATAGGGTTTAAGCCAATGTTTTAAAAATCCGACCGGAGACGAACCGGAAAAAATTTGGGTTGTAGTTTAACCCGGTCCAATCGATTCAACCGGCGTATTCACAATAACAATTATTCCATGTATTATACTAAGATCAACATATCCAAATTCAGTAAATTACTGTAAAAATATTGTTTCCATTTTATTTTTTCTTCTTTACTTGTTGATTTGAACTCAGAATGAAAGGTCAACATATTCAAATTCATCAAAAATCAAGACAAACAAAATAACAGTTAACTAAACCCAAAATTAATCATCGAAGTCTCAAAATTCAAGAACCAAGTTTTCTACTTCATGAGTTTAAGCCGGTTTTCATATGAGTTTTTGGGATTTTTGAAACTGGTTTTTGACAGTGAACCAACTCGGATAACTCTCCAGGTCAAACCGATTTAACCGACTAGTCCGATCCATTGAACTTGTATTTAGTGGTATTTTTTACCTCAAGATATCTTCTAAGTAGGTCAAATTTGGGCTTAAAATAGGGTCAAATCAAGGATTCACATGAGACAAGAATAAAGTGTTTGATTAGTGTTTTTACTTACTTCATATGAAATCATTTGTATTTTAGAATTTTAAACATTTGATTCAGACAAAATTTATCTTCTGAAGTTGGTCAAATTTTGGGTTTAAATCCCATTTATAACAAATAGGATCAAATCCAATATTTGCATGTTTGTTTAGTGTTTTTACTTGTTTCAAACGAAATCATTTGTACTTCAGAGTTTTAAACATTTGCTTCAAGACGAAATCATTTGTACTTTATTTGTACTTCAGAAGAAAAATGTTTGCTTAATGTTTGATTAGTGTTGTAAATGGTCTTAGAGGAGGAAATCAAAGATCAGTCTCATAGTAACAATAGGGTTTAAGCAAAAATGCAATTTTCTGAAAATTGGGGGTTTAAAAACCTCGTAAAACGCTGCATTTAGTGATCTCCTTTTACCTCAAGATATTTTGGTCAAATTTATTTTGGTCAAATTTGGACTTAAAGCCTATTTATACCAAATAAATAGGATCAAATCCTATTCGCATGGGACAAATGTTTGCTTAGTGTCTTTACTTGCATGAGACGAAACCATTTTGTTTTGTTTCTAAAGAATAGGGTTAATATGTTAGATAACCAAAACTTAAAAGTAGTTAGTTAACCAACCATTTTGTTTTCAAGAAATGACGCTGTTGAAAAAAAATGTAAAAGCCAAAAAGCTGTTATTTAACCAACCATAACTTTACATGATAGTTTAAAGGTTTAAACCATCTCAATATATTAATTTTTAGCAAAATCATCAACTCTCATAAATATCTTATCCTGATTGTTGCTAGTTTTTCTTGTTTAAAAGGTGAATTCAATTAAAATTATTTGACAAATGCTAGGTTTTTAACAGGTTTTTAATATAGTGCCGATCGACAAAATACTAACAGTTTCCTCTTTTGGTATAAGAAAACATTACAGATCAAACTAATCCTGTCCGAGAGATGTAATGAAAGTATGTAACACACAAGAATTTAACACATGGTAACTTACTGTCAGTAATCTTTGAGTTGCAATCTCAACAAAGCCTCTTCAGAGACCTCAGTAGGAAACTCTTTCAGAAATTCAGAAACAATACTTTCTTGATCTCTCTGCATCTCTTCAATTTCCTCTCTCTGTTTCCTCAACAAAGTCTCAAGTTTCTCAACCACAATCCCAACTTCTTCTTCACTGACCGGTCCTTGTGATGAAGACAGCTTAGAGTTAGACCGTGGCGCGAACGGCGAACGTGAATCTCCAGCTCCAGCTTTAGGAGAGGACCAGAATTTTCTCCCGGAAGGAAATCTATCTAAACGCAGCGATTCAGAAGAAGACAAACATTTGTTCGTTGCTGAATTATCTCCGTTATGACGAGAAGGGATCCAATCGGGAATGTGTGAATGTATCTCCACGTCGATCATTTTAGCGATCGTTGAAACGTCTTGATCATCGGTTAGGTCTAATTCCTCGACCATTTCGATTGCGACTGAGAAAGATGTGTCCGTCTCTATGTTGAATGGGAAGTGTATATTGCGGATTTGTCCTGTATTAATTAAAAATGTTATTATTGTTGCTATGTCGAAAGAAGATTTAGTGATGATAACTGATAACATGCATGGAATTTTAAAATTTAAAGCAAAAAAAGATTGCACCTTTAGAATCAGTGATACGTAGTTTTAGAAAGATTGTGTTTAGGTCTTTGCGCTGGCCTTCTACGGTTAATAAACCTGTAGCAGAATCCGTGAGTTTCTCTTCGATTTCTCTTCCATTGATACCTTTTTCTGTATCGATTAAAAGTGGTAGCATGAATTTAGTTCATGAAGCTTCATTTGATACCTCACTACTCAGTATGAGATTAAATGAAAAATAACAAAAAAAATTATTACCTTTGTGGGATGTGACAGTTTCGTTTTTTTCGTTGTAACATTTAAGAAAAGGATCATCAAGTAGTTCCTTGGCCGACAAGCGATCCGAGACCTTTGCGATACACTTCTCTATGAATGTTCTCACTTGTGGATCAGTCACATTGGCAAGTGAGGCTGGCTTTATTCCCTGATCAACGTGAGTAAAAAGTTGAAAGTCAACTATATGGAAGACTAATCATACTCTTGACTGGATTTTCAGTTAAAGAGGATACCAAAGATCAAAACTTACCGATGAAACTTTCTTATAAATCTGAGCAGCGTTAGTGCATTCAACATATGGGTACTCCAAAGTTACAAGCTCAAGCAAACACATTCCAAATGCGTATATATCAACAAGTACGTCATAGTCTTCTTCATAGAGTTCCGGTGCCATAAATTCAGGAGTACCTTAACATTTTTCAAACACACAATTTTTAATAGTTTTCACAAAAAAAAGATCTTAGAATTTTGAGGATGAACAAGAGCTTATAGAAACTAACCAATGACGCTATGAGCTGAGCGAGCTCGGTGTAGAATCGCAGCAAGACCTAGATCTCCAATTTTAACCTCACCTTGGTTACCATTAATGAAAATGTTGTCACATTTAAGATCTCTATGGATCACATGAGGATCATGACTATGAAGATAAGCAAGCCCTTCTAAAATCTGCCTTGACCATTTCTTTATTGCTATTATATCAACACTCTTATGCTTCTTCCGGTACCTATAAAAAAATAAGCAAAAAAAAAGAAATAAATGAAAAGGGTGGTTAGTAAATCAAATCAGAACACAAAATCAAATAATAACAATTGATCAACTGATAATAGCATTGGATTTGAGATAGAGAGAGAGAGGAATCTGACTGTCTGAGATTGCCGGAAGTGAAGACTTCAGTGATGAGATTGATGGTCATGTGTTGGTGATCGATCCAAGAAGTGTAGAATTTGATGATGCTTTTGTGTTTAAGGGTTTTGAGCAAGTGAACCTCAGAGTAAAGACGCTCTAAATCCTCAGAGCTACACAGTTGATCGTCTAGCTTCACTTGGTTCCATGCCACTTCGATCCCCTCCAATTGATCAAATGCTCTGTATCTGCATAATCTCTCTGATCAAAGAAAACATATTTTTTTCTTTTTTTCTTCTCGGAAACAGAGACCAATTTAATAACAGAGAAAAGGATACACTTGTTTGAAAGCTCCTTTGCCAAGAACTTCATTATACTGTAAAATTATATACAAAAAGAAAGTATTAGAATCGAAAGATTGGTCGAGGAAATTAAGAAAAAGGAGATCAAAGAAAGAAGAACAGACTCGGCCATAGCGACCAGTGGGATCAATCTCGACGAATTCTTCCTCCGAGTTTTCCTCTTCTTGTCTCATTCTTGCGAGTCGAAAACAGAGGATTTCTTGCGAGTCAAAGAAGAAGCGTTTTCTTCTTTATGAACAAAATTTAAAAGCGGTTTCTGGTTGTTGTTATTATTATTTCTTAGCTGTTCCTGAGTGTTGATTGATTTTTTTCTGCCATTAAGACAAATCAAAACACCAAGCTTTGGCTTTTTTGGTCCAGATGATGAGAATAATGGTGTAGAGTGTTGTACGCTATCTCTCTCTCTCTCTCTTTCATATTCCAGATCCACTAGACAAGGCCACGTGGCACAAGTATGGGTCGTTGCTTTTTTCGCGCCATAGATCTGGTTTTCATTTTTTTTCTTTCTTCCCTAAACTTCTCTATTTCCATTTATTGTCTCATGTGATTTTAATTCTTTTAATTAATTATTTTGCTTACTCGGTCAACTTCAAGTTCAAGGGGTTTCATTTGCGGAACCGAGAAAAACTCGTTACAAATATTTTGAATTAATATTTACTACTACTAATTAGTAAAAATACAGAAAATGCTATAAAATAATTATGTGTGGTGGTGGAACAAGGAAAATTTCGTAATAATATTAAGTTATTTTTCTTAAGTGAACAGAAATTTACTGCGGACAAACTTTACCTGGTATAAAGAAGAACACAGAAGCACCGAAAAGACTTAAATAAGGGACCCTTAAATAATCAGAAGAAAAATCTCGAAGAACATTAAAAGAATCTAGACATGGAGATGGAGCATGCATGTGTATAACTAGAACAAGTCTGTTTATCAATCTCTACTTTAGCGTTAGTGGAGAGTACTGTGTCTCTCTTACACTGCTATGATTAGATTTGGATCTACAGTTCTCAATCAATTGTAATTGGTATTAAGGCAAAATATTGTAATTCTTTTCCGCTTTAATCTACTATTCGTTTTGCCGACAAACAAAAAAAAAAGAATTATATCAAAGAAAACTTGATTAGTTTCATTATTTTAGCTCCATCTTATACATATATACAAAAAAATGGATGATATTAAATGCGTTAATGGAGTGGCGTTTATATTTCAGGTTATCAGGTATGCTCGATGAATGTTTAAAATGTATGTTATTTTGATGGACAGCCTGAAAAATCCGAGCTTATCAAGTAGCTATGTATAGGCCATTTGCAAACGAACTGAATCAATTTTGGAAGATTTTATATTTGTTATCTCATTATGGGACGCATGATTTATCATTTATGCGAATCTTCGACATTGCCATTTACCTGATTAAACTTAATATATAATTTTGTTAGTCACATAACGAAATAAAATGTTATGTAAAAGAAAAATAGCATAATCACAATTTTTAAACGGAACGACATACAACTCAAATTCGTTTTCTCAACTGAGCAGAATTGTTGTGAGTGTTGACATATATATTTAGCTGGTAAATAAGTACAAAAGAAGTCACAGAATTGTTAGTGTTGGCAAACTTGAAAATTTTGTCCAAGAACCAACCAAAAGTTAAATGAAAAGACATATATCCAAGAGATTAAGTGGACAGTATAGTTACGTATCATAGACAAACTTGGCTTGTGTGTGTACATAAGTCCAAAAAAGAAGATAACAAAAATATTAAGCAAACTCTTCACCAGAAAAATCTTTAAGAATCAAGAGATACAAAAATGACGATCATGATACTTCTCTTATGCTCAGTTATCTTCTTTACCATTCTCTTCTTCTATAAACAGACGACACGGAAGAAAGGCAACTCTCCACCGTCACCACCGAGACTTCCACTGATCGGAAACCTCCACCAGCTCGGCCGCCACCCTCACCGATCACTATGCTCTCTCAGCCACCGTTACGGTCCTCTCATGCTCCTCCACTTTGGCCGTGTCCCTGTTCTTGTAGTCTCTTCCGCCGACGCGGCTCGAGACGTTTTGAAGACGCACGATCGCGTTTTTGCGAGCCGCCCACAGTCTAAAATATTCGAAAAGCTTCTCTACAACGGGCGTGATCTGGCTTCAGCTCCTTATGGAGTGTATTGGAGACAAATAAAGAGTGTGTGTGTCCTCCATCTCCTCAGCAACAAAATGGTACGTTCCTTTCGAGCAGTGAGAGAAGAAGAGATTAGTCTGATGATGGAAAAGATCCGAGAATCAGATTCGTCGCCGATGAATCTAAGCAAGCTCATGTCGACTTTAACTAACGATGTTATATGTAGAGTTGCTTTGGGACGTAAATATGGTGTCGGAACAGATTTTAAAGAGATGATAGACAGGCTCATGAGGCTGTTGGGGGTGATTAGTGTCGGGACTTATGTCCCGTGGCTTGCATGGATTGATTGGATCCGTGGTCTGGATGGTCAGCTAGATAAGACTAGAAATGATTTTGATGAGTTCTTGGAGAGAGTTGTTCAAGATCATGTTGATGGTGACAGAGATAGGAATGACTTCGTTGATGTATTGCTAGCGATTCAAAGAGATAAGAGCGTCGGATTTGAAATCAACCGGATAAGCATAAAGGCAATCATCTTGGTAAGTAAAAAGGAAAAAAAAATAATATATAGTTTGATGTTTGGTATATATACAACATATAGTTTTTGTTTTTGTTTTCACTTTTCAGAATGTTTTTGTGGCTGGTACGGACACATCATACACCCTTATGGAGTGGGAAATGACAGAGCTTCTACGTCACCCAAAGTGTATGAAAAGACTTCAAGAAGAAGTACGTACAGTTTGTAAGGGAAGAACAAGTGTTTCAGAAGACGACGTTCAAGACATGAGCTACTTAAAAGCTGTGGTCAAAGAAACACTCAGGCTACATCCTCCACTTCCATTGACGGTCCCTCACGTATCAACACAAGATGTTATATTAAGAGACTACCACATACCGGCCGGTACACAGGTTGTGATCAATGCATGGGCGATAGGGAGAGAGGCTGCAACATGGGGACCGGACGCGGAGGAGTTTAGACCGGAGAGGCATTTAGATTCTTCTATTGATTTCCGAGGTCAGGATTTTGAGCTGGTTCCATTTGGATCTGGGAGAAGGATTTGTCCAGCAATATCATTCGCTGCGGTGTTGAATGAGCTTGTTTTGGCTAACTTAGTGCATCGGTTTGATTGGAGGTTACCGGTTGATTCTACAGAAGAACAAACCGGTGTTGCTGAATCAACCGGTAGTGTGATTCACCGTTTGTTCCCTCTTTACGCCACTGCATCATTTGCTACTTGACCAAGGCATGATATATAAATGCTTTGTTATACAATGTATGCAATAAACATGGAACTCTTAGCAAAGAGATCTTTGTGATTTGTGTTCTTGAGAAACTAGACTAATTTAAAAAGCAAATGGGCTGAAAATGTATTTTATGTCTTCTCTTTTTGTCTTGAATGGTCCATCATCAATGAAGGTTACTACTACTACTCAGTACTTCATAAAAAATTGAATCAGAAAAGTTTCTCTCAACAAGACTTAAAACTATGATCAACTCTAAACCCTATACAACTTATAACTTACAAATTTACACACTCACTTCACTCTCCACTTGAAAAAACACCAAAAAAGCATCAAACAAATTCAAGAAACAGAATGACATCTTCTCTTCTGAAACATGAATCGTTTCTCCGAATTTGTCTTCTCCTCCGTATGCTTACCGTTACCAGCCACACTTCTCTGGCTGCTTCTAAATCTCAACACAACTGCGTTCAACTTGTTAAGACCTCTAGAGAGCTTCCTAAACAGTCCATACCGCGTCCTCCGGCTCGCTGGCTTTACAAACTCTCTCTTCATCGAAACATGATCCTTCTCAAGATCAGTCAGCCTCATCCTCATCCTCGCCACCTCCAGCCTAAGTTCTCTGTTCTCTCTTCTCACCGACGCATAGTTATCCCTCGGCGAGATCGCACCGCTCGCCATACCGCTCCCGGAACGGTTCGGAAACTGTCCCGGGAACAAGAAGAACTGGCTCTGACTCGAACCGCCACCACCTCCGCCGCTTGTCATCGTGTTCTTGAGCCGCGTCTGTTCGTAGAACAAGACTTGAACCGCGATCTGGACCGGAAGTCTCTCGTTCTGGGCCGCGTGGCTGCTTGCGTCTTGTGTAAGTTTCTGACAGTTGATTGTCTTGCAGAGACGGTAGCGATCTGAATCTTTCATGTTTGGATGAACCTAACTCAACCAAAAACAATCAAATCAATATCAAAGATCACAATGAAAACCTAACTTGGAATACAAGAAAAAGAGATACCTTGAGGAAGATATCAATGGCTCGGTAAAGGCCATCGCAGACGACACGAGCATGGTCAGGGAGAAGCTCAGAGAGAGCTATGAACTTGAAAGGAGGGAGGTTCGAGTCGAGAGCCACCTCAGCTAGATAACTATCCATCAGCTTCGACACCTTGAAGATGGAGCTCTGTTTTGGAGACTCAGAGCCTTCGAAGTCGTACATAGCCATCTCTCTCTCGTCAACCGCATCTCCATCACCACCGTCGTCGTCTTCGTAGTCGCACTCGTCGAGATTCAAGAACATGGAGAAGATTCTTTGCACGGAGTCAGTGTCATACATGGCGCCGACGTTCGCCGGAATCAAGATGTCTTCAAGAATCGCTTGGTCAAGCTGGTGGCTTATCCGCTTCTCAAGATCCGATCTGCAAGAAACAGAGGTCGCAGATGCTATAGCTGTCTTCAACAAGCTGGAGAGGAACGAGATCGGGATCGAGATTTTGTTCGCTTGCGTCGGGAGGAGACTCACGATCGCTTCCAGGATGATCCGTTGCTTCTTCTGCAGATCGGAATCAAGAACCGTCACGTTTCCTTTGAGAAGACTCGGTTCTCTGATGATTTGGAGTGACTTGCGAGCGTAGCTCATGAGGATCTCGCTGATGATCTCATGATTCAAGCCTTTGGATTTCATGGCGGAGACAACTCTCTGGAAGAAATCGAGCTTGAGGATGAGGAGAGACCTTCCCCACCAGTCAGAAGGTTTCTCCATCTCCGGCGTCAATCTCCCGCCGAAGTTCTGATCAAGCTTGAGCAAGCCAGAGACGAGCTGTTCTTTGCATGCGTTACCAGCGATGGCGTTCACGAGCCTCCCGACGAGGCTAATCTCTTCAGCTACAGGCAGTAACAGCCTCTCGATGGAGTGAAGCACGGTGATGGAGTTCGAGATGTCGTTAAAGATCGAGTCTTTCAGGTAAGACTCTGTTCTCGCCTCGAGATTCTTCTCCGACAAGTCCTCTGTCATCTCCAGGTAATGAGCCACGCATCTCAACGCCGCGATGTTCGACGGCGTGAACTGGAGGACGATGCCGTAGCAGAATTTCGCGGCGAGCTCAAACGCCTCTGAGCCGCCGGGAAGTGCCGGTAGGTTCAGGTGGTAAGCGTTCTTGTTGTCTTTTGACTCGAAAAGAAGTTTCTTGATTCTTCCACTCCGAGAGATGAGAGGAAACTGAAAAAAACAAAAACAGAGACAATGGTTTTGTCTTAAGAGTTTATTTATGTCTTAACTTCACATTCAAGACTCAAGAGTTTAGTTTGGATTTTGTTACCTTGTGAAGAGAAAAGCTTGCAGAGCCAACTTCTATGGTCAAGTCACTTGTAACGTCCGAGACCGGCCTGAAAACACACAGACACAACTTAGTGGGAAATCAAAAAAAAAAGTTTTGAGGACACATGTGACAAAAATGTCAAATCTTTGTAGGTTTTTCATGTTTGGTTGAAAGTGAAAAGAAAGTGAGGAGATGAGTAGTCATACCATTGAGGAGTGTGTCTGATGCTGGAGCTTGGACGAAATGCTCTTTTCACAGAAACACTTTGCTTAGACTCAGGAGTACTAACAACACCCATTAGATCTATCTCTTCGTTCAAAAAAAAGATCAAAAACTTTCTTTCTTTTTGGTTTTGATGTTTCTTATCAGACAATTTAGCAACCCAATACTATTGCAAAGACCTGCAAATGTGCTTTTGTATTTCTACCGAAAATGTTCCTTGTCGGCTACAAATGCTCTCTGTCTCTTTCTCTTTTCTTTTTCTTTATCTCCATTTTCAATACTGCGAGTGGAGTGTGTACAAAATTCACATGAATTCATGTAGAATTAAAGCGTAATCATCACCTTTTTTGCTTAATAAAATCTTTATCTTCCGGGAATTAAGACACTAATCCCGCTTACGATAGGTAGGTAGTCTGAGAGAGTAATGAGTATATGATCTCATTTCACTAGTAATGGCATAAATATTTTATTTTATTTTGGTCACATGCAGTATTAATAGTATAGAGTACTATATAGGATGAAAATGTATCAATAATTATTTAGTTTGTTTAACTGATGATTGATATATCATATTAATTGCAGAATGACGGAATAATACAGAAGTAATAAGAGTGGAATAATATAATAACGAAAACATTTTAGTTGAAGAAACTGTTTAATAATTACGAAATGCTAAAAAAAAGTGAAGGCTTTTAGACTAATTAATGTTCTCCCTAACGTTGAAATACGATGATTTAATAAATGTTATGAATAATACAATTTCGTGCATATAATATTATCTATGTACATACATACTGTATTAAAAAAAGTTATATGTATGTAATTATATAAGGTTATATGTAGATCTTGCGAGTGGGATTGTCGAAACTCTAACTCTGAATAACTTTTCACTTTTGCACTTTTTATTTTGTAGTTGAAAAGCAATATTTAGGGGATTAGTGCACAAAGTCAATTAAGTGTGCTGTTTATTTATTTTTTTTGATAAAGAAGTGTGCTGTTTATTACTTATGCTTTTCGGTGAAAAGTTGGAAAGGTCTCTCTTATCTTGTCTTTTATTTACACGGGTTAAAGAAAACAATAGATTGCAGGAAGTGTGAATGGTTGCATTGCTTTAGGGGGTTATAATCATACCTCTATGTTTTTTCTTTTTTCTGTTTTTAACTCCGCAAAAATATTTTTTTTAGAGTAGCTTAGACAAGAAAATAAATAAATAAAAGTATAGTGGTAGATGAAATTGAAGTTAACGAAAAGAAGGTGCGCCAAACCTACAAAAATAAAATAAAGTGTTATCGTTAGAAATTTAAAATACTATCTCGATCATGAGTAAATAACTTCAGCTTCCAGATTTTGCTTCCTTCAAACGTTCCAAACTCCCAATAATGAGTAACAACCATCATGAAGAGAACGTTTTCACATAGTTTGATCAAAGAAGTGATATGTACCACTTGGTTAACCATATATCACTTTGTATCCCTACTAGTCCGCTAGAATAAGATTCATCCACTGTGTGCTTCACTTTTCTTGTTAAATGCTTCATATCTTTATCAAGTACGATATAAGAGATTATCCCGAAAAGTGGAGTCATTTAGGACAATGTTCATGAAAGTAAGTATAAATTTTGTTAAGTGAACACTCACAATTGACAAGAAGAAAAAGAGAGAGAGAGTGTGTGTGTGTGTAGAGGAAAGTGGGGAGGCAAATAAGAGCAAATGATGGCGAAGCATATTATATTGGGAATCATGATTTCTGTATTTGGTGGGGTTAACTCTAAGATTACTTCCCTCCTCTTTTCATTTTAAATTGTAACCCTAAATTCTTAATTTATTTCCATCATTCTTTCGTCTCTTTTTTCTGCCACTTTTACAATGCTATGGTCGATTCTAGGATTAGTCCCTAAATCATCTACAGAAGATCAGACCGGCGTCACTAAATCAACAGGTATTGCGATTCATTCACCGCTTGTTCCCTCTTAACGCCATTGCATGATTGCATCATCTACTACACTTGGGAGTACTAGCTAGCAAAGATATTTTTGAGATTTGAGTTATTATTGTTATGTGAAACGAACATCATCAGATTCTACGACTGGCCCATTTATAATGGTTTAGCCCAATCTCAAAAACTCAAAAAGTATGGGTACGAGCAAGAAGGAAACTAAGGAGCTGAAGAAAAAGCATCACAAACATTTTTTAAAACATTGCAAGTTTAAGGAAATATAAAAAATGTGACTGTACAGAAACATCATGAATTATATTTTCTGATTAAGTAGATGTTATAAGTTTTAAAAAAAAGAAAAATATTTTTAATTAGCTGTAAAATATGACTGTGGTTAGCAACTAGTCTAGCTGCCTATCCACAATCCTTATCCATTTTACGCAGAAAGAAAAATTGTGTGGAGAGAGCATGGCTTGTATATATTAATATATACACAAGTCCAAAAGAAGATCACAAAAACCGTAAAATATGCTCCACATGCAAGAAATATTCTAGAAGAGATGAAAATTATGATGATGATGATGATGATACTTCTCTTATGCTCAATAATTTTCATTACCATCCTCTACTTCCAAAAACAGACGACGCAAAAGAAAAGAAAACAGACGACATACAACTCAAATTCGTTTTCTCAACTGAAATAAAATATTTAGCTTGTAAATAAATCCGAAAGAAGTCACATAACTGTAAGTGTTGACGAACTTTAGCTTGAAAATTTTGTCGAAGAACCAACCAAAAATTAAAAGAAAAAAGACATATATCGAAGAGAAGATAAACTTGGCTTGTGTGTGTACATAAGTTCAAAAAAGAAGATAACTAAAATCTTAAGCAAACTCTTCACCAGAATTTTTTTTAAGAATCAAGAGACGCAAAAATGATGATCATGATACTTCTCTTATGCTCAGTTATCTTCTTTACCATCCTCTACTTCCATAAACAGACGACACGGAAGAAAGGAAAAACTCCACCGTCACCACGGAGACTTCCGTTGATCGGAAACCTCCACCAGCTCGGCCGCCACCCTCACCGATCGCTATGCTACCTCAGCCACCGTTACGGTCCTCTCATGCTCCTCCACTTTGGCCGCGTCCCCGTTCTTGTAGTCTCTTCGGCGGATGCGGCTCGAGACGTTTTGAAGACGCACGATCTTGTTTTTGCAAGCCGTCCACGGTCTAAAACCTACGAAAAGCTTCTTTACAACGGGCGTGATGTGGCCTTAGCTCCTTATGGAGAGTATTGGAGGCAAATGAAAAGTGTGTGTGTCCTCCATCTCCTTAGCAACAAAATGGTACGTTCCTTTCGAGATGTAAGAGAAGAAGAGATCAGTCTGATGATGGAAAAGATCCGGGAATCTAGTTCTTTGCAGTTAAATCTAAGCAAGCTCTTGGCGAATTTAACAAACGATGTGATATGTAGAGTTGCTTTGGGAAAGAAATATGGCAGTGAAACCGATTTTAAGAAGTTATTAGAGAGGTTCACAAGGCTATTGGGAGCGTTTAGTGTCGGGACTTATGTATCGTGGCTTGCATGGATTGATTGGATCCGCGGTTTGGATGGTCGACTAGCGAAGACGAGAAAAGATTTTGATGAGTTCTTGGAGAGAGTTGTTCAAGATCATGAAGATGGTGACGGAGATAAGAATGATTTCGTTGATGTATTGCTAGCAATTCAGAGAGATAAGAGCGTCGGCTTTGACATCGACCGGTTCAGCATAAAGGCAATGATCTTGGTAAGTGAAAAATACACATTTTTCAGATGATACAACTAATTTAAAAAAAAAAAAAAATCAATGACGTTTTAGTAATATAACTATAGTTCTTGTTTTGGTTTCCAGGATGTTTTTGTGGGTGGTATGGACACATCATACACACTTATGGAATGGGCAATGACAGAGCTTCTACGTCACCCTAATTGTATGAAAAGACTTCAAAAAGAAGTCCGTACGATTTGTAAGGGAAAATCGAGTGTATCGCAAGAAGGCGTTCAAGAAATGAACTACTTAAGAGCTGTGATCAAAGAGACACTAAGGCTACATCCTCCACTTCCGTTGATGGTTCCTCACGAATCAACACAAGATGTCATATTAAGAGATTACCACATACCTGCCGGTACGCATGTTATGATCAATGCTTGGGCAATCGGTAGAGAGGCTGCAACGTGGGGACCAGACGTGGAGGAGTTTAGACCAGAGAGGCATTTAGATTCTTCTGTTGATTTCCGAGGTCAGGATTTTGAGCTGATTCCATTTGGAGCTGGGAGAAGGATTTGTCCAGCAATATCATTTGCTGTGGTGTTGAATGAGATGGTTTTGGCTAACTTAGTGCATCAGTTTGATTGGAGATTCCCGGTTAAATGTACAGAAGATCAGACCGGTGTCGCTGAATCAACGGGTATTGCGATTCACCGCATGTTCCCTCTTTACGCCATTGCATCATCTACTACTTGACTTATAGGCACAATATATAATTATGCTTAATTACGTTATGTGAACACAACCATGCATGTTCTTACCCATTTGAAACTCTTACTAGCAAAGAGGGTACTATCTTCAAAACTGAAGTAGCATGCATGTTCAACACTCGTGTCTGTATTCTTGTGGACTTTTTAAGATTTGTGTTTCTATATATTTGTGCTTATACATGTATTTTAAAGAGAAATTTTGAAATATATGAACCCGACATAACCGTTTTGCGTCTATGTTTATTTGAAGAACAAAAAAATACTAAAAGTTATTCTGTTACATTAATTTTTTTTTAATTAAAACTATTTTCTAATTTTAGGCAAAAAAAAGAAGAAAAATTGAGTGGACACTAGTTATGTACCTAGCATATAGAAGAAATTGGCTTACATATATTTTAATTTTTTATTGGACAAAAAAAATTTGAAAGTTATTAGCTTTGAAATTTAAATTTTCTGGTTAAGTTTCATAAATAGGTGTAGAGTTACAACTAAATCTTTGAAATAAGGGAAATGGGACCAATATCTTTTAGGAGATGAATATTTTTTTCTGGTGTGGACCTTAGTAGATATTAAAAATCTAACAAATAAGGTATTTGAATCATTAGAAAAGTAAAAAAATAATATTTTATAAATAAAATAAATGATTTATTATTTTTGTTGGTCAAAGATATTATTTTTGTTAGTTTTGTCTTTGAATAGCAAAAATAGTACGTGTCAATAAAATTGTTATGTGCTTGGGTGGCATACTATATGGAGAGATATTTTAGCTTTTATATTCAGAATTTGAGAGAAATATATTTTGTCCATATTTTTCTTTTCCAATTTAGGCCAAAAAAGAAGAAAATTTGAGTGGACACTAGTAACGTAACGTATAGAAACTTTGCTTATATATATTATTAAGTCCACAAGAAGAACACAAAAAAACTCTTCACGAGAAAAACTTGAAGAATCCAAATCTACAAAACATGATGATGATACTTCTCTTGTGCTTCATATTTTTCATTGCCATTCTCTTCATAAAAAAACAAACGACAGGGAAGAAAAGCAACAAATGGCCATCACCCCCGAGACTTCCGTTGATCGGAAACCTTCATCAGCTCGGCAAACATCCTCACCGATCAATGTACCACCTCAGCCAACGTTACGGAGATCTCATGCTTCTTCATTTTGGCACTGTCCCCATTCTTATAGCCTCTTCCGCCGATGCTGCTCGAGACGTTCTGAAGACGCATGACCGCGTCTTCGCGAGCCGTCCACATTCGAAAATCTACCATAAGCTTCTTTACGGGAGCCGTAACATGGCCTCAGCTCCTTACGGAGAGTACTGGAGACAGATGAAGAGTGTGAGCGTCCTCCATCTCCTCAGCAACAAAATGGTGCGATCCTTCCGTGACGTGAGACAAGAAGAGCTCAGTCTCCTGATGGAAAAGATCCGGGAATCGGGTTCATCGCCGATGAATCTAAGCAAGCTCATGTCGACTTTAACCAACGATGTTATATGTAGAGTTGCTTTGGGACGTAAGTATGGTGCTGGAACAGATTTCAAAGAGATGATAGACAGGCTCATGAGGCAGTTGGGTACGTTTACGGTCGGGAGTTTTGTACCGTCCCTTGCGTGGATTGATTGGATCTGCGGTTTGGATGCTCAACTGGACAAGACCGCAAATGATTTTGATGAGCTCTTGGAGAAAATTGTGCAAGATCATGAAGATGGAGACGGCGATAAGGCTGATTTCGCCGATGTATTACTCGCCGTTCAGAGAGAGAATAGCGCAGGGTTTGAGATCAACCGGTTAAGCATAAAGGCAATCCTCTTGGTAATTTTTTTTTTAAATCAAATAATAGATTCAATAATGTTTTTGTATATTTTACATATGGGTCATAAATGTTTTAGTATATTTTACTCCCCAAGAAAATGTTTTAGTATGTAACTATATATCATTCTTGCTTTGGATTTAACTTTTCAGGATGCATTTGTGGGTGGTACAGACACATCCTCAACGCTTTTGGAATGGGAAATGACAGAGCTTCTACGTAACCCTGAGTATATGAAAAGGCTTCAAGAAGAGGTCCATACAGTTTGTAAGGGAAGAACAAGTGTTTCGGAAGACGACATTCAAGACATGAGCTACTTAAGAGCAGTGATCAAAGAGACACTCAGGCTGCATCCACCAGTTCCATTGATGGTTCCTCACGAGTCAACAGAAGATGACATACTGAGAGGTCACCACGTACCGGCCGGTACGCAGGTTATGATCAATCTCTGGGCGGTCGGGAGAGAGGTTGCGACGTGGGGACCAGACGCGAATGAGTTCAAACCGGAGAGGCATTTGGATTCGCCTGCTGATTTCCGGGGTCAGGATTTTGAGCTGATTCCGTTCGGAGCAGGGAGAAGGATGTGCCCGGGGATATCATTTGCTGTGGTGCTGAATGAGGTGGTTTTGGCTAACTTGATGCATGGGTTTGACTGGGGATCCACAGAAGATCATGAGACCGAAGTTGCTGAATCAATCGGTGCCGTGATTCGCCGCATGTCCCCTCTTTACGTGACTGCATCCCCTACTACTTGACTTAAGGCATTATACATAAATGCTTACATTTTAGGCTGGTGGTTCGCTTCTTTACTGTTCTGCTATTTCAGTGTCAATTACTTTGTGCTTCTTTGTTCTTATGGTTGTGGATTGGTGGCTTTATCGGTTAAAATTAGTTAAAACCTAGTTATAAGCTTCCTTTGTTTAGGCTTTTGTTATCAATCTATGACTCATGTCCGAATTAATCTATGCACAAAGAAAGTATATAAAGGGAAGTAAAAAGAAGAAGGGTATGGAATATTTATTACTTGGAGTTATTTGTTCTACACAACGAGTATCATCATCAGTCTCCTCTCAATTGGGCTTCACGGCTAGTCAAAGGAACATAACGCACTGAAGTTTCGCTCTTGATGCTAACCGAACCGTCTGAGTTCTTATCCACCACTTTCAGATCTTGGAATATGTTCCCCACCGGTATCACCAGTCTCCCACCAGGTTTCAGCTGATCAATCAACGCCTCTGGGATCTCCGGCGCTGCTGCTCCCACATGAATAGCATCGTACGGTGCGAACTCAGCCCATCCTTGCCTTCCATCTACTTGACACGAAACAACAACTCATCGAACCAGCAATGTAAAACAAACAAGAACACTAAACGATTCTCAAAACTCACCGCCAACGTGAACAGCGAGAGATCCTTGTTTGACTAATGGAGAAGCAGCACTGGCTTCAATATTCTTCATGGAAGAAGCAACCAATTCAGGGATGTGTTCCACACCTACACAACGCCCTTCGGGTCCAACCATAACCGCAAAGCAAGCTGTCAAGTACCCGGTCCCTATTCATCAACCAATCATCATCATCATCATCATCAAAGCAAGAAGAAACCAATTTCAAGAGAGAAGAAACAAACGAACCGGAGCCAACATCAAGAACACGCATTCCTGGTTTCAGATTCTTCTCGAGAAGTTGAAGGCACATTGCGTGCATGTGAGGTGCTGATATGGTGGCGTTGTACCCGATAGACATGGGACTGTCGACGTAAGCAGAGGAAGGGTCTGGCACAAAGACGCCTCTGTCCACAGCCTCCATAGCTTTAGCAACTTCATCAGACGTGATTACGCCATGATTTTGCAAGTTCTCCACCATAGCTTTGTTCTTGTTGATACTGTTTGGGCTCCAGAATTGCTTTACAACATCGCCGCCACAGAACAAAAATACCATCAGTACAGAGAAAAAAAACTAGCAACGATTGAAATTATTATAAGCTTCGATTCATCGCCAGAAGAGATCAATCGTTTGTGTATATATCTATCGATCATCCGTAATTGACAGACTAAAACAGCGAATTCAACTGGAAATTCAAATTTCATTTCATACCAGATCGAATTCCGATTTCGAGAAAGTTAACTGGTAGGGAAGTATATAATCTTAGTGATTTCAATCGAAACTTTCAGAATGAAATGAAAATCAAAGTATCCAATCGATCGGGAGTGTAAGAGTACCTTCATCTTCCGTAATAGAAAGCTTCCCCTGATGAGAGAGAAGAATGTTCAATGAAGCCAGAAGCAGAGAGAGACTTCAGAGTTCAGGCGTTATGAAAATGGAGAATGTGGTGGTGATTAGCGCATAATAGCGGAAATTGCACGCAACGAGAGTTAAAAGGAATATCGTGCGCCTATATGTTTGCAACTTTTCCTACTATTTTCTGTCATGTTTTAGTATTTACCCCATGTTTTGTTCTTTAACAATTTCACCCATTAATTCAAAAAATGTTTTACTGAAGAAAAAGGAACGAGCAAAGATGCCCTTATAGCTCAGTGGTAGAGCGTCAGTCTTGTAAACTGAAGGTCCGTAGTTCGATCCTGCGTGAGGGCACCTTTTTAACATTTTACTTGAATTTTAAAACGACGTCGTGTAAACATTTTAACGTGGATTGCCAAAAACACAGTCGTTTTGGAGATTCGGGCACCAAAAACCTATCTGGATCTGATGACGGGTAAGTACGACTACGAACGACAATCGTCGGCTTAGTTCGTCGTCACTCTCATCATTTCTAGGGTTTTAATCTGCAAATGGCGAATCTTGTGCAGAGATTTCTCAGGAACCAATCGTGTTTAAGGGCAATCCCGAGGCTCAATCCCAATCTAACAACACATCAGAAGCCTTGCATCAGCAACGTTGTAGAATTCGATCCAGCTCCTCTTACCAATCCCGTGATCACCGTCGCCGATAAATCTCTGCAATTTTACCCGAGCTTCCCAATCGGGTACGGGTTTAATCCGACTGCGATTCATGATTCGGGTCTGATCGACGCGGATGCGGTGGCGGAGGAGAAGGGTGAGAAGGAGATGGTGATTTATGCGGACAGTGTGAAGAAGAAGAGGAAGAAGAAGATGAACAAGCACAAGTACAGGAAGCTCAGGAAGGAAATGGGACGCAAAACTTAGAGATTGCTTGCTCGATTCGCGTTTTGAGGATATTTCCGGTGAGAAATTTGAAAGCTTTTTTTTTGTCTTTATAAATATTGGGGCTTCAAGTCCGAACCAGATTTCTTTTGAATTTAGATGGATAATGTTCTGAATTTCGACAAAGTATTGATGAATTTGTATAAGCATTTCCTGTCAGTTGTTAATCGTTTTATTTGCCAATGAAATTCCTCACAGTTGAAATGTTAATTCTGTGTTTTAAGTTGAGCAATTTGATACTTCAAGAGTCGTATTTGCCGTTTGTAGTGTTGAAATTTTTTCAAGATGCAATTATTGTGATAAGATGACGGCTTTAGCCAAGTGAGTATGCTTATAAATTTGGATGTTTGAAGCTTTCCTGCATTGTGATAGTGTGTGGTTTCTTCTTCTTCTTCAGAGGTCTTCACCTAATCAGAAAAGCTGAGATTTGTTTAAAGAACTGAGTTCGTGATCGTATTGACTTTACTTGCTTGTGTTGATCCGTTAGTTTCTCTTAAGTGCATTGATCCTGGAAACCCTCTATGGATAGGGAGGGGTTCACGAACATAGTAATTAGTAGAGTTAGATTCTTCAACGGGGTTGCTTTGGCATTTGCCATCTAGATTCTTCTTCTATTGAAATTTCGTGTTCTTGGTTCAAGAACTGAGGGTTTAGCTTACCCCAAACTCCAACCATCATCCTTAAACTCTGTTTCTTGAGAGTTGAGACTTATGATTCCTCTGCTTTCTCAATTTTTTGTTTTTGTTTAGATTTGAATGCCTAGATTGCATATATGATCATACTTTTTGTCATTTTGCTTCTTCTTTTACTTTTCTTTTCTAATTTTCATTTTCCTCGCAATAGTGACATATGAAACATATGATATTCCAACTATTGCACCAATAGAAACTCCTACAACAACAAGACCAGTAACAACTAACAACTTTTGAAGAGGTTGCATGAATTCGGCTGGACCAAGCAACTTAAATTTCAGTTTACATCATCGTCTCAAAAAGTTTCACTTAATCGAACGTTCACTGATGGCTGCATATAAATTTTGTTATAAAATTGCTTCTCGTAACCATGAATTAGTTCATATACGAAAGTCTAGCATCATCTCATATTGAAGATCGGATAGTGTAAGTTATGAGTCAATTGCTTGATCAGATAGTGTAATAAAAATTTTGATACACATGTTTAGGTGCTGAAGATGAAGAACGTGAAACTAAAATGTTTCTATATGATTTTTCTCGGATTCCTCTTCCATTATTTGAAGCGTTCAGATTTGGGAATCTTCTGGCTTTGGATATTAAATTGGATAAGGTATAAAGACTCAAGTTAAGCCACGCTAGCTGTCCCTGTGTGGATCGGTCTAAGATTCCTAAAGTCTAGACAAACAACACGGTATTGTAAATTTGAATTATTGGTTTCCAACATAATAATCAGTACAATAATAAATAAACTCACTTGCACGAAACTAGGAAACATCTAACCACGTCGTTGCATTTTAGGGATCTTGTGAAATACACGCAAACAAAAATTGTTGGGGAGAGGTTAAATCAAGCTTAATTTATCCAAGAACTAAACCACAAGTTTAGTTCAGTTTAAGATGATGGTCGTAAACCAATTTATGATGGTTTTATTGGCTGATGCTCAACCACAATACTAAATAATCCTTAGCAAATTACATTTATCAGTTCGTGGATTTTCATTACAATTTCTATTACGGTTGGTCAATGTAAACGTTAGTCGCAAAAAAAAATGTTATTAACCTCATCAGTTATATGTGAATCTTTTTCGTAAATATGAATATTCATCAATTGGCCTAGGATCATGAGATCATATTAAAACATAAAAAGGTATAAATATATTTCCTTGCACTAGGAAGCATCCATGATCAAACCACGATGCGAGCGGGTATTAAGCAAGATCGATTGGAATTATTCGTTCATATGCACTACATCAACGATCGGTTTAAAAATTGTTTATTTTGATCTCAAACTTGATCAAAGCATTACTCTTTTGGCTTATAATTAAAACTGAATGAAATATGAAACTTATAATATTGTAACTTGACGTGTATTTATATTTTATAGATGGGATGCGTCAAAATCTCTCCTTTAGAATTCATAATAACGATTAACTAGAGGCGAAGGTATTGAAGTGATACACAAATCGCCACGAGCTCCTTCCTGGTAGAACACATGGCGTTCCCACGATCCATGGGAAACCTAAATATAATTCTATAAGACTAGTACATTGATTATCAAATGGTCGATGTTAGTAAATTATTTTCGTATGTAATTGCTCGGTGGTTTAAGACTTGTTTTTATCAAAGCCGGTTGCTTCGAATGATGGAATCAAAAGCTTTTGATGCGCAGTGATTTGTAAATTTGTCTTAGCAAAATTCTTAGTTTAAGCTTAAAAAAATGCAAAAGATTATAGTTTGGGTTGGGGATTCAAGTTTTTCATAAATCGTCGGAGTGTTACATAATCACGTATAATGTGATTATACATGGTAACATGGATATAGAACGTCGTAAATATGCTTGTAATCAGATTGATGTTAGTATGTTGTGAAAAATTTCATGTAATGGGTGAAAATTTTCCTTTATCTTTCATATAATATACCCATCACCTTTACATGACCAAAAATGTACAAAAATAAAATATATGATCATGTATTCATGTTCTTCTTAATCTAACACACGATAACAGAATAAAATCTTGTTTTAAATATGAAAAATTTATGAGTTTTTAATTCACAATCAATTAGTAGTGGGATTTTTTTTGTTAAACAATTAGTAGTGAGTTAATTAGTTCATATCGCTTATCTCATCTTGAACATGATTTCCTTCTAGGATCGATAATAAATTATAATCAGACTACTCATGAACCAAGATTAAACCTAATTAAACTCATATACAATCTTAAGTTTAATGGATTTAATATTCAAGATTAGTTGGTAATGAATCAATTAGTCTATATTTCTGTATATGATCCCATCTCAACTTCTGATTATTTAAAAAGGTCTTTACAAAAAGGAGGATTTTGATTGTACAAGTCAACAATGCGATGGTGTGAACAGCTTTTGTGACCACATCTTAATCTAACTATTGCTTGCATTATTTTCCTTAAGCAACTTGTTGCTTCGTCTTACTTTTGCCATTATTGTATAATCCTATCAATTAACTTCCATCTCTTTTCCCCTAATAAATCAGCATTAAATGGTCCAGTTAGAAATATCAATATCATCCAAACGATGAACGCTTGATCTTGAAGCAAGACACCAAAAACGTTTCAAGGATTCATTCATTTTTCTGTCACTGTCCGCTAAATTTGTCAAATCAAACATCTATATAGCATATAGATATATATTTAAGGATGAAAGTTTAAAAAACCAGAAATTATATAAGTTTAATAATCTAAACTATTTAAAAGGAAATTACACCTACGATGGGTTATTTGATCAGCTAAGATGCGTGTACAAGTGTCATAAAAGTGTTCCACAAGTCTAACCAAGACGTAAACACAAATAATTCATCGTACAAACGTCGATGGTATTTTAGTCATTTAATTTCTCGCAAGAAAAATTATTGCTCTTTGCCTTTGCTATATATATCTCCAACACCATTTCGTTAAACTCTCAACTTCAGAGAAAAATACTCAATCAAAGAAAGAAACAATGAAGAAACTTCTCTTGATCTTTCTCTCCTCTTTTCTCGTTCTCCAAATCGCTCGCGGTTTCGACTACGAGGACAAGGAACTAGAGAGTGAAGAGAGCTTGACAAAGCTCTACGACAGATGGAGGAGCCACCACTCTGTTCCTAGGAGCCTTCATGAAAGGGAGAAGAGGTTCAACGTTTTCAGACACAATGTGATGCATGTTCACAACACCAACAAAATGGACCACCCCTACAAGCTTAAGCTCAACGAGTTTGCAGACTTGACTGTTCATGAGTTCAAGAATGCCTACACCGGTTCTAACATCAAGCATCACAGAATGTTGCAAGGACCCAGAAGTGGCTTGAAACGGTTCATGTATGAGAATGCAACCGCAGTTCCGTCCTCGGTTGACTGGAGAGAGAAAGGTGCTGTCAATGAAGTCAAGAATCAAGGAAAGTGTGGTAAGTATACGTTATCCAATTTTTAAAGCCTATATTTTTCTATTAATCCTATAGTTTTACATGAATTTAGTGGAAACAAACAAATATTAAAAGTTTAATATATAAATATGTTGCAAAACATAGTCCAATGGCGTTGTGTTCATATTTGAGATGTAAATATATAAACGTAGTCACTAACTACACACAAATACATCACAAGGTAATTCTTGACAAAAGCTTATACCTAACGCAATGCTTCAAATTTATATATGTCTATGAAATATATAGTAGTCTATATAATATATGTAGATCCATATATGTCTATGAAATTTAGATCCATTTTGACACCCCTATTAGTAGATCATGATCATAATATATAATATAGTTGAAACTTGTAAACACAAAATTTGATAACTGTATGAATTATTTGAAATTTATTAAATAAATTTGTGTTTAAAGAAATCTTCAATATATATACAAAAAAGGTTTCAACTAACACAATACTTTAAGGTGAATTTTATTGTAGTCTTATTCTTGATCTAATGATTTGATATTGTTAAAAAAAACTACCAGGAAGTTGCTGGGCATTCTCTACAGTTGCAGCCGTTGAAGGAATCAACCAGATCAAGACAAACAAGCTAGTCTCACTGTCTGAACAAGAGCTAGTGGATTGTGATACTCGCCAGAACGAAGGTTGTAACGGAGGTCTCATGGATATTGCATTCGAATTCATCAAGAAGAACGGTGGAATCACCACCGAGAAAAACTATCCATACGAAGGCATTGATGGTAAATGCGACGCCTCAAAGGATAACGGCGAGATGGTCACCATTGATGGGCACGAGGATGTACCCGAAAACGACGAAAATGCTCTTCTTAAGGCTGTTGCAAACCAACCTGTATCCGTTGCAATTGATGCTGGGAGTTCAAATTTCCAGTTTTATTCAAAGGTAACAAGAACAACAAATTAAATAAATAAAAAACTTCATATCTTGGAACATATATATAGCTACTATGCTAATTTACTCAAAAACATATCTCAGTATAACTTTTTGTGGTTATGTGTTTTAGGGAGTGTTTACGGGATACTGTGGAACAGAGCTAAACCACGGTGTAGCAGCGGTTGGTTACGGAGCTGACTCGCGTGGGAGAAAGTATTGGATAGTGAGAAACTCATGGGGACCTGGATGGGGAGAGAAAGGGTATATCAAGATCGAGAGAGGGATTCATGAATCTGAAGGACGTTGCGGTATTGCCATGGAGGCATCTTATCCGATCAAGCTCTCCTCTTCTAATCCATCCAAAGATGATGACCTCAAAGATGAGCTCTAGATATAATCATGTATTACACAGATGTATTACACACGTACAGTGTGTAGAACAATATCAATGTTTGTGATTTCAATTCCTTATCGATTCATGCTTGTTAGTTTGGTCTCCATGATTTGAGTTTGATGTTACTTTTGAATTTGAATAAAGAGGTCTCGTACTTTTTTCTTAATCTTTTGCTTATTAAGTCATTGCATAAAAATTCAGTAAGAAATTATAGCGAATAGGTTTTTCTAACAATACAAAAATAAAAAAACTTAACTGATAGCACATAATGCTATAGCTTGAATCAAGCATGCACTATATATATTTTTCCATCTCTCTTTCTTGCTTTTTTCATATATTAGCTTAAATGCTTTGTATGTATTGTTACTTGTTTGGTACGCTACAAGAAGAAATTCAGAATTCTGTAGTGTAAGAAAAATAAGATGACAATAATTACAGAGATAATAAAATGGGTAAAGCCTAATACAGTGTACAAACTCTTAATTACCGGATTCAAATTCACGGTTTACATGTAGAACCATACTTCCAACCATACTACAAACAGAAACGGACTAACAGATTAATCATTATATACGAATCCAACTTTTTCCTTAATCTAATTAATCAATCCTTCTGGTTCTCCCTCATATTTGTTCTTCCTTGACGAACACATCGAAGATATAGCTTTTGCAGACACGACCCTTCTCAGTTCTCACCAGTAGCTCCACTTGGTGTCTTCTCACCAGTAACAAAACGTTGGTTTATAGAATCTTATGAAGCCGCGCGCAGTTATATGAAGATGAAAATGAAAGAGAAAGATAATCTTTGTGGATATGCAAGAAGCATATGACATAACATGCAAGAATCATAAGACAGAATATATGCAAGCAGCATATGAAAGAGCAAGATCCTCCTTGTGGATATGCAAGAAGAAAATGTATATATATATATATATATATGCAAGCAGCATATGAAAGAGCAAGATACTCTTTGTATATATGCAAGAAGCATAGAAAAAGAGAAAGGTACTCTTTGTAGATATGCAAGAAGCATATGAAAGTGTATGCAAGAAGCATATGAAATTGTATGCAAGAGCGAGATACTCTTTGTAGATATGCAAGAAGCATATGACAAAATATGCAAGAAGCATATAAAAAGAGTAAGATACTCTTTGTGGATATGCAAGAAGCATATGAAAAAATATGCAAGAAGCATATGAATGAATATGCAAGAAGTATATGAAAAGTTATCAAGGGTTTTGAGTATTTTGACCTGCCAAGCAAGCGCACCTGTCATGGCAAAGGTCGTATACACATCCCCTCTCTGTTTTTCTTCTTTCAATACATCTTTTTCTCTCCCTAAGTTTGAAAGCTCAAACACGTGTGTGCAATAATTTTAATCTATAGAGATAGATAACGCAATAAGAAAATACCATCGGAACCGAGATCATTCCTTTTGCCATCAGGATTTATAGATGTTGATCAACGAGAATCGACCAGATGCGTTTTTTCCCGTTGTCGCTGCTTCAACCCTACGGGAATACGAATACCAATCCGAAAAGTAAGTTTCCGTCAGCCGGAGACCCTAAAGATTCGGAAACAGAATCCGAGAAACCCTAAGCAAAGACAAGAGCGTACCTCGGCGGCAAAGATCAACATCAACCGAATCCAGATGAGTCCACCTAAACCCTAACAAGACATCATCGTGGTACAAGAGGATGCAGAAGTGATCAGCGGGAGATTCTGATTTAAAGATGAAGTCGACCATTGTTTCTGAGCTAATACCTAGAATCCGAGTCGGTGTTAGATTACGGAGCTAATATTAAGAGATCCAACGGTGGTTAATGGTTCAAGTACAAGCAATCAACGGTGCCGATGAAAACACAACAAGATAAGGCGGTTAATATGTTCGCGCCTGATTAATCTGTTAAGATTCACCAAATCTCTACGTGTCTTATTATCTTATCTAAAAATTCTCTTAATATTTTAATTTTACCTTAGTTGGTTTACCTTCTTTTTTTTTCTAAATAATTTCTAGAAACATGTGTGCTAAGTTGTTTTCTAAATAATTTCTAGATCTGAAAAGTTCATTCAAAAACAGGAAGAAAAATTTAGGTTCGATATCAAGAGTTGTTATCCCAAATTCCCAGTTAAAACTCGGCCAAAGGAAGTGGTGGTTAGACATGTCTTGCCTCTTGCGTTCATATACATATCTAATTTCTTTAAATAGAAGTAAATATTCTTTAATTATCTTCATACACTGTTCTTCATTAATTATGTACACACTGGACTCAAATCTTTGGTCAAGTTCATTAAAACAACATTGTTCTAAATTCTAACCAATTCAATCAGTCAACCGTACTTGGGTTATGAAAACATATATTTATTTTTGTACTACATGCTGATTTTTTTAGGTAAAATGAACAAACAAATTAATGAAAATTTAAAAGGGTTTACTCATCTACAAACTAAACCCTCTAAACTGATTAAGGGTGTACAATTGTAAACCCATTCGTATACTTCCAACCATACTACAAAAAGAAACAGACTAACAAATACGACCTTAAGGAAGATTCTTAACTAATCTTCATTATTATCTACAAATCAAACTTTTCCCTTAATCTGATTAATCCTTGTGCTTCTCCCTCACATTTGTTCTTCTTTGACTGACACAACGAAGATATAGCTTTTGCAGACACGACCCTTCTCACCAGTAGCTTCCACTTGGTGTCTTCACCCATCTTCTTGTCTTTTTCTCCCCTTATCTTATATTGCCTGCCCCAAAAAAGTTGACAAAGACGCATGAGATTCAAAATATCTACAAAATTCAAAAAGTGTCAAAGATTTGCAGCCGTCGAACTACGACCAATCATCAATTCTCATATCAATTTGCAGCCCTTTTTAAAGGTGTGGGTCACTAAAAATTGTTGTCACCATATACTAAACCAACCATCAAAATGTTGGTTTATATTCTTAACGTATGACCCAATTATAAACTCAAAGCTAATTGTTTATTTGTTTTTTCAAATGTGGGATTCCTAATAATAAACTACTAGTAGAGTACCCGCACGTTTGTGCGGTGTGACGTTGTTGTTTTGTGTAGAAAATTTAAACCCTAAATCCGAACCCGACAAAAAACCCTAATCAAAAAAAACGGAAATAAAAAAATCCCGAAAACCCTGACTGAACAAAAAAAATCTGGAAACTTTTTCACCCGGAACCCGACCCCAATACCTAATCAAAATTTTAAAATACTCAATTTTTTTAATATATCTAAACCCGAAAACCAGAAATCTAAAAAATCCGGAAAACCCTAAACTGAAAAAAAAAATTGAACCTAACCCGAACAGAAATTTTCAAAGAAACCCGAACAATTTCTATATCTCTATAAAATTATGTCTCAGATTTTCACCCAAACCCGAACTTGTCTATAAAAACCCGAAAATCCAAAAAGCATATTCTATTGATTTGGAATTATCGTTAGATTATGTTAAGTTTTCTTTTTTGCAGATTTTTAAGAGATGGAAAACGGAAGTTTTCTAAACCATCGGTTTATTTTAAGTTATTATTCTTGTATCCAAACAATTTTTTCCATTTATTCTTCTATCCAAATAGATTTTTCTCTTATTCTTATATCCAAACAACTTTTGTTTCCATTTATTCTTCTATCCAAATAGATGTTTCTCTAATTCTTGTATCCAAACATTAGAATGTACTTCTCAATTAATAATATAAAGATAGTAAAGAAAACGTTCTTTGAGTCGTACCTGCAAAGAGGGACGCAACAAGATTCGGGTTGATCACAGATCGAAGAATGAAGTCTAAGGAGCTGAAGCATCCGCTTGCAACGAAGACAACCTTTCTCGTTACTCCTCCTCTTGCATACAGCAAAGTGACGTATCAAAAGCTGGAGGCCATAACACGTGGAAAACGCCTTACATGGCATTGACTTTTCCACAGCCGTTGACTTTTCCACAGCCGTTGACTTCTTGTTGTCTACTACGTTTGATGGACCGACCAATGTACAACCTTGGGTGCATATGTGCTCTATACACTCCATTGCTTCGCTTAGTTGCATGTATAGATTCTGCTCCTTTCTATGTCTCCGTCTTCTTTTCTTCCTCTGCATTAAATTTAGCATCCAACATCCAATCAGAAAACTACCAAATATTTTGGGAACCGGAAATAATTAATTATCCGAATTTTGGCAGCATACCAAACCGACAAAAAATAAAAGTACAATTTTAATTAGTTGCTTTTATAGGTGTAGTTTTTTTTCTATCTAAAATCAAACCAAATCTAAACCAAACTAAAACAGAAAAAATAAAATTATTTTAACAAACTAAAACAGAGAATGTGTTTTTCTTTATCAAAATAAAAGAATTACCGATTCGGCGTCGTCGATGAACTGGAGAATGTCAAGCTCGAGGAAAGGATCATGTTCTTGAAGAAACTTCCATCCTTCGGTCTGCTCAACGGTCTTAAACTTCGACTGGATAAGACGCATAGATCTGAGGCAAACATCGGGTGCATCGCAGAGCCGACCAAGCTGGAGAACGTCAACTACGTTCTCCACCGTTAAACGCTGCACGACGCCTTTTGAGCACCGTTGCTTCAGATCCGTAACCATGTATACATGCGACAAAGCCAGAAGATGGATCCCGTATAGCTCCATATCATCCTCCGTCAAACTGCGCGTGGAGAAAAAAAAAGAGATAAAGAAAAGTGTATTTTAGTCGTTTTCTTGACAGCTGTTTTTGTCTTCCCAAGAAAATTAGCAAATGACCCAAAGAAACACGGTTTAAGATTTATTTTAAACAACTTAACACTCTGATTTAATTAGTCGTTAATTATTTCCAATATGTGTGAAAAATCTTTCACATTCTACTACCTTCTTGTTCATCATCAAATGAAAATATTAACGATTTTTTTTAACCAACCTAGAAGAGTAGAGGAAGCTGATAAAGACGGAAACGGCGTCGCATGGAACACCTGAAATCTTGATGACTCTTTTAGATCCACCACAGCCTCTGTACCGTCTTACCGGTTTCTTCATGATGTTCATCAATACCGGTGAAGCCGAAGCCTGCATTCCGACGTGTATTTAGCAAAACCAAACCGGAAAAAAATTAAACCGAAAACTAAAGTCGTTAAAAATATCTTACCAGAACGCCGGAGTGTGCCGGAATCCGACGGTTACCGGAGGTAACGACCTCAACGTCTGACGCCGTTAGATCATAAGAACCTTTATCGGTGATTAACGAATAACCGTCATCTTCTTTTGTGGCGGTTATGGGGTTAAGTAGAGCTTCCATTGCAAAATGAATAAGAAGAGATTTGTGAGAGGAAGAGAGAGAGATAATGTTGAAGAAGAAGCTTTGGTGCATTTGTGGCTATATAGAACTTACCAAGGTGGGTCCCAGACTCCAAATATTTGGGTGCTTATGTGGCATTTTCACAAATATCTTTTTCCATCTGTCTCCAATCTTATCTCACACGCTCATCGGTGCTGGCGTGTGATCTGTGTTTTTTTTCCCCCTAGATTTTGGTCTTTTTTTAACATCTACCCAAAAAATTTGCAATCTGTTTTGTGACGGAAATAGCAATTTTGGACAAAAATCCGAAAGTGGATTAATCTTTAACATTGATTTATAACGAACGGAGAAATCATACACTACAATTTATCTTCTCCAACATAGGAAAATCATAGTAGAATGAAAGTTCCCAATAAAGTATCAAACTAGCAACATATATCCAAAACTGTTATAATATATTGAGCCTCACAACTAAGAATTTATAGTTAAATTTTCTCGAGTTAATTTCACATTTTCTCTTTAGTATCTGAAAAATAGCTTATGCTCTAGCCTCTAGGCCACTTCATCATTTTCACCGATTTTCGTTAATCACCGATAAAGTTTTATTGCTATGTTCGCCCCAACGTCCGACGCCACTAGGTCAAGTGTGTATATTGCCGACTTGGAGTAACATAAGAATCTTATTACTTTCCATGAAAAGGTGACTATTATAAGGATGCTTTTGTTCGTGATCCCAGAAAACAACACTACTTTTTTGTTCCATGTAGGCAGGTTATATGTTTTCTTATCAATCCTATGTGGAAAGTGTAATAACCGGACCAAAATTTGGCTTTGTACGTCAAAGGGCTATGTTTATTCAAATCTAAAAAGGCCGGTTATTGCAACAAATCCGACCTTTGCCTCTTCCCAAGAGCCAACTTCCTCATCCGACTTGGCATTTTGCTCTTATCAACTCTTTCAAGTTACAAGCACTCTTGTGATCCTCTCTTGTTTATCCATTGTGTGACACAATCTGTGTCAACGGTTTTTTTTGTTGTTGTTGATAATATCTACGAATTTATGTTCGGCTAGAAAAATAGTTCAGCATTACAAAGGAAAACACGATATTTAATTCGAAAGTTCATATCCCTTTTAGTTTTACCATTATATATTTCTGAGTCTCTTTAAGACTTTCACCTCCTATTGTCCTATCGATCAATTTCTTTATAATCTGGACTAATCCAAACTTTTTAACAAATGTGTTATGCTGAATTTTTTGAGTAAAAGTTCGCCGCATATATATATATGTTATTGCCACGTTTACTTATTGTATGCTTCTTCTAATGATTATCCTCACGGTATGGTGTAGATCATATCCACACATGCCACGTGGAAAATGTAAGGAATTTTAGAGTTGGTTTGGTTGGAGTTAACGTTTTGGTCTCACGTCTAAGCTATACTCCACTTAATTTAAAACCATTATATTTCTACCTACTTTGTTTTCTTAATCTAACGTTTCTGATCCATACTTAATTTAAAATATTTTCCACCTCTCTTTCTCTTGCATTTTTCGACTTTGGATAATTAAAAGTTTTAAACTTCACAAACCTCATTTAAAGAATAGGGGGAATGAGCTGTAACACTGGATGTAGAATAATGTGTTTAACTGACTTTGAAGACATGTACAGTAGAACTTCTATAAAACAATACTCGATAAAACAATAAACACTATAAGATAATAATTTTGTCCGGTCCTAACTCGGGCCAATGTAAAAAATAGCATAATGCGATAAGATGATAAGATAATAATATTTTTGAATCCCAACAATAGGCTAAGATAATAATTATAAAACTAAGATATATATATCTAAGGCAATTTAGTAAAATATGACTCCAATGTAGTTTGTCTTTTATGAAAGTTGGATTCTCGTTGGAGCTCATCTCGAATTTTTCTTATTGCATCAACAATTTATGGGGCCAAAAGTTGTGAAGAGTTTTCGAAGCCACAATTGATTCTTTACATGTACCTACTTACATATATTTCTATAATTTTTTTTGTTTTTTATAGAATATTTTTATAAAATAATTATTATTATTTTATCGATAAAACAATAACTCGATAAGATAATAAATTTTCAAAGTCCCAACATTATTGTTTTATAGAGGTTTTACTGTACTTGTTAAAGCCAAATTGGAAAAACTTATTAAATTGAAAAGAAAAACTAGAGAAAGAGAATAACGTGAGAGTGTTTCACGTCATCCGGATCGCCGTTGTTGGACTCTTCGTCTACACCGATCATCATGCGGAAGCTTTAGTTTTGGTCACCAAGAACCGAAGGCTCTGATACCATGACAAATATTATAGAAGGAATATATTATTGAATTGTGTTATTGATACAAGAGAATAAGACCCATATATATAGGGTTAACATTAACATAATGATAACACCAAATAATGTAAATCTTCCTAATCCTTATCACAATAGGATTTCTCTAGAATATTCTTCCATGTGGCTTCACGGGCTTCACTTCATAAACGGGCTTCAATGGCCCACAATACTTGGTTCGCCTTGCTCACCAAGATATCTCCAATACTCCCCCGCACGACAAAGGTGGACGCGAAACGCAAAATCTGCAGTCACAATGCGGAACACCTATGTCGTGGACAATCATGTCGAGGATGGCAATACAAGTCAATAGGGATGGAACATGCTCGTCTTTGGTCTTGAAAGAAAGGGAATAATAACATCCCGTGGAAGCAAAATCCTGCAATTCCACAAATAATCGTCCTTGTCGCGGACAGCCCATAAATTGGACTAAGAATAAATGACCTAAAAACATGAGCGCTCCAATAAAAATCCCTAAACCCATAACCAAACTCCCCCGTAATAGGAGAAACTAAAAACCTTTGAGAAATTCTAAACTTAAGAATCAATCTCATAAAAAAAGTATAATTTGTGAAAACCCAGCCCTAAAAAAAATCGCCTTTAAGAAATCCTTCCGATAAATCATTATCCCTTCAATAAGTACACCCAAACTAATATGATAAGTAAAAACCTGAATTTGAAAAACCAGAATGGTCCTAAATAAAACGAAATAATTAACTTAAAAATTCATAACATGTACGCGTAGACAAGTTTCCACACGGGAATAGAGTTTGATGTTTGACGATTTCATTTAAGATCCTCTATAACATCTCTATTACTACATGGGATTAGATAAAGAACGTAACCTTTTATTCTGTCTTCAAAATGTATGCATGTATAGTTTAATCCGTAGAGAAATTTGACAATTGTATGTTATCGGCGTGATTTTATCTTTTGGCAAATAATAATTATTTTTACCTTTTTGTCAACTGATATATATATATATATATTCAATGTTTGATAAGAGGTATATTTTGGATGACCACTAATATTGTCTTTGGTTTTATGATTATAATTTTATAACCAGAACTTAAGGGCAAGGGGAATCTCCAATATCGTGTAAATTCAAATAGTCAAAGTCAGTTTTGCAAATGATTAATGTGATGCATTCCCGTAGTCAATTTAGACAAAAATCATTTGACCAAAAAAGAAAAGAATAGACCAAATTATGATATATCATACAAAAACCGTAGTGAAAAAATGTTTCAAAATAAGTATCATTCTCTAGTTTGATATTACATCTTAAGAAAATGTTAAATTGTTAATCAAAACACTTTTCCCATGCTTAGTACACATCCAAATGTCTAGCAACATATATATATATATATATTTATATAAACTGTGTTGTATAAACTTTTTCCTTCGATTATCACTTATCTGTTACATAGTTGAATTTTGTTTTTTTTTTTCTAAAGAAACATATCGATGTCCTTGGTCGGAGATGTTAATTGCCCAACGTATATTACTAAAAGAAAATTTATTTAGTGGTTGTTGCTTATTTAATGGCCGACCTCATTATAATAACGCACCTTTGTGTTGGTCCCGAAAATCGTGAAGCATCCAGCTTAGTGATGATCTCTGCATGATATGCGGGGGGACCAAAAGGTCTCCTTTGGATCTCACTCACTTTGATGAAATATAAATTTGTATCATGTTCTTTACTTTATCCTGCTAATCGTTTTTTTCTATCTATAATGCAAATTTCATTTTCCCGGGATCCGATCTAGCTAAACTAAATTATTCACAAGTTGAGATTAAAAAAAACAAAAGGTGTTTCTTGGAGATTTTACCTAATAATATTGTAATTAGATCAATCGATTGCTTTCATCAGGGTGTTCCCGTACAAAACCCAGGAAATTATACACACAAGTTTAAGTTATTACTATTTGCTTGCTGGTTATTGATTATTTGTGTCCACGCTATCGGTAGTAACAAAAATTATATCGATAGTATTTTATCTTCACTTAACATCGTACTTAGCGACCTAACCTTATATGATCACAATCAGTGGATTATGAATCTATGATGTAATGAAAGTATTTAGCTGGTATTTTGTGACGTTCTTGAGTCCTGATCAATTTGCTAAGGCTACGTATATGCCTGCATGGCAACATTTGTAGCAAAAATAAACAGTGTATTCATTAAGAAAAATAAAATTTCCAACATTGAAAAAAATTATTCGTGCTCTCATCAGACCAATGCGATTCTTAAACGTAACAGAAAAGTTTGAAATGGAACAAATTTTTAGGGGCAATCAATTCATTTAAACATCTATTCTTTTTGAGGAGCCCAGTTTGATGAGGAAAGACAATTTTAATATTTATGATCATCTTTTATATTGTTTTTCTCCGAAATATCTAGATTCTTAGGTTTCAAAATATGTATAGACCAGTTGTCTAGTAGATACGCATACGCATTATTATTATATATTTTAGAATGGTCGCATTGTCGAGTATTCGAAATTGAGTCTTGCACTCTTCTTAAAGCATGCCAAATCCTATCTGGTTGGCCGTTGACTTTTACTTCCCTTAGTCTTCGGAGCCAGTGACGCTCAAACACGACATCGTAGCCAAACTCGTTTATCTGATGCATTTTTTAGTTTTAAACTTTTAACTGTATATAATATTCTAACACTAGCTAGATTTTATCGGCTAATGAGATAACTTTTATTTTGATATGAAAAAAGGAAGTTCAAAGTTTTTCAGGAAGTTCGAAGACAAAATTATCACGTATCGTTAATATTTCCCACATATATATGAAAAAAAACTCGGTTGAATCGATATCTTTGAAAAATCTCAATCTCCCATACATAAACAAAACAAGAAATAAAATAAAAAGAAAACAAAACGAAAATAGTTGATTATTAGCAACAAGGAAAAAAGATGTATTCCTAACATCTTTAGTGTGTATAAACAAGCATGATAGTTACGGAAACTAGGTTACCACTCATCTTTTACCGGTAAAAAAAACGAATTACCATTGAGATCAAACGAATTCTCTATCAAAATAGACTATGCTGATTTTATAAATATGGATTTAACTTGACAGTTACCACTACACTAAAACATGAAAAATGTCATGTTGTAATGTCCATTATCATTCTTCATTAATGAAAACCAAATTGTTTTAGATGTTACAACCACATTTGTTGGAAAAATAAAAATACAAATAAGGATAAGACCATGGGCTTTCTCAGATTCGATCCGGCCCATATAGATTACAAATGGTCGTCAGTCGTCACATTGTCAAATAAGTCAGTCTCTCACGGCACAAGCAGAGTAATCGAAACCGATTCTGGCTGTTGGATCCGATGGCTCCTTCGAGCGACACAGCGACCCTACGAGTCCTCTGCCCAAAGCTGGTTCTCTCTGGGAACCAACAGCCAGGAACTCTCCAATGGCTCATTGGCTCCCCATTTTTCCCGCCTTTCACCGTCGTCTCCACCTTCCGATGTATTCATCAGTCTCCTGATTTCCAGCTAGAATCTGGTAAGGAGAAGCCGTTTTGCCACATTGGTTTTGGGATTAGCTCATATGGATTAATAGAATCAGATATTCAATTGCATGGTCTCGAAAGATGATTACTCTGTGATGGATCAAATGCTTTGATTGGTGTTGTCATAGAGTGAGTAATTTAGAACTCGAGTAGCCAAATTTCCAGTTTTTGTTTTGATCGTAGTCATATAAGTCAAATCTTCAAACTTGTCCTTAACAATCCTTATTTTGGCCATTTGATTGTTCATAAAAAGTATATATATATATATATATATATTTTTTTTTTTTTGTGTGGTTTTGCATGAGTTGATACACAGGTTTTTTAATAATCTTTGTTGAATCTTTCTATAGCATGAAGTTGAATATTAATGATCTTGTGATAAACCAAGCAGATGATCTTCGGAAGTTGTTACCGAAAGGTTTTGAAGTCATTGGAGGTCTGATAGTTGCGGAGGATTCTGATGCTGAGAGTAACGCGCTTGAGGCCGTCAAAGCAGCTCGCAGACTGCGAAAGCATATATCTGAAGGTGGAGAGTTAGATAACGAGAAGATCGTTGGGGCTAGTTTCGATGCAGGAACCGGTACCACCCACTTCTTCATCTCTAAAACAGAGAAATCAACAAAACTAGAGCCTGTTGCTTCCGTTGTGTATGAGGATAAGTCTGGAAAGTATTTATGGGAGAATGGTTGCTTGCTTCACTGTGAGCTTCCTATCAAGTTGCCGTTCTATTTCCCCGCAAGCTCGCCTTCGGGTATGATCTCAATGCTCTTTCTTCTTCTTTTTACTTCTGCTATTTGTATTGTGTTATGTTTTCTCATGTTTAGTGATCTTTTTTTTTTTCCAGATTCGAAGGAGATGTTTTCAAATGCAATTGATGGAGTTATTGCTCAGTTTAAAGAACCAAATGCTGTATACATAGCTGAGACATTGAAGAAAGCTTCTGGAGATGTTTCAAAGCCAGTCGTCCTCCGCGGTAAAGATTTCGGTTTTGGTGCTGATGCGTCAAACATTAACCGTCTTGCTGCTGCTGACCATGTATCCGACGTTAAGATGTTATCTTGTTCACATCTGTGTCTAGACAGTAAAACCACTGCAGTAGTAAATTCAGCAGAGGTAAGTAAACAGAGAATTTTCTTACTTTGATATCACTGTTCTTGTTGCTACACCCTGGCCTTACCTTTTGTTTCTCTTCCCCTGAGAAATTTCTTCTTTTTAGAACGCAGATAAAATCCACGTATCTGTTCTCCTTAATAGATCTGAAAAATCTCCAACCTCTGGTGCCCCTGTTGCAGAATATTTTCCAGGTAAATCACTTGAAAATGTAGATTAAATCAAGCATTTTTTTAAACTTTAAGAATACGCTTGTGCCCTGTTCTCATATCTTAAGTTGTGACTTTTTCTCACAGCTATGGAAGAAGCAAGGCTCATTGTTGTTGATTTGAATCTTGATGTACTTACGTATGCACCCAAGGAACTTCCGCTTATGCATGCGGTCTCAAATTTAGTTATCCCTGCATTGGTTGATCAGCTATATTCCCTGAAGAAGATTATTTTACCACACCTCTTGATGGACCATCCTAAGGTACGGCAAAAATTTCCCACAATGAGATGAGATGTTTTTAGTTATCTTCTGAAATTTTATCCATCTTTGAATAATCTATGTTTTCTATGGCTGCTTTGCTCTTGCAGTTGCGTACATATCACTTCAATCCACCTGGAGTATTACATCCAGTAACGACTATATATGAGCTTAACTATGGGGAGACTGAAATGAAGCAAGGTAATTATTGTGATTATGTTAAAAAGACTGAGATGATTCATATTCCTTTTTTTCAGTAGAGTTTACAGTATCTGACGGAAAGCTTCAGAACTATCAGTTTAGCATTTTGCTATTTCATTGAACTAGCACCTTCACACAAATTTTGATCCTTTAATTCATTTACTGCAGTCTCATTCCTTTTGGAGAATTGTTTTCTGATATCTGATATTTGTGGCTTTTGCTCTTGACTTTCTTGGCAGTCGATGTTAGGAAGTCTCTACATATAAGGCTTGGTCTGCCACTTGATCGTCCGCTTCTAAGAACTGCTAATGCGTTGGATTTGTCTGTGAACGATGACTCAAAGAGTAACATAAAGAAAAGAGGTAGATAGATCTGCCTAGTTTCTTCTTTTTCTCTGTGTCTCAATATTTTCCATGGCTCTAATTGTTAAGTTACATGGGCACTGCCAGGTTCCGTCTTGCTTAAAGATGTGCATATTGGAATCCCTAGCAGCGGAGGTTAGCATTATCTATACCTTTGTTTTCTTCATTGATTCTTTGTTCAAGCTATTTGTTTTTACAAAATTTGCAATGTGTAATGCAGTCTCGGAAGGTGTGGCATCTCTTACCCAAGGTTCTTATGAGTACTATCATTATCTTCAGGATAGCTTCGATGACTCGGTATATCTTTTCTCATTCTTCCACGTTTTCTCATTCTTGCTGGGCTACAAGTTTTGCTATGCCATTGTAGAAAGTTAGTTTTGGTTTCTCTGACTTCTAAATTTCTAATAATAATGTTTGCTTGCTGAGCCAGGGATGGGGTTGTGCTTACCGATCATTGCAAACTATCATCTCGTGGTTCAGACTTCAACACTATACATCCATTGCTGTTCCTTCACATAGGTACAAAACAGTTTCTCGCAATAAAACTCAGGGCTCCTCTTCCATCTCTCGATTCGCTAAGTACCACTTTTTGGATCCTCAGGGAAATACAGCAGACACTTGTGGAAATAGGTGACAAGGATCCTTCATTTATAGGATCACGCGAGTGGATTGGTGCCATAGAGTTGAGTTTTGTGCTGGATAAACTTCTTGGTGTAAGTCTTCTACTCTAAACTTCCTCATTCAAATATGTTCTGACATCTGAATCATCTGCAGTAATACTCTGAATTATAGAACTTGAAATTATAGAGCTGTAATACTCTGAATCATTTAGATAACAATATGCCAGAAACCTGCATTGCAACATATTATCAACGAAAAAATAATCTCTTGAGGTCTTGTTTTTACAGGTAAGTTGCAAGATCATGAACTTCAGATCCGGATCAGAACTCCCAGAGAAATGCCGAGAGTTAGCTATGCACTTTGAGACCCAAGGAACTCCAATAATGATCGGTAAGTCAAGCCAAGTCACTCTGATACTTTAAACTTACACAAGAGCTTGTCCCTTAGAATCAAAACAATAGCACTGGTGCAAATAACCTTAGACAAGTCTTTTCTTAAAGAGCATAAGTGAAGCTTAACCCCTATATATATAGAAATGATCAATCAACTAGTTTTTGAAGCTCTAAGAGGAATCTGTCAATCTGATAAAATCAAAACCAGTGAACTCAACATTGGCCTTGACATCACAAAGTGTCTTTGGAATGGTTTTTCTTCAGGAGGTGGAGTGCTTGCATACACACTGTTGGGAGTGGATTACGATGAAGGAAGCGGGGATTGCGCGTTCCTGATCCTGGATCCGCATTATACAGGAAGTGAGGATCACAAGAAGATCGTCAATGGTGGATGGTGTGGCTGGAAAAAAGCTGTTGATAGCAAAGGGAAGAGCTTTTTCTTGCACAATAAGTTTTACAATCTTCTTCTTCCTCAGCGTCCTAACATGGTTTGATTTTTCATATTTTTTTTTTACATACCAACAATTACTTTTTGTCTTATCACACAGTTTTGGTATTTTATAAAGGAGTGTGCTCTGGTCTCACTGATTGTGCAAAAAATGAAACTTTAGTTGGTTGTGCTTTTGTAGACCATCACATTTTATTTTACATGTCTGACACATTTGTATTTTAATATTGTGAACTTTTAAAGTATTTAGTTTCAGTTGTTTTGTGGTTTCGTGTAGTGTACGTAGAGAAATTAACACACACACACACACAAAATAATCAGTTATTCGGTTGAATTGATGTGCCTACGCTCTGTTCTCGGTGTACTTAAAAGCTGTTGTATGAGTCATAATTTGACAATATTAAGTATGGAAAATATGTAAAATAATTTTGACTAGAAATTTATGAAACTGCTTATATCATGATGAGTTAGTAATTTGGACTATGTTGGATTTTAAATTGTGGCTGATTTTAGTCAAACACTGTTAAACTTTTATCAAATCTCAGCCAAAAAAGAAACCATAAACCATTTAATTTTTTTTGGAACATAGTTATAACGTAAAAGGAAAAAAAACTAAGGAAACATGTAAAATCAGCCAAATTGTTTTTTCTAAAAACACAAATTTCTATAAAGCTAACCCATTTCCAAATGTACATTAAATTACATTTTAAAAATAAATATATTTGGAGCCACATGATTATCTGAACAGAAGGGAAACGCAAACTCTTTCCCTCCTTTTCTTCCTCGTTTCTCTCCCTCTCTCTTTCCGTTTCTTCAATGGCGGTGACTCACGGAGGCGGCGCTATTGATCAGGAACCTCCGGATCGTTCACTGGTTCAAGTTTCTGTGAGTGTCTTTACCTTTACCTCGCGAATTTTCCAGTTTCTCTGATGAGATTTACGATACATTGCGAAATCTGTATGATAAATTGGTGCTGTGATCTTCTTCCGGTGATTTAATCCTTTGATCGACCTCTATGATTGGACCCTTAGGCTTCTTAGTATTGGGAATTAGTTGCGGAGATAGGGCTTTTTTGTTCGGTGAATCACACTCTCTGAGAGAATTCGAGTTGAGACTTAGATGTTTAGTACCTTGATTTCTAATCGATTGTTTGAATAGAGTCAGCGAATTGAGATTACGATGCTAATTGTGAGTTTCTTTCGTAAATTTCTCTGTGATTCTGAAATTCTGATGTGTTCATCAGCATTTCCAGCCTCGTGAACTGAATACAATAAGATCCGATAAACCTGGAACGCATCAAGCATCTCGATTCAATGCAGGTGATTGAGTTTTATCCTGGGATTTTTTTCTTCTCTGTAATCAGTTTTGTTGATTGGTTTTACAAAGCATTATACTGATGAGGAATAGGAATGTTTGTGTTGCCCAGATGATAGATAGATACTTCACTAATGCCATTAAAAATTTACAATGATCTCATCTGGTTTCAGGTGGTAAGGCAAAGAAAGTGATTGACTTGAACAAACAAGCAGAGGAGGATGGTAATCTTGATCTGAATGTGGCAGCTGATACATTAGGGGTGACGTATTCGATGCAAAAGGTGGACAAGGGCATATCTCAATGGAAGTAAGCAGATTATCTTACTATCACAATTTGGATTCTTCGTGTTACCACTTACCATGCCCTGAGTATCATTTTATTTCTGTGTGTTCTAGTTCTATGGGACTCGATTATTTGAGATCAAAGGAAACCTATGAACGCCTTAAGGTGGCACATGACTCTATCCTCTCCATTCCATAGTTGCATTTACATTTCCCTGTTTGACAATACTTTTTCCTTCTTATAGGAACAGATACAAAACTCAGATGAGCAAAACAGGTGCTCTCATGGATCATTTTTCATTTCAGTGTCCTTCTCTCGTGTATATGTAACCTGCTGATGGAAAAAGCTTGCTTGAGGATGAAAACTAATCAAATCCAAGCTTTATTGGTTCTTTTTGTTTCTCTAATGATTAACACATCTGTTTATTCTTACTCTCGGCAATTCAGGTTTCCCTATCTCACCAAAGAAGACACCACGAGCCTGCCTGGCTTCCAGGTTTGTAATCTCCTTCAAGTAACTCTTTTGACTACATTCTCATCAGAAACAATAATAAAATTCATTGGATCCTATCTCTTATTCTTCTTATGTTAGAATTCGGAATTGATAGCCGTCTGCCGTTCTGCTGCTGCCATTCTCGGAAACAAAATGTGTAAAATTGACCATAATCTAGTGAGGTAGGTACCTTACCCTCAGTTTGTTATATTGATTTCTTATCCTAGAAAATGCAAATCTCATTGACCCTGTTTTTTTGTGTATTCTAGTCAACCGATTTCTGATGCACATTCAAATGTTCCATCGGCTTCTGCTATCTCTGAGGACCAAGAAAAACCAGATCAGGAACTATATCCCAACAATGAAGGTCATGGCTTAGATGATGGTTTTGCAAAGTTTGCTTCCCCGGAGTACTACGATGTAAGTCCCAAGATTACTCTGATGACATTTAGTTGGTTTCCACCAAATCTGTGTTACTAAACTGCATAATGTCACAGGTTGATCTAGAGTGGACGCGGTTAGGTGGAGATCGATTAACTTTTACAGAGATGTTGTGCAATGAAGGTATCCTATAACTCGCCCACCATTTTTGAACACTTGATGCATTTATTGACAATACGTCCTTCACTTTATATCGTTAGATGAACCCTGACGTGATCTTGATCAAGATGGCACAAGTGTGCAGCCGCAACAACAACAACAAACTCCAGACCCATAGCTGAAGAGACTTGCTACAGAGATAAGGAAGGAGGAGGATTTGCTAGTTATACACAGCCCTTCTCTTACTGATCACATTGGACCAAAACTGTGAGGTATCATTCATTTTGGTTTCTCTCGTCGAGTATAGATAGATGCCTCCAATGCTGTAGTGTATACAATGTACATGCATCAGATGAAAATTAGTGGAATCGAAAAACTCTCTCTTCTTGAATCTTTTTCAGCCATTTGGAAAAAAAATATAGAAGAATACAACAGTTTCTTCTTGACTTGTTCATGCTTCAGTACCATCTTAGCTTTTATGACCTAACAATAGACATGTTTTCAGATAATAACTTTCGAGCTCACTGTAGTTGATTAGACTGAAACACAGTGCTTTGGTTATAACTTATAACTCATAAGTAATTTATCTTCACAAAATTGAAAATTATGTTCTTTATATCAGACATTGCAAACAGATAATTTATGTCCGAGAATTTCAACGAAAATAGTACAGTACAAGCAGATAATATCTATCCTTAGGAACTAGAAAACCACATTGACTCAAACAGAGGCTTCTCTACTCTTTACTTACTCGACCTCTTCTTCCCCACCCAAAAGTGACTTGATCATCTTGTCAGTCATACCGTCCTCAAGAGGTAACAAATGTCCTGATCCAGAGATTTCATGGTAACGAACCCATGGAAGCTTTGACACGATATAACGCTGAAGCTTCACCGGCACAAACTTATCCTCGTCGCCCATCCATAGGTGAACCGAGCCATTGTTGTTCGGGAACGGATCTTGAAGGTCTGACGGATCGAATTCCCAGCTTGAAAATCCAACATTCAAATCTCGGTGTAGGCTTTCATATTCACCTTGTTGTCTTGTGTATGCCTGACAAAAAACGAAGACCATCACTTTGTCAAAAAGTGTTGCAGGAAGTAAGAAACAAATAGAAGAGAAGAACATCGATAGATGTGTTTGTACCCGATTTGGTCTGGTGAATCCGAGCTTAGACAAGACCTCCATGTCCCGCCGGGAGAAAATAATGGGGTTACCGGCGATCACATTGGAGAATGGGAACCATTTCTGAGTGTTCCACCAAAATGTAAGCCAAGGAGCATAGTGAGCTACTCGAAGAGCCCACTGATCAGCTGGATACATTCGTGAAAAAGCTTCCCTTGTTATCTCCCCCGGTAATTTTCTCCACCAGTAGTTAATCGCAGGTGATACAAGCACAGCTCCTGCTAACCTGTTAGAAAAGAAGTCCATAACCATAACCCAAAAACCGCTAACACATAATCAGAAACAAGACCAGAGACTCAACAGCAGTACCTGTGAGGAATGTACTTAAGGCATGCCCATGTGATTTCACCACCCATGGAGTGACCAAAGACATAGAACTTAGGTCCTAATCCTAACCCATCAGCCAGCTCTTCTATATCCAATGCTATGCTTCTCGGTGACCGATTCGTGTCAGGGTCACTCTCACCATAACCAGGACGGTCTAAAGACACAGTGTATATCCTCAATTCCTCCACAAGATCCTAAATTATGCACAAAGATCATTTAGCTTCACTAAAGACAGAAACTTTGAATGTTGTTCTTTTAAATTTTTCAAAAAAGGTTTCACATTTTACATTTTAACCATGATTGAACCAATGGGGGTGGTCAGGGAAAACTTACCGCTGATAAGAAATGAGTGAAGGGTGAATCGTGCATACAAGAATCGAAGCCGTGGATGTATATGATCTTGAACTCGGCTTCGTCTCTAGGAATTCCGGATTCCTTGTAAGCCAAATGTCTTCCGTCTCTCAGTTTGATTCTCGGCGATGTCACGGCGGCTCCACCGGGAGAGCCGACGATTTTCGGCGGTGGTGGTTGGATTGACTGATAAACCCATGCTAAAGCTCCGACGAACGATACCAGGAGAATCGTTTTCAAGAAACCTGCATTATCAAAGAAGCAAGCAAGTTTCTAAATTCATTTCCAGATTCCTCAATTTGGGAGTTTTTCTAAAGGCTTTACTGCTTGAGAGTGTAATAAAAGATTACTGGAGAAAAACAAAATCAGAACATGTGATTGAAAAGACAAAAGGGGATAGTTCATAATTATTTCTGTGAAGAGTGCATTTTCTCGTTTTAACCAAATATATATTTTTTAATTCGAAATGGATTGAGCACAACACAGGCTCTCTATTCTCTGGTAAAATCAATACTGAAAACTTATTGTTATAATAAACAATTGTAAGTTTGTAACCAAATGTTTTTTAAGAAGATAAGATAAGAATGGCCGGAGAAATTATGAGGAGAAGAAGATAAATATCTCCTTCAAACAAGAACTTAAGAAAGATGAAAATCTGTTTCTTATTACCAGAAGGAGGTCTTTCTTGATGATTTCTGGTGTGAGATCGTGCAGAAGCTGCAGATTTCTTGTTCTTCTCTGTTCCTCCTCCAGACATTTTCTCTCTCTCCCCCCTCTCTGGCTCACTCTTGCTCCTGGAAAATAACTAGAGAAAAGTTTGGTGAGGAGCTTGACTTCTTAATGGTTTTTTGTCCTCATATGTAAATGAACCAATAGTATTAAATTGGATTTTAGTTTGTTTTCGTTTTAAATATGGAAAAATTTATCAGTAGCTGCAGAAAAGTAAAGATACGTGGACGCGTACGTGACTTTCCAGTTTTTATGATTGTACATGTAACCAATGGCAATTACGTTAGGAACTGGAACTCACTAACTTACTTCATGAATGTACATGTAAACACCAAAAAGACTTAAATGACATTTGCAAAGTTCTCAAATTTGGTTCTGAAACTTGTTCCCTCGTTACGCAAATTGGTACTAGTAGTACCATTGGATTACTTGCGGTTGTTCTTAGCTAAATTTGGGTATATAATTAAGTTCTTGTAAACATTCTCTCTTATGAGATGTTTAAAATGAACTTATTAATTATTGAGTAAGAGTGAATTTGGTGGTTAACATATTTTTGACCTTTAATTAGGTGAACAACAAGTTCAAAAAAGGCTATTAGCAATTGATATAAGGGTACCCAAAAAAATCACATCAAAACATGTTGAAGAGAAAAATTTGGGGATGTATTTCTCTCCCTTATCATTTTTTTTTTTATTGTCCATTTCTGGTTTTCTTCTTTTCAACTCTCTTCCTCATATTTTTTTTTCTCACCACAAATCCACATATTCAAATCAGAAATATCACCTATTTAAATCCATATTATGGTAATTCCGAATTGTATCAACATAGTTGAACAACAATACTATATACAATTATATATATATGTATAGCTTAATATAATTGTATATAACTATATACATACATATATAAATGTTTTTTATTCTATATAAACATATATTTATTTATATGGGTATCTATATATCTATCTAGCGTATTAGTAATATACATACTTGTTTATTATTGACTGAAAAAAATATATAGTAACATATTCATATTTCAAATTGAGTATGAAACAAAGCAATTTATAGATAATCAATATCAGTTTTGTTATTAGTAAAAATAGCATGCTATATATTCTAATTTATCAAAATATGTAATTATAACATTGTTAGTCACCTTTTTAGCAGAACAAAAAATGCAATAAAGAAGTATACTTATTTGTAAAGCGCTAAATCAGTAAATAATAGAGGAAAAAATAGAACAAAAAAAAATCTTTCACCTAATTTATTCGGATTTTTATCCCAAAAAAAAGAGAAATTGCAAAACTATATATTGAAATCAAGATCTTAAATGTCATGGAGATTTTGCTGTATTTTTTGGATTATTAAATTCTACAACTGATTGTATCATTTGATAAGGATACATGGTTCTTCCTACTATAATGTTTACCTATTTCATTCGGATTTTTATCTCAAACTAGAGAGAAGAGCAGAAAAATGTAAAAAACATACATGCATATAAAACTGGATCTGAGAGTTAAAAGAAAAAAATGGATCTGAGAATTGAAGTATTACAGTTCCTGGAATTAAAAAACTAATTTAAATCGGGTTACTCATAAAATTTAAAGAAGCGATTAAAGATGAAAATCTGAGGAAAAGAAAAAAAAAGTTATGAATGAAAGAGAGAACAAAAAGAAGATGTATGAGTAAGAAGAAGAATGAAAGAAAAAATTCATCTGGAATGCTTGTATGCGCGTGAGGGCAAGATTGGTAGTTATGATGTCAAAATACGGGCATATATACGACCACGATACACACTTGTTAGATTCTTAATTACCCATAAAGTAATAGCTACTTGATGCAATTACTCTTAATTATTTTACTTTACTCTGCCTTGGATAGGGCTCGGATATCCGATTACGTACACAATTTGTATGACAGATATAGATTCTTCACTTGTCAAGCTTCCACATGAACCACGATGGATATAGGTTTGGCACGGTTTAACTTCTCTAGCACATGAACTGATGAACATACTGGTTCGGTTAGGCTGTTAGAGTTATGATTGTTACACATACCTAGCTACTCGAAGAAGAAGATGCATAATAAAAATCCAATCGTTTGTTTTTTTGCAGGATAATGCTAAGCGTTACGATATTGTCACAAATACCTAGCTACTCTAACTCTAGCTAATGTGCATCTTCTTCTTTTTACGTTTGCTGGTTTGAAAACTTTTGAATGGAGAATTCATAATTGCAAAAGGTGAACTCAGACTCACAAAAGAAAAAGCAGCCCAATTGACCACAGTTTTGAGTTTTGTCAAACAAAACCAAAAGAAAGTCAACTGAAATAAATCAGAAAATGTACACGTCACAGAAATGATCCGACCCGGTTTCTGAACCGGGTGGTTCATTGATTTTGTGGTCGTTAACGTGAGACCGGATAAGTTTTGAAGAAATCCCCGACCGTTATTTAATTATCCCGCAGAGATATTGAAAGAGAGAGAATCAAACAATGGCGACTGTGAAATTCTCTCTTTCTCTAGCTTCAAAATCACCACCTCCGACGTCTCTCATCCCAAATGCGGCGCGTGCGTCTAACGCGACACCTTCGTCGCGATTCATGGGCAAGTGCCTGAGAGCAAAACCGATGATGATACACAGAGCATCTCACTCCGGGGGAGGAATCACTTGCTCTGCTGCTTCATCTTCTCCAGCGACTCTTCCCTCTGCTCTCCTCTTCGATTGCGATGGCGTGCTTGTTGATACCGAGAAAGACGGTCACAGGATCTCTTTCAACGACACTTTCAAAGAGGTTCATTTCTCAAGTCTTACATAATTCTTCGCTCTGGAAATGACTGTGAGTTTCGATGATCGATGGAATAAAAATTTCGCAGAGAGAATTGGGTGTTAACTGGGATGTGGATTTGTACGGCGAGCTACTGAAAATCGGTGGTGGAAAAGAAAGGTATAGACTTTAACAAACAATTGCATTTTACAATACCAAAATTTGAATTTGATCAAGTTTCGATTATCTTTCGATAGTAGAGCTGAAATTGCCTTGTGCGATCTTTTTGTGATTGAGGAATGGGTTGTTTTTTGAAGGATGACGGCGTATTTTAACAAGGTTGGTTGGCCAGAGAAAGCTCCAAAGGATGAAGAAGAGAGGAAAGTGTTCATAGCTGGGCTTCACAAGCAAAAGACTGAGCTTTTCATGGTTCTCATCGAGAAAAAGCTGCTTCCTCTTCGTCCCGGTGTTGCAAAGTATGGTTATACTTCCAATGTCCAATTCTATAACTCTTGATACTACTATCCCTTCATATATTTTTGATGATGAACTCTCATGAGGCTATGAATTAATGTTGTGGTTTCTTGTAGAATCTTATTGAAACATCAGCTATTTTGGTTTAACCAAGCCTTCTTTGTTGAAACTTTTCAGGTTGGTTGATCAAGCTTTAACGAATGGAGTTAAAGTCGCAGTGTGTAGCACTTCGAATGAAAAGGCGGTATGATCATTCAGGTTCTACTACTTCAGTTTCCATGGCCATAATAATATATATAAATCAGTATTCCTGAAGAGTTATTCGCAAGAATGTACTCAGATATGCCTCTAGCTTCCAAGAAATGTATATAATAACCTTATGAGTAGCATGAAAATGTGGATCAGCTTCTTTTCTTTCTCTTTCTGGTCTGATCTCAGGTTTCTGCTATAGTTTCATGCTTGCTTGGACCACAACGAGCTGAGAAGATCAAGATCTTCGCAGGAGACGTAGTTCCCAAAAAGAAACCTGATCCGGTGAGATTTACTAATCAACCTTCCACTTCTATTAACAACAAGTTTGCTTGCTTTATCTTCTGATCCGGTTAAAGTCTAACTTTTGTTTCGACAGGCTATATACAACTTAGCAGCTGAAACTCTTGGAGTTGATCCTTCAAAGTAAGTGTTGTTACTATGCTTTTTACAGGAGAATGGAGTCAGTTTTTAGAAACTCCCTAAAGATTTTGGCTGTGTGTTTATGCAGATGTGTTGTGGTTGAAGACAGTGCGATCGGACTAGCAGCTGCAAAAGCTGCAGGAATGACTTGTATAGTTACCAAGAGTGGGTGAGTTTTTAAGTACAGACACCCTCTTCTAATATCAGAATCTCATTCTTTATTCCATATCAATCAGAAAATGAAATGATGACTTCATCTTTGGATTTGCAGATACACAGCAGATGAAGACTTTGAGAACGCAGACGCTGTGTTCGACTGCATTGGAGACCCTCCAGAGGAGAGATTTGATTTAGCATTCTGTGCAAGTCTTCTCCAGAAACAGTTCGTTAGTTAAATGATCTTTTATCTCAACATTGGTCTGTATAGTGAAGAGAAACATTCATTGTAAAACCATTATACATTACATCTCTTGACATTTGTCTGTCTCCGGCAATGTTTTAACTTTCAACATTAATCTTTTTTCTCCACCTTAGTCTCAACGGTCACTTGTGTTTCTTCTTCTTCTTTACCTTCAGAATCCAAAAGCTTCTGTTGAATCTTGGTCACACCTTTCTCCACAGGCCCCATCGCTTGGTTTATCGTAAGAACCACATCCTTCACCACGTGTTGGCCACCGTCGATAACTATATCTTGCACGCTCTCCTTAATGCTTGTCCCTGATGCTTCAACCTGAGTCTCCTCCTTCCTCTCAACAACACCACCACCTTCTTCTACTTTAACTTCCGTCTTCTTCTTCTCGCTTGTGATCTTACCGCACTCTGACACCGAAATGTAGTGGTAAGGCTCGGCAGGGAAAACAAAGAGATGAGCAACGGCTGCAATCGACATCTCTATGCAGATGAGGAAATCTTGCAAGGCGTTTTGGAATCTTCCTTCTTTCGGAAGCACGCGGTAGTAGCAGAGCAGTGAGATGCCGAAGCCTTGCCACCAAGTAGCGAACACGATGGCCTTGAAGCTAATGAACTTGGCCAAGGGTTTGATTTCTTTGAGGCGTTCGTGAGTCACGTTGTAGAACTGCACAAGGCAAAACAGGGCCCACATCTGGCTGAAGTTTAGCACCACCACTATGTATGGATATCTACAAGAATCACATGACAAGTTTTTAAGTTTTAACATTTGATGAATGACAAATCATGTACATGATTTGATTTTTCTTTACATACCCGTAATACCATTTGAATTCACCATCACCGTAGACACCAAGAAGCTCCAGCAAAAATGTCAAGAATGCACAAAAGGTTTTGAGGATCATCTTGAAGAGAGAAGAAGATATCATCAGATCAAAAGAATAAGGAGTTTTGGGTTGAAGAGGAGAAGAAGAGAAGAAGAGGAAGGTGACTTACATACTGGACAAGACCGAACTTCTCTATCACAAAGAGCTCTCGTCCCAAGACGTATGGTTCACACAAGAACTTCCAAAATGGATTACTCTGCTTCTGCTTCTTCTTGTTCTTCTTCTTCTTGTTGATCTCGTTTGCTTCTTCTGCTTCTAATAATGGTTCTGTTGATTCATCTTCGAGCAATTCAACAACTCTTCTTTCACCACCTGAGCATACGTACATAAACTTAAGATACCATAATTCTGATTCACAAGAGACAGAGAGAGAGGGAGAGCACAAAGCTTCTTCACCTAGACATGCGACCAAGTAACTTCCAAAGGAATACAAAGCGAAAGCCTCATAGCAGTTTCTCAAAATGTCACAAGGCAGAGAGAATTTTGCATTTGTCAAGGATATGATCTAAACAAAAAAATAGCTTCCATTAACTGAAAATTACAAACAAAATTTACAAACTCTGGAAAGGGAAAGAAAGAGGCTTGCCGATTCAGTAGCGTAAACAGGGACCATAAACAAAACAGGAACTATCCATTTTTGCTCCTGCAATTTTATACACTCAAACTCATCAAGAACAGGTTTCTCTTCTTTAAGAAATGTCAAATAACCATTTTAGATATAATCATGAGCTTATTAGGCTATTACTCAAACAAAAAGGCGTTGGTGCTATAAATGGGACCATAATTCCCCAAAAGTACCAAGAATATGTCACGCAGAAATATACAAAGTAAATTGAAAAAATTAGAAAAATGGAGAGTGGCTTGTACGGACAGAGGGATTGGTGTAGAAACGGAGATGCTGGACGATGGAGAAAACGGAGAGGCAGATTGAGACGGCGGCGAAAGATCCTCCGATGATACAAGCCGGAAAATGTAGATCTCTGTACGTACTTGCCTCCCTCCCACTCATTTTGACATAATAAGATCAGGCAACATTATCAAACTGCACTTTCCAAAAATATGTTTTTGTCTTTTCTTTTTCAATATCGATTGTATGCGCACGTGTCCTCGTTCCCTGACGCCACCGCTGCGTTCTCTGACACGTATCACTCATATAAAAACATTTTGCAAAGAAAGAATAAGATAGCTCTTATAACGATCAGAGAGCTTTGGGAGATTTGATCTTTCCTCTAGAGTTTAGAGGTTACGTGAATACAGAGTACACCCGTGCCACTGCCATGCTTCATCATGTGATAACTAAACTAAAACATTTATATTTTCTATTTCAACAATGCTAATTTATTTGAACAAAAATTCAAGAAGGAGTTAACACCACCAACATAAGCAAATTATTAAGCATATAACCATCAAGATAATGTACTGATGAGTTTTCTTATATTAAAGAAGACACACAGCTGAGTTTTAACGAACTGTTCTCAAATATGCGTTGAACAAATGTATTTTCTCAGTCTGGCCTGATCTTGGGTTTTTAATATAGTTTCAAGCTTGTTTGGACAAAGCTTACTTAGTTAGTTGCTACATTTTTGGTAAGAAAAACGAGAGCTATCCAACTATTTATAATATGCCATCTACAGTTTAGCAGCTGGGCCTTGGAGTTGATCACTCTAAGTAAGTGTTACTGAGATTTTGAATAGGAAAAGGAGTCAGTTTCAGAAACTCTCCAATGATTCTGCTTTGTGTATGCAGATGTGTTGTGGAACACAATATCGATCGGGAGTAGCAGCTGCAAAAACTGTAGGAAATCGCTTGTTGGGCTTAACCTTGGGCTCTGATACCATATTAGTAAAGGGCCTAACTCACATCCAAAAGTTAGCTTATGAGTGGAGGATTGCCTCTTACTATATATATTAGTGATGAAAGGTTCTCACTTTCGATATCCACCTCGAGATGAGGGCGGAACAACACACATCATCTCGGAAATACCACAACAAGACGGGTCACTTATACAAGTCACTTTCAATGTGGGAAACCGTTTTTCTTTGTGGGAAATCGCTTGTTGGGTTTAACATTGGGCTCTGATACCATATTAGTAAAGGGCCTAACTCACATCCAAAAGCTAGCTTATGAGTGGAAGATTGTCTTTTACTATATATATTAGTGATGAAAGGCTCTCACTTTCGATGTGGGACTTTCACACTCTAATAAGAATGACAATAGAGAGAGCCCTCTTCTAAAGCCAGAATCTTTTTTCATACTGTCATATATCAAATCAGTAATCAAATTTATTAATGTTAAAGCATATAAAATGATGAAACATTAAATTCGAGGATACACTCCGACAAAAACTGGAGGATACACAAAGCCTGATTTTTTTTTTGCCGGAGATGACTTAAAAGTTTCTTCCTTTATTTTTGAGAAATTGAAGGCACGAAATTGTGGTCAGCTATGAAACGATTCTTCAAGCCCATAGAGAAAGACGGCTCAACGGTGGCTAAAAAACCCTGCCTCTCGCCGGAAAAGAGCGACGGAGACAGAGACGGAGCTGAAAAGGGGAGGAACGAGACAGAGCCGTCCAAGTTTTTGACGTGGAACGCTAACAGCTTCCTCCTTCGAGTGAAAAACGACTGGTCAGAGTTCTCTGAGTTCATCTCCGATTTCGACCCGGATGTCATTGCCATACAGGTGATTTTGCTTCCTGCTTCTTTTGTTTTATTCCTTTGGTTGATTCCGGGCAATGTGAGTAAATCTGCATAGGTGTTTCAGTGTGGAACTCTAAATTCTCCAAATCCTCTAGGGTCTCATTGAAGTGGTCTGAGTTTTGGTGAAAAAAGGATTTCGTGTTGTTTGTTTTGATTCTCTTGAATTCGCTCAAAGTGTTGATCTTTCGAGTCTATGGTTCTGTATAAGTTGGTAGTTGCTTATGATATTCGTTTTCTGTTCAGCTCTTTAGTGTTTGCCCAAGTTAACTTTTGTTTCTTATTCTATAGTTAAGTCCTACGTCCTGATGCAAATTCAGTCATTTATGACACTGAAAATGGTTTGGTGATGCATAAGACCAGGCTTCATTTTTAAGTAATTTGTCAATGCTATGATGGATTACTAATTCACTGTGTCTCTGTGGCCAGAAATTGAGCGTAGCGGTTAATTGTGTTTATAACTGTATAATGTTAGGAAGTAAGAATGCCTGCTGCTGGTGGGAAGGGAAAACCTAAAAACTATGAAGAGTTGAGCGATGACACGAAAGCTTTGCGTGAGGAAAAACAGGTACAATGGTTCTCTATTTGACTGGATTGTATTTGTACTACAATATCAATTCCTAAAGCTTTTTGTATTTTTTGATGCATTTGCAATTACAAGCAGATTTTTGTGTTTGAGTTAGAAGAATCAACAATGCAGTGTCATATGGTTATAGTAAAAGATTTAGGAGAATGGCAGGAGCCAGTTTTGGAGTAACAAACTCTCTAGTTGTTTGGATAATGTTCAAGCTTGCTTGATAATAGTTCTGAGAAGCCGTTCTTCTTGTACCCACTGCAGATTTTGACACGGGCTCTCTCAAATCCACCATTTGGAAAATATCAAGTTTGGTGGTCTCTTGCGGACTCCAAGTATGCAGGGACAGCTTTGTTAGTGAAAAAGTGCTTCAAGCCCCAAAAAGTTTACTTTAACCTTGACAAATTAGGTACTTTTTGAAAAAAACTTGTTGATTGTTCCTTACATTTGAAACCATGTTTCTTTTATCTACTGTTACGGTTCTGCCATTTTCTTGACCTCAGATTGGTGACTAACTTATATATACATGTCGTTATCATGCAGCATCTAAACATGAACCTGATGGTCGTGTGATCTTAGCTGAATTTGAGACATTTCGTCTCTTGAATACGTATTCGCCTAACAATGGTTGGAAAGACGAGGAGAATGCGTTTCAGAGGAGAAGAAAATGGGACAAGAGGATGGTGGAGTTCCTCACCAAAGCGTCTGATAAACCTATAATATGGTGTGGCGACTTAAATGTTAGGTAATGAGAAAGTGTTTTTCTACATCTTATCTTGCCAGACTCTTTTCCTCAAGCCCTTTTGTTACAGAATCAAAGCTGATGTAATTTCCTCGATTTTTGTAAATTTGCAGTCATGAGGAAATGGATGTTAGCCATCCAGACTTTTTCGCATCAGCAAAGCTTAATGGTTATGTTCCTCCAAACAAAGAGGTAATATATACCAAATCTTGTACGACTGCTTTTAGACATGCATATCATCCGAAACATGGTTATTCATTACATCAGCCTGTGATTTCTCTTCTTTTCTTGTCTCTGCATTTGCACTGTGACCTCTCATTGTAGATGACTGTATTACGCCTGAACCAAAAGCTTATCCATGATATGTACTTATAGAATCATACAGTGATTACAAAAGGCTTTAAATTACTGGATTATGTAGGACTGTGGACAGCCTGGATTTACACCATCTGAGAGAGGACGCTTCGGTTCACTAATGAAAGAGTATGCCTAATACATATCTTTGCACTGTGAAAGTCTTAGTATTAGTGATTTCTTGAATAGAGATGATAGTTACTGAACATGTTATTCTGAATTATATTTATGGGAATGTTACAGAGGAAGGCTTGTTGATGCGTACCGGTATCTACACAAGGAACCAGACGTGGAAAGTGGCTTCTCTTGGTCTGGAAATCCTATTGGAAAGTGAGTAGATACCACATTAAGAGTCCTGAAGCTTATATTCATCTTTCGAAAGCTTCATATGGATCTGTTCTGTTTGTATAGGTACCGGGGAAAGAGGATGAGGATCGACTATTTTCTTGTCTCTGAACAGCTCAAAGACCGGATAGTTTCTTGTAAGATGCATGGTCGTGGGATAGAATTAGAAGGTGCCACAGATAAGATTTAACTTGCGGTTCATCACAAAGATTCATGGAAGATTATTGTTTAGCTCTTTTGCAGCAACTTGGTTCTTGATTTGTTTCAGGTTTCTATGGGAGTGATCACTGTCCGGTTACACTTGAGCTTTCGAAGCCATCTTCTGATTCGGAAGAGAACCAGGTGTCTTAACTAAAATCACCCTCTTCTGTAATAGAAGACAAGCCTTCTTTAGAGACCTCAAACCAAAGCTAGTGTTATCATTGTCTGAGCTTAGATCATCTTTTAATTTACTTTGCCGAGTTGAGGATTAGGTTGATGTTATTGAGACACTTATTTGGCCAATTGTTGCTCTGTTGAGCTCTCAAAGGTGCTTATTGATTATTGTTGTGCTTTGACAATTTGCTTCATTCTCCTAAGAAATGTAGATATTTCAACATTTGAATATTTATTTGTTATGATTTCATTTCTGAAGATTTGTTGGGTGTATTTTAAGCATATATACCCTTTGCTTTATTTGCATAGTTAGTGGGTAGAGGGCCTATTGGCAACATTCGTAAACCAAGGGCTTATATTAGGGATGTTGTATAGGGTAAAATTATCCTACCCTACCCTGACTCTCATACCCTGACTCTCATATAGTCCTTATAGAAAAGACCCTAGTTCAAAAAGTCCTGAAAATACCCTAGTACCAATAGGATAGTCCAAAAAAAACCCTAAAGGTTTTAGGGTACCCAAGGATACTCCTAGTTACATTTTTGTTCTTTTTTTTTGTTTCTATTTAATTAACACCAACCATATTTTTCTGTCAAAATTATAAATTACACTTTTCCACCAAAATCACAAAATCATTTTTTCCGCTAAAATCGTAAAATAACATTTTGTCGACAAAACCCTAAAATCATGTTTTCCCATGAAATAATATTTTTGTCAAAATCGTATAATCCCGTTTTACCGCCAAAACCGCATAATCTTGTTTTACCGTCAAATCCGTGAAATCACGTTTTCCCGCCAAAACCGTAAAATTATGTTTTCCAGCCAAAACCTCAAAAATCATGTTTTCCCGCCAAAACCTCAAAAATCATGTTTTCCCGGCAAAACTTAAAAATCATATTTTCCGTCAAAACTTAAAAATCATGTTTTCCCGCCAAAACCGTGAAATTATGTTTTCTTGCCAAAACCTTAAAATCATACTTTTCGTCAAAATCTCAAAATCATGTTTTTTTGCAAAATCCTCAAAAGCACGATTTTCCGCTAAAACCTTGAAATTACATTATCATGCAAAATTACATTTCCTTCAAAAACTGCAAAATCTTGATTTATTTTGAGGAAGTTAAAGATAATGTAAACAAAAATATAATAGAATTTGTTGTTTTAAGCATATAAATAAATACCCATAGGGTATCCAAAACCCATTAGGATAACCCTATTAGAATCTTTTCATTAAGGTACCAACCCATAATCAACCCTTCATGTTCTGTATTAACAAAGGAGGGTAATGGGCTTCATACAAATTAAGGGTTAAGGGTTCCCTATGGGTAAAAACCCTTCATTAACATCCCTAACTTATATCATCATAAAGTTAAATTAAAATTCGACAAAATGACAACATATATAAATTATATGTATTTTTTCGGTGTTGAATTTCAATATTGACATATTATTTTCTAAAGTAATTTTTTCTTAGCACAAATTAGATAGAGATACTTTGGAAACTTAATAAATGATTTTATCAAAAAAGCCTTAATAATTATGGATACCAGAAAAGAATGTAAATAGAAGAAAATCTAAGAAAATTTATGATGAAAAACATTTCTATCCAGGATCCAATTTTCTTCTATTTTTACATTACATATTTCTATCCTTTTTTTGTTGTTCAAACATTACATATTTCTATCCATTATTTTTTATCTGGTATAAATAATTGACTTTCCAAAAGCCTTAAACTTTTTTTGTTCAAAAATCAGGTTTTACAATGATGTATTTATTATTTTAGTTGGACTTTTATTTAGTTTTTTTTTCTCTTAATTATCCTTAACAAATTTACTTTTAAAAATGGTTTTTACGTTAAAAGGAGTTTTTGAATGTGCAAACGGACTTCCAAAGAGAGGACAACAACAAATGTGTGTGTCAAAATCATGAAATGGCAGAATCATAAATAACGAAAAATACATTGCCATTTCAAAAACCCTTCTTCTTCTCGCAGTAACCCAAAAATAAAATAAAATCTACTCACACACACACACTTCTTTACTCGTTAAATACTGAGAAAATCACATCTCTTGCTCTGCCCCAAACCCAACCTCCTAAAAAAAAATACAATTTTTCCCCTGTTTTTTAATCCAATAAAAACAGAGAGACCTAAGCAGCGAGATCAAGCCCGTCGTTTTCTTCGAGGAAAAGTGGATGACCCTTCAACAAATTTGGAAACCTATTGGCCGGAGACATGGTGGAGACTCGTCAAATCTCTAATTCGTTTTTCTATTTTCCAAAAAGCTTGTTCTGTTTCTGCTCTGTAATGGCGTTTTGATTAGTACCCTGAAGCTGAAGCTGTAAGTGAAAGAGAATTTTGAGAGAAAGGCTGATACTTTTTTTTCCTTCTTCTTCTTCTTCCGGAGAGAGAGATGGCAGTTCCAGAGCAGAGCCAAGACGTGTTTCCATGGCTGAAATCGCTGCCAGTAGCCCCGGAGTTCCGACCAACTCTGGCAGAGTTCCAAGATCCGATTGCTTACATTTTGAAGATCGAAGAAGAAGCTTCCAAATACGGAATCTGCAAAATTTTGCCTCCTGTGCCTCCTTCCTCTAAGAAAACCGCCATTAACAACCTCAACCGTTCTCTGGCGGCGCGAGCGGCGGCGAGGGCTCGTGACGGCGGCGACGCGTTCGATTACGACGGTGCTCCCACATTTGCCACGCGCCAGCAGCAGATCGGATTTTGCCCCAGGAAGCAGCGGCCGGTGCAGAGACCAGTGTGGCAGAGCGGAGAGCATTACAGTTTCGGTGAGTTCGAGTTTAAAGCTAAGAACTTTGAGAAGAGTTACCTCAGGAAATGCGGCAAAAAGAGTCAACTCTCTGCTCTCGAAATCGAGACTCTTTACTGGAGAGCCACAGTGGACAAGCCCTTCTCTGTTGAGTATGCAAACGACATGCCTGGCTCGGCTTTTATCCCTCTGAGCCTAGCCGCTGCGAGGAGGAGAGAGTCTGGTGGCGACGGAGGAACAGTTGGTGAGACAGCTTGGAACATGAGGGCAATGGCTAGAGCAGAAGGATCATTGCTTAAGTTCATGAAAGAGGATATCCCTGGGGTTACATCTCCAATGGTGTATATTGCTATGATGTTTAGTTGGTTTGCTTGGCATGTGGAAGATCATGACCTCCATAGTCTCAATTACTTGCATATGGGTGCTGCTAAGACTTGGTACGGTGTGCCAAAGGATGCTGCTTTGGCTTTTGAGGAGGTTGTTAGGGTTCATGGTTATGGAGAAGAGCTTAATCCTCTTGGTGAGTGTCTTGTAAAGGTTCATTTAGTGTTATGTGAGAGTGACTTATCAATGTTTGAGTTTCTTGTTCTGATTGTTGGCTTTGTCTTATTTTGTTGTCTTACAAGTGACTTTTTCTACTCTTGGTGAGAAGACAACTGTGATGTCCCCTGAAGTGTTTGTGAAATCCGGTATACCTTGTTGCAGGTAATGATTTTCTTGTGTGTGCTCTGTGTATCTCATCATCTTGTTGTCATCTATTTCTCTTCTTTTTAAGCTTACATTCTCTTTTCAATGTGCTTGTATCAGGTTAGTGCAAAATCCTGGAGAGTTTGTCATCACCTTTCCAGGAGCATATCATTCAGGGTTTAGTCATGGTAAGCAAGCGACCATACAATTTAGTATCTTCAAGTTAATCTCTCATGGCTTAATTTGTTGAAATAACATTGTTGGGGGGTTACAGGATTCAATTTTGGGGAAGCATCTAACATTGCAACTCCCCAATGGTTGACAATAGCGAAAGATTCTGCCATCCGGCGAGCAGCAATAAATTACCCTCCAATGGTTTCTCATCTCCAGTTACTTTATGACTATGCATTGGCTCTAGGTTCAAGGTACTCTTTCTTTTTTTCATAGCCACTCTCAAACTTGTAAGCTGCTTGAAAGTTTCATTTTAGGTGTCATCACTCATTGCAGAGTGCCAACAAGCATCCACACCAAACCACGGAGTTCAAGATTGAAAGACAAGAAAAGAAGCGAAGGAGAGAGATTAACTAAAGAGCTATTTGTGCAAAACATTATCCACAACAATGAGTTGCTTTGTTCTCTCGGAAAAGGATCTCCAGTGGCCCTTCTCCCTCAGAGTTCCTCGGATGTATCAGTTTGTTCTGAATTGCGAGTTGGATCCGGTTTAAGTACTAACCAGGAAAACCCGATCCAACTAAAATCAGAAGACCTGAGTTCTGATAGTGTTATGGTCGGTTTCAGTAACCGTATTAAGGACACTGTCACAGTAAAAGAAAAATTTACATCTTTATGTGAAAGGAGCAGAAATCACCTTGCAAGCAGAAAGAACGAGACTCAAGGAACTCTGACAGATGCTGAAATGAAGAAAAATAAGGCGCTTTCAGACCAGAAGCTTTTCTCTTGTGTTACTTGCGGAATCTTAAGCTTTGATTGTGTTGCTATTGTTCAACCTAAAGAAGCAGCAGCTAGATATCTCATGTCTGCGGATTGTAGCTTCTTCAATGATTGGTCAGTTGCGAATCTTGGTCAGGATGCAGGATCACTACATCATTCGCGTAAGTTACAAGTCACTCTTGTTTAATAATGGCTGTTGTTTAGCATTTACTAAGTTTTGCTTCATCATGCAGAAAGCACAGAAAAGCATGATGTAGATTACCTCTGCAATGTTCCTCTTCAAACTATGGATCATTCAGTGATGACAGGTGATCAAATAACTTCACCATGTTCCCAAACAAAAGCATCTAAAGGTGATGGTGCTCTTGGGCTGCTAGCTTCAGCATATGGAGACTCTTCTGATTCCGAGGAAGAAGACCACAAGGGCTTAGATGTTCCTATTTCGGACGGGGTTACAAGAAAGCATGATCAAGAAGGTTCCTGTGTATTTGAAGCATCATCTTTTGATACAGATGGCAACGAGGAGGCTAGAGTTGCACGTGGGAAAGGGAAAGAGGTTGACGTATCACATGCTACTTCAAGTTCTTCGTCGCTCTCTTGTGCTACCGAACATAATACTTTACCATTTATTCCAAGATCTGATGATGATTCCTCTCGGTTGCACGTGTTTTGTCTTGAGCATGCTGCGCAAGTTGAACAGCAACTTCGTCCTATTGGTGGCATTCACATAATGCTACTCTGCCATCCAGGTAACAGAGTAACTGCAGATTCAGTTTCATTAGTCTTTTAACTTTTTCTTATCATTTTTAAGACGCACAATATTTGCAGAGTACCCCAGGATAGAGGCTGAAGCGAAGATAGTTGCAGAAGTGCTTGCACTCAATCACGAATGGAATGATACTGAATACAGGAATGTGACTCGAGAGGATGAGGAAACGATTCAGGCGGCGTTGGATAATGTTGAAGCTAAGGCTGGGAACAGTGATTGGGCTGTAAAGTTGGGTATTAACCTTTCTTACAGCGGCATTCTCAGTCGCTCTCCTCTGTACAGTAAGCAGATGCCTTACAACTCTATCATATACAATGCCTTCGGTCGCAGCTCTCTAGCAACAAGCTCACCCACGAAACCTCAGGTTTCTGGTAAAAGATATTCCAGACAGAGGAAATATGTTGTCGGGAAATGGTGTGGCAAGGTTTGGATGTCGCATCAGGTACTATTAACTAACTTGCAACTAAACTAATTCGGACATTAGTACACTTCTGTTTCACCTTGTTTGATTCAGTTTTCTTCTTTTTCAGGTGCATCCCTTTTTGCTGGAGGAAGACTTAGAAGGGGAAGAATCTGAAAGAAATTTTCATCTGCGAGATGCTCTGGATGAGGATGTCAGTGGAAACAGATTGTTTCCTGGTAATGCTTCTAGAGATGGAACCACAATGTTTGGAAGAAAGTACACTAGGAAGAGAAAGATGAGAGCAAAGGCTGTGCAACGCAAGAAGCTTACCTCTTTTAAGAGGGAAGATGGAGTTTCTGATGACACATCAGAGGATCATTCTTATAAGCAGCAATGGAGGGCTCCCGGGAATGAGGAAGAGTCTTATTTTGAGACAGGGAATACGGTTTCTGGTGATTCGTCAAATCAATTGTCTGATGAGGAAACCGTCAGACATAAAAGTTATAAAGAGTTTGAGTCGAATGATGAGGTTTCTGACCGTTCACTTGGAGAAGAATACGCTGTAAGGGAATGTGCAGCTTCAGAGAGCTCAATGGAGGATGGCTTTCAGCATTCAATGTATGATGATGATGATGATGATATCTACAGGCACCCTAGAGGGATTCCAAGGAGCAAACGGACTAAAATTATTAGGAATCCGGTTTCATATGATTCAGAAGAAAATGGAGTTTATCTGCAAAGGGGAAGAGGATCCACTAGTAATGCGGAAGCTAGTCGAATGGGTGGTGAGTACGATTCAGCTGAGAATTCTCTGGAGGAACAAGACTTTTGCAGTACAGGGAAAAGGCAAACCAGGTCCACAGCTAAACGGAAAGTAAAAACAGAGATAGTTCAGAGTTCGAGAGGCACGAAAAGTCGCGCTTTGCAACAATTTGGATCTGGAAAGAAGAATCAAGAATTGGATGCATACATGGAGGGACCTAGCACACGGCTTAGGGTGAGAAACTTGAATTCCTCAAGAAGGTCTTTAGAAACCAAACCAAAGAAAATTGTTAAGAAAGAAAGTAGTAATGCTTCCTTCTCTGGAGTTGCAAGTGAAGAAGACGTGGAGGAAGATGAAGGAGAAGAGAATGTGGAAGAGGAAGTGGAACGCTTGGCGTACCAATGTGACATGGAAGGTTGCACAATGAGTTTCAGTTCAGAAAAACAGTTGGCTTTGCATAAGAGAAACATATGTCCTGTTAAAGGCTGTGGTAAAACCTTCTTCTCGCACAAGTATCTGGTTCAACACCGGCGTGTTCACTTAGACGATCGCCCTCTGAAGTGTCCTTGGAAGGGCTGCAAGATGACGTTTAAGTGGGCTTGGTCTAGAACCGAGCACATAAGGGTTCACACTGGTGCAAGGCCTTATGTTTGCGCTGAACCGAGTTGTGGACAGACGTTCCGGTTTGTCTCAGATTTTAGCAGGCATAAGAGGAAGACCGGTCATTTAGTTAAGAAGACGAAGAAAAGGTGATATAGGCTCTCTAACATGTACTCAGTCATGAAGATATCAATCCATTGATCTATTATATTATAAGAGAACTGCATTGGGCTTATTCAAAGTCTTAACATTTGGAACAGCCATTGTTGTTACAGACATTTCACTCTCAGACAGATTCTCTCTTTGTTGTATTTCTCTGTTATCCTTCTTACAGTTGAATCTGTTACAAATCCTGGTGTAGGTTAAAGAAAAGATTGTGTTCATTATACTGTCTTCTTTGTTGTGATAAGTAAAGGAGATGCTTTTATGATTTAAGAAATTATCTCAAATTTTTGCTGAGGAAGAGGAAGGTGTGTTTTAGAAGGTAGAGGATAAACAAAATTTTGTGTTTATGGCCTTCTTTAATCTGCCAATAATTGAATCAAAATATCAACGAAATGAGAAAGATTTGCAAGAGCCAGTTTTGGAGTAACAACCCTCTCTGTTGTTTGGATAATGTTTCCACCCAAAAAGATATACTTTAACTTTGACAAATTAGGTATTTTAATAAACTCTTTGTTGCTTGGTCTCTAATCATCACATAAAATAATCTCTTGCACACTAGCAATTGGAAATCATGTTTATTGACCTCAAAGTTTATCTACTTGGGAGAAATATAAACATAGCTAGATCATGCAGCAGCATCTAAACTTCTCTTTGCAACTTAATCTTCAGTTCTCAAAATGTCAAATAAATTTTGCTAATTTCTAGATTTTTTTTTTTTAAAAGGACTTCTAGATATTAGCACTTATCAAAAATTATTTACAATCATTTCAAGGATATACATTTGTTAAAGCAAGGGATCATATTTGTATATAAAATCCCATATTAATAATTATTTGATAAACCAAGGATTCATATTCATATAAAATCCCATATTAATAAACATTTAGATTTTATTTACATGCAACTAATTAAGAAATTATTTTAATTATTTAAATATTAAAAATATATAGAGATGTACGTGGCACATACTAGTTGGTTGCATCGCCGTGGACTTCATTTTGACGTTGATAAAGACTCAACCTACCAAATTGCTAATGACATTAGTCGTGAGCTGAAGTTTAGTATTGATGACAGTGACAGTGACATTGACAGACTTCTTGACATAAAAATTACATTTCCAAACTAATTTATGCTATTTATTTACATTAGTCATTTTGGATTAAGAAACACTTAGTCATAAAACACAGTCCTTCGTAGACCCGTAAATAGAGTTATTCAATTGTGAAACGGGTTAAGTACAGCACTAACGAACAAAAATCATAAGAGAAAAAGGACGAAAAACGTATTTACTCTTTTCTTATTCCATAACTTACTTGAAAAAAGTATTAAAATGAATCAATAAAAATGTTAAACCAAGGAGTAGTTTTTGAATGCGCAAAAAGGGCATGACAACAACAAATGTGTTGTGTATTTTAATCACACACGAAAAACAACAAATGTGTGTCAAACTCACGAAACGATAGCAAAATCGTAAATACTAAATAGTAAAATTGAATTGAAAAAGAAAAAAAATCACAAATCCTTCATCGAGGATTTCAAAAAAAAAACCTTCGCCCTTGCAGTTTACTCAGTCCAGCGGTTTAATTGTTTTATGGAAATGAAATTAATTTAAAAAGCAGAAAAAAACAAAACAGAGAAATGAGAAAAATCACAATCCCTTCCTCTGCCCAAAACCCAACCTCTCAAAAATTGTAACTTTTCCTCTGTTCTTTCTTTAATCCTATATAAAAACAGAGAGTTGAGAGAAACGGAGATCAAGCCCCATCGTTTTTCTCGAGGAAAAGTAGATTAGCCTTTACGAAATTTAAAACCTTTGGGGGAGGAGAGATTCGTCGAATCTCTTAACTCTTGAGTCTCTCTGCTTCCTTTTTCTTTTCAATTTTTTGTTCTGTTTTGTTTTTTTTCTTCATTTCCTCTGTAATGGCGTTTTGATGAGTTACCCAGAACCTTAAAGCCTGAAAGTGAACTAATTTCAGAGAAAAAGGTTTCATTTTTATTGTTTTTTCTTTCTGTGCCCGAGAGAGAGATATGGCGGTTTCGGAGCAGAGCTCAGACGTGTTTCCGTGGCTAAAATCGCTGCCGGTAGCCCCAGAGTTCCGACCTACACTAGCAGAGTTCCAAGATCCGATCGCTTACATTTTTAAGATCGAAGAAGAGGCTTCCAAGTACGGAATCTGCAAAATTTTGCCTCCAGTGCCTCCTCCTTCGAAGAAAACCGCGATTTCCAACCTTAACCGCTCTCTGGCGGCGGCAGCTAGGGGTCGTGAAGGCGGCGCTGTGTGCGATTACGACGGTGCCCCCACATTCGCCACGCGACAACAGCAGATCGGGTTTTGCCCTAGGAAGCAGCGACCCGTACAGAGACCAGTGTGGCAGAGCGGAGAGCGTTACAGTTTCGGTGAGTTCGAGGCCAAAGCTAAGATCTTTGAGAAGAATTATCTCAAGAAATGCGGCAAAAAGAGTCAACTCTCTCCCCTAGAAATCGAAACCCTTTACTGGAGAGCCACAGTGGACAAACCCTTCTCTGTTGAGTACGCAAACGACATGCCAGGCTCGGCTTTTATCCCTCTGAGTCTGGCGGCTGCAAGGAAGAGAGAGTATGGTGGTGATGGAGGAACAGTAGGTGAGACAGCTTGGAACATGAGGGCAGTGGCTAGAGCAGAAGGATCATTGCTTAAGTTCATGAAAGAGGACATCCATGGAGTTACATCGCCAATGATTTATATCGCTATGATGTTTAGTTGGTTTGCTTGGCATGTGGAGGACCATGACCTTCATAGTCTCAATTACTTGCATATGGGTGCTAGTAAGACTTGGTACGGTGTGCCAAAGGACGCTGCTTTGGCTTTTGAGGATGTGGTTAGGGTTCATGGTTATGGAGAAGAGCTTAATCCTCTCGGTGAGTTTTCTTTTTCCACCAAATGGTTATTGCTATGGGATACTCTGTTACATTGTCATCTGTGTTTAAGAAAATGTTGGTAAAGGATTGTGCTTGGTTGGTTATTGTTGCAAGTCAGAGTCTTTTTCTGATAACAAGTCTTGTGAGCTTTGTTTTCAAGGGAATTCATTGTTCTTATTGTTGGCTTGTTTGTGTCTTTCTCCTTGTGTGTTGCTCTTAACTGCTTTGTTCCTGACTCTTATGTTGTCTTATCAGTGACGTTTGATACTCTTGGTCAGAAGACAACTGTGATGTCTCCTGAAATATTTGTCAAAGCCGGAATACCGTGTTGCAGGTAATGGTTTTCCTCTGTATGCTCTGTTTATCTCTTCGAGTAATTGTCTTCCACTTTTAATCAAATGTTCATTGCTTCCATTTCTCTATTCATTTGGTTAGAAACATCCAGAGGCACACTATTTTACTCCTAGTTTTCACTCAAGTTTTTTGCTTGCTATCAGGTTAGTACAAAATCCTGGAGAGTTTGTCGTCACTTTTCCAAGAGCGTATCATTCAGGGTTTAGTCACGGTGAGCGATCGACCTTGAGTATCTTCAAGTTAATCATTCAAGGCTTAACATGTAGAAACTAACTTTACTTTATCCCAAAAAAAAAACAATATTGGGTGCTTTAGGATTCAATTGTGGAGAAGCATCTAACATTGCAACACCCGAGTGGTTGAGACTGGCCAAAGATGCTGCCATCCGGCGAGCTGCAATAAATTACCGTCCGATGGTTTCTCATCTCCAGTTACTTTATGACTATGCATTGGCTCTAGGTTCAAGGTACTCTCTCTTTTTCATAGCCCCTGTCAAATTTTTTAAGCTTGACACATTCATTTTAGGTGTTATCACTCTCATTGCAGAGTGCCAACAAGCATCCACGCCAATCCACGGAGTTCAAGATTGAAAGATAGGAAAAAAAGCGAAGGAGAAAAATTGACTAAAGAGCTATTTGTGCAGAACATTATCCACAACAATGAGTTGCTTTGTTCTCTAGGAAAAGGATCTCCAGTGGCTCTTCTCCCTCAGAGTTCCTCAGATGTATCGGTTTGCTCTGAACTGCGAGTTGGATCCCATTTGAGAACTAACCAGGAAAAGCCAATCCAACCAAAATCTGAAGACTTGAGTTATGATAGTGTTATGGTCGGTTTCAGTAACCGTATTAAGGATACTGTTACAGTAAAAGAAAAGTTCACATCTTTATGTGAACGGAACAGAAATCATCACCTGGCAAGCAGAGAGAACGAGACTCAAGGAACTCAAGGAACAGATGCTGAAATGAAGAAAATTGAGGCGCTTTCAGACCAGAGTCTTTTCACTTGTGCGACTTGTGGAGTCTTAAGCTTTGATTGTGTAGCTATTGTTCAACCTAAAGAAGCAGCGGCTAGATATCTCATGTCTGCAGATTGTAGCTTCTTCAACGATTCGACAGTTGCGAATCTTGGTCAGGATGCAAGATCTCCTGCACTTAAGCTTCATTCACGTAAGCTACTAGTCCCTCTTCCAGTTAGTGGCTTTATAGTGTATCTCTATAGACATGAAATTAAGCTTTGAATAACTTTCTTTCATCATGCAGAAAGCACGGATAAGCACAATGTTGATTACTTCTACAACGTTCCTGTTCAAACTGTTGATCACTCAATGAAGACAGACGATCAAATAACCTCAACAACTAGTATAACAACAAAAGCGCATAAAGAAGATGGTGCTCTTGGGTTGCTAGCTTCAGCGTATGGTGATTGTTCTGATTCCGAGGAAGAAGATCACGAAGGCCTAGATGGCAACGAGGAGGCTCCAGAGGGACCAATTGCTACTGGAAATGACGGCAATACATCAATTCTGGACATAGCTTTACCCTTTGTTCCAAGATCTGATGATGATTCTTCTCGGTTGCACGTGTTTTGTCTTGAGCATGCTGCGCAAGTGGAACAGCAACTTCGTCCTATTGGTGGCATTCACATAATGTTACTGTGCCATCCAGGTAACATCAAGACTTACAAGATTCAATTTTTATTTAGTCTTCTGACATTGTTTGGGATTTGCTGTATAGATTATGCATATTTTAGAGTCCGTTCATCACTAAGACGCACGATTTTGCAGAGTACCCCAGGATAGAGGCTGAGGCAAAGATCGTTGCCGAGGAGCTTGGAGTCAATCACGAATGGAATGATACTGAATACAGGAATGTGACTCGAGAGGATGAGAAAACAATTCAGGCGGCCTTGGATTATGTTGAAGCCAAGGTTGGGAACAGTGATTGGGCTGTAAAATTGGGTATCAACCTTTCTTACAGCGGCGTTCTCAGTCGCTCGCCTCTGTACAGTAAGCAGATGCCTTACAACTCCGTCATCTACAGTGTGTTTGGTCGCAGCTCTCCAGCAACGAGCTCGCCCTTGAAACATGACGTTTCTGGTAGAAGATTATACAGGCAGAGGAAATACGTTGTTGGAAAATGGTGTGGTAAAGTTTGGATGTCGCATCAGGTTATATAAACTAATTTAGTACCATACTAATACGTACATTACTTTACACTTCTGTTGTAACTTGGTTTGGTTCAATTTAAGACTGATATTTGTTTCTTCTTCAGGTGCATCCCTTTTTTCTGGAGGAAGACTTGGAAGCGGAAGAATCTGAACGAAATTTTCATATGCAAAATGCCTTTGATGAGGATATCAGTGAAAACGGATTGTCCCCATGTGATGTTTCTAGAGATGCAACCACAATGTTTGGAAGAAAGTACACTAGGAAGAGAAAGATAAGAGCAAAGGCTGTGCAACGCAAGAAGCTTACCTCTTTCAAGAGGGAAGATGGAGTTTCTGATGACACATCAGAGGATCATTCTTATAAGCAGCAATGGAGGGCTCCCGGGAATGGGGAAGAGTCTTATTTTGAGACAGGGGATACGGTTTCTGGTGATTCTTCTGATCAGCAGCTCCAGGGACTTCGTCGACACAAGGGTGTTAAAGAATTCGAGTCAGATGATGAGATTTCAGACCGTTCACTTGGAGAAGAATATACTGCAAGGGAAGGTGGAGTTTCAGAGAACTCAATGGAGAAAAGCTTACAGCTATATAGACAGTCAATGGACAGACATGATTTGGAGGACTCTGTATATGGTCATGATGATGATAATATCTACAGGCACCCTAGGGGGATGCCAAGGAGCAAACGGGCTAAAGTGATTAGGAATCCGGTTTCATATGATTCAGAAGAAAATGGCATTTATCAGCAAAGTGAAAACAGGCAAGCTAGTGGAATGGGTGGTGAGTATGATTCAGCAAAGGAATCTCTGGAGGAACAAGACTTTTGCATCACAGAGAGAAGGCAAACCAGGTCCACAACCAGACGAATAGTTAAAACCGAGGTAGTTCAGAGTTCGGGAGACACAAAAGGTCGACAATCTGGATACGGAAACAAGAATCAAGAATTGGATCCTTACATGGAGGGACCTAGCACACGGCTTAGGGTGAGAATCCCGAAGCCTTCAAGAGAGTCTCCTGAAACAAAACCGAAGAAAACTGGTAAGAAAGGAAGCAGTAATGCTAAGGCTTCCTTCTCCATAGTTGCAAGTGAAGCAGATGTGGAGAAAGATGAAGAAGAAGAAGAGGAAGTGGAACGCTTGGCGTACCAATGTGACATGGAAGGTTGCACAATGAGTTTCAATTCAGGGAAACAGTTGGATCTGCATAAGAGAAACATATGTCCTGTTAAAGGCTGTGGTAAAACCTTCTTCTCACACAAGTATCTGGTTCAACACCGGCGTGTTCACTTAGACGACCGTCCTCTCAAGTGTCCATGGAAGGGCTGCAAGATGACGTTCAAGTGGGCTTGGTCTAGAACCGAGCACATAAGGGTTCACACTGGTGCAAGGCCTTATGTTTGCGCTGAACCAGGTTGTGGTCAGACATTCAGGTTTGTCTCCGATTTCAGCCGACACAAGCGGAAGACAGGTCATGCAGTTAAGAAGACCAAAAAGAGGTGACTGACTTAGGCTTTAACATGGAGTACTATCTGTCGTGAAGAGATTAATCCATTGGATCCTAGGGATTTTAGGGGTTGCAAGTGTGTAACTTGATCTGTTTCTTGTTTTTTTTATTTCGGTGGGGATTATTCAGTCAAACTCAGAGCCATTGTTGTTGCAGAAATATTCTCTGTCACCTTTACTGTTGAATGAATCTCTTTAACAATCCTGGTGCAGTATGTTTTTAGTTTCTTGCTTTGTAGGCTTTTGTGTAGTCAAAACTCTTAACACTTGGAGCTGCTTGTAAGATTTAGAAATTCAGGTGTATAATCTTGAATTCTACAAATATGATGAGGACTTCAATTTCAATTGAGGGGAAGATATCTGCATGTATATGTGTAAACTATTGGGAACTTGTCAAATATTAAAGCAACCGTTTTCTTTGGGATTCTCATTCGTGACGATATAAGGACAAGAATTAAAGTATTCATAAAAGGGAATATAATAAAAAAGCGACCAACTTTATTACTTCTCTTTCTTCTTCTTCTTCTCAACTTCTGTTTCAATTTTCAACCCTTTGATCTTCTTCTTCCTCCTTGAAATTAGGGTTTTGTAATGTCATTGTAAGAAAATACAAAAAAAAAACATGATCTCTCTGTCAATTTCAGACGGGTTCGAGCCGGAGCCCGAGTCTTTATATTCCTCAGGCGAATTATCTGTTGATCGATCTCATTCCGATCTCAATCACGCGGCGGAGGACCTGAGTGAAGAGTTTCAGAATGTGGGCTTGGACGAAGCCGCGAAAGAGAAGATTTTGACGATCATGAGTGTCTCCGAGAGTGATGGAGGTGTTGATTCGAAAGCGGTAGATGGAAATGAGGAGGAAGAAGGAAGGGACGACGCAGATGGTGAAGATAATGGCTGGAGCGAGAGTGAGGGTGAGAATATGTTTGAAAAGAGAGAAGCTTTGTATCCAATTAGGCCAGGAGCAGAGGATTGCTCGTTCTACATGAAAACAGGGAGCTGCAAATTCGGATCCACTTGCAAATTCAATCATCCTCTTCCGAATCCGAGAAGAATCAAAGTAAATTCACTTCTACTCTTTCTCTCATATGCTTTGTTTACCCATTCTTGCACGTTTTGCTTCTGACAAAGATATTGGCTCTTAATTGTGTTTTATTTTATTAATCTTAGGGAAAGATTTGTCTTTGTTCAAAAATTAAAAATCTAATTTTTAATGGCTTAATATAATCAGTAGCACATGTGTTTAGCATTTCTTGTTTTGTTTCCTTAATGTTTGTTGATTGTTTTGAAGATTGCTTGGGATAATAAAGTAAGAGAAAAGGAAGATGATGCTGATAAACTGAGACCGATGGATTGCAAGGTTAAAACTTTACTTCTCCTTTAACCTTGTTATCTTGTTCTTGCATTTGCAAAGTTTACTGATATCAAGTCCATGTGCTTTAATTCCTTGCAGTATTACTTCAGGACTGGTGGGTGCAAATATGGAGAAACTTGTAGATTCAACCATACGAAACAAAAGACTTATCAGCCCTCAGTACCGGAGCTTAACTTCCTCGGCCTTCCTATGAGACAGGTACAACATTATATAATTGGTTTATTGTTAACCATATTTTGACATTATAATGATGCAACACAGGGAGCAATAGAATGTCCATACTACATGCGCAACGGCTCCTGCAAGTTTGGAGCTGAGTGCAAATTTAACCATCCTGATCCTACAAATGTTGGAGGAACAGACTCTCCTTCTTCGTTTCATGGTAATAACGGTGGATCATTTTCCCCAAAATCCACGTTCCAAGCGAGTTCAAATTCTTGGTCTTCACCGAGGCATGCGAATGGCACAACTCCTTTTGTTCCATCCATGTTGTCACAGAGCCGTGGAGTTTCATCTCAGACTCCAGAGTGGAATGGATATCAGGTAGTAAACTATCTCCAGCTTTCGATCTTAGTAATATCTATTTCTTACTCGGACTATTTTAAATGATGGATTTGGTATTTGCATAGGCTTCTGCGTATTCATCAGAAAGGAATGTGTTTTCTCCTTCCACCACATACCTTATGAACAATTCATCAGCTGCAGCAACAAACATATTCTCACAGAACCAACATCAGATGTCTGCTGAAGAATTTCCAGAACGTCCAGACCAACCTGAGTGCACTTATTATCTCAAAACTGGAGACTGTAAGTTCAAATTCAATTGCAAATACCATCATCCTAAGAATCGATTGGCAAAACAGCCTCCTTACGCTCTCAATGACAAGGGCTTACCCCTTAGACCTGTAAGTTCGTTTTCTTTTCTCTCCTTTTGTTTCTGTTCTTGTGTGTTCTTGTTAGAAAGTTGCAGGCTTTTACTGTTTTTGACTGATTGCTTTATGGTAATCCAGGATCAGAACATCTGCACACATTACAGCCGGTACGGAATCTGCAAATTCGGTCCAGCTTGTAGATTCGACCATTCCATTCAGCCGACAGGAAGCCCCCTTGCCGTGGGAGAACCTATTCATGTCGGCGGTGGAAATGGGAATGAAAGTGACGGTTGGAACTGACACCAAACAGAACTTAAAGACATGTCCTTTACACATTGTCTCTCTATCGTTAAGGTTTGAGTTTTCGTTACACATCGTTTAGGTAAATTAGAGTCTCCAAACAATATCTATGGTGGCAAGCCTATCCTCAGTGATTCTTACAAAAGAATGTTTGTAATCTATCCACAACCCTTTTGACTCTTGAGGTTTAAATGGAGCCTGCCTGTTTCTTTTATTTGTTGTTTACTACTATGTGTGAAACCTTTTTTTTTCTCTGAAATGGATATTTTTATGTGATGGGAGCTAAATCCTGGAACAAGAGTTGTTTGATTTACAGATTCAGGTTCCGAAACTGAGTGTTTGTTTTGTCTCAATGGGGATTTTTAATCATAATCATATAATATGTAGTTTGTGAGTTATGACATGCCTAGGACATGTCTCAAATCTTTATGTACCACAAACCAAGAAGCAGGAAGAACAATGTGCATATATACCCAAATGTGGCCAAAACAAAGCTGAAAAGAGAAACTCAATGAGCAAGAAGAAGAAGAACAGAGGTTTGCAACAACATCTTATACGAACACAGGATCTGTCGTAGTCATTTGTAAGATTACTCTGCTCACAGGTTCTGCTTCCTTATCATCGATGTTCTTCAAAACAGAGCCCGGACCAGAGTTAACGGAAACAAAGCCATTTCTTCTGAAAAAAAAAAAAAAAGAAAAAACAAAGCCATTACAAGTTGAACAGAGAAGTCCGTGAGTAGTTTAAGATTGGGTTTTGGGTCTCTATCTGGGAAAAAAAGAGAATACCTTTGCTTGTGGGGTTTGGGAATTACGTTTTTTATGATGGGGATTACGATGATTATGACGGTGGTTGTGGTTGTTGTTGTTGTTGTGGTTATTGTTCTGATGAGATTGATCGATTATTGGAGGTGTAACCAGACTCTCAGGTGCTGCAACAGCGGTTTTCTTTGTCTTCTTGTCATCACGAGCATTGTTGAAAATGACTGTGAATCCTTGTGCTGCTCCTGCATTACTCGCGTCCCATTCCCCAAATTTTGGTAATTGTCTTCCTCTATTTCCCTACACACCAACAAAAAAAACAGATTTGTTCATCATCAAAATTCAAAAATGCAGAATTCTGAAAACGTACGTTCTCTCAATGGTATGATTGGCCAAAGTTTGAAACTTTGTATGAAAAGAAGGAAAGTTTGAAATGACACCAACAATACAAGATGAATCAAGATTCGAGATAAGAGAATAAGAATGTTAATGTTAATTCACATCCGGTTTTGTTCTTACCGCTGCCATTGTCGGAATCAGAACAGAGGAGGGTCTTGAATCTGATACGTGGAGGTGGAGAAGCCAAAATCTGATGATCTGGGAAAAGAGGAGATGAAATTTGTAATATAGAGGAGGAGAGAGGAGACACCGTCGTCGTCGTTTGGAAACAGCAACAATCTCCTTTTCTTCTCTTACACCTCCTTTCTTCTCCTTCCCGCGGATTTCCCAACAGAATTACCTAAATTAAAATTAGTAAATTAAAAACATTAAAAAAAAGTAGATAAGGTCATTGAGAACAAACGTGGAACATGACAAAAGTCATATATATTCAGTGTTTCATTATTCGTCAATAATTATTTGGCTATAAATTCCGGCAGCCTATAAATTCGTCAATAAAACATGGCAGGCTATAATTATTTATGGAATTTGTATTATTGGCAAATATTCATTTACGGTTTTAGCAGAGCTTCGATGGATTTTTACAATTATAGTCAGTTCATTTTCAAATTCCACCTAAAAACAAAAATTAGTTTGTAGATTTCTTTTAGATTATGGCGTTTTCCGCCAATATTAAATATCCGTTAAGAGTAAAAAGACCAATGTATATCATTACGTTTTAGCCAGTTGAAGTGAATTATATATTTATGAGAGAGACAAAGTCATACTTCTGCAAAAATTACTTAGGTTTCGGATTAATCCGTGCTAAAGTTTTGACCGTTCTCTGTTTAATTTCCAGGTTCTATCTAATCTAGCTAAGGTTTCGTCAAAGAACTATAAAATAATATATTCTTGTGGGCTGTTACCATATTGCGTTCTAGGATCGCAAATGGTTGGCGATCAAATGGTAGAATATTTCATCAAATATTTTGTAACTTTTCTTTGTATAAAAAATGTTACTTTTCAACTTAAACAAACACAAAGGCGCTAATGATGGTCAAACACTAACAGCGTAATTCAAGCCTAAAAGCAAAGTCCCTCAAGCCAAAAAATAACTTTACAGAACTAGTGGAAATAAAAGACTACGAAACTACGGGTGTGCCATTGTTGGGTTTTGTTTTTCTAGGCCCGTAATAAGATTTATCCCATAATCGCAATAACAAGTGTAAATAAATAGCTCTCAAATTTCAAACACATCTGAAACTTAACAAAATTTCATAAGGACATAAGGGAGCTAGCCGACACGATGGGTTTCGAGGAACCAATGTGTGAATAGCTTGAGATTCCTATGAATTGTCACTCTCTAAGTTCGAAAATGAATCAAGTAGACCAAGTGTTTAAAGATGAATGCATTGAGAAATGATTTTTTTTACCGAGATGTAGAATTAAAAAAGAAATAAAGGAATCAGTAATATCTGCTGTAAAAAAAACAAGCATTAACTATTGATGACCCCCTCGAGAATGTAAAACACCGGAACAACACCAATGACCGACCGGTCAAGATCTCTCCCTTTGACGTAGATATTATCACGATCTCTATCACTATCAATCCAACTACCTTCTAAATTTTTTTTTAAGACCATCTCCAACCTCATGCCATATGTTATTGCAAATGGCAAAAATATAGCAATAGCATTGGGTTTCTCTCCAACCCCTCATGCCATATATCATGCTATAATTTTTTTCCAACTTATTATTAATTGTTAAAACTACTTGATTTCTTCAAATTTTACAAAGTGAATCATTTGTTTTTCTTTTTTGCAAAAACAACCAGAATTATATATTTTATTTTTTATTATTATAATATTAAAACAAAATACATCATATTACATAAAAATTATAGAAAACAAAGATTTTAACCTATTGTTTTATGTTTTTTGAATTTCAGTATTTTTAAAAATAAAATTTAAGTTTATTATGGTTATGTTTTTATATTTCTATGAAATAAATATTATTTATATTTTGAAAAAGTTATGAGTATTGTTTATTTATTTAAATAAATCATAATCAATATAATTAAACTGTTAAATTAAAAGTAATTACAAATTGAAGGACTATTTTATAAATAAAAAAGTTCAATGGCAAAATAGCATATTGCATAATCTCATGCCAAATATAGAAGCAAAAATAGCATGATGCTATTTTGCAATAGCATATGCAATTGGGTTGGAGCAAAAATTATGGCAAAATAGCATATATGTCATATTTAGCAATGGGGTTGGAGATGCTCTAACAACATGATTAATCAATGGGCTCACACTTAATGCCACACTGCTTTGGCGACACGTTAGGTTGTGAACCTTATGGTCACTAAAATTAAATTATGATGACAGCACAATGTAACCGACAATGGAGAAAAATAATGGTCCAACAACATATGTCAATATAAATAAATGAAAACGTATAATGTACTTCCCATTGAAATTGTCTGTAGTACTAACCTATTAATTTATGCCAATATTTATCAATGAAACTAACGTCTAATCAGTAATAAGTATTACAATCATTGTCATGATACAACAGGAAACAACACCACGTATGTGTGAAAATGAAAAAGAAAGCATTCACTATTCGGTTGGAAGTTTTGGTTTAGAAACTATAATTAATTTATTGAAGAACAATGTGTACATGACTAGTTTTCTTATAAGAGAGCATTCACAACGATGCTATGAGGAATGTTCGATTTGTTTTTGGTCAAAATGCTACGAGGAATTAAATCTCACTACCAATAAATTTATTTAATTTTGGCTGGGGAAAATCTAATTAATTTATGTGATCAAAATGGCACAAAAACCGAATTTGGATCCTTGTAATTTAGCGCAATAAATAGACGCCAGATTGTAGGCACCTACCATCTTCTACGTTCGCATCATTTGTTTCACATGCACATTTCAGCTATTTTACATAAACAGTGGTCAATAGATTATAGATAAGATATAGTGAAAAAAAATAAACTAGTAGTAATTTGATACGTGGCGTAGGATTATATTTCTATTTTTTTGTTAACGTCAGTAACTTTTAATCACCGATCAAGGTTTCCTTTGAACAAAGTCTTAATCACCGATCAAGGTTAAGTAAAGTTAACTACACTTAAGCATAGTTTTTTTTTGGTTTTAACTTTTAAGCATAGTTTGTTCGCTAACGTCTGTAAATAAGTTTACTGACACAAGTTTATTGTTCGCTAACATCTTGGTGTATTCATCCGCCACTCATCGTCTTAATTATGTAGTTCCCAAACCCATACATAAAAATTTAGTATCATTATATGTATACTTTTGAAATTGTATTGACCAGTAAGTAAATCGTTATTTAGCTTGATGTGTTTTCTAAAAGAAATTACCACAATCAGAACCCCCGAGAAAAACATATTTCATCAAATATTTTTTATTCATTTAATTTGTTACAAATTTGAACATGCATCATTGTACATACGGCTTCTATGAAAATTTAGTCGCCGGATTTCGTAGCTGCGACAGCCGACATGTTGCGAGTGTTTCCATGAGAGGTGGATGTGATATTTAATGGCTAACTAAAAATCTCTCCACATCCAACTGCATTTAACCACCTCTCCAATCTCCATGCCTCATCTACTTCATTTTTCTATTTACTTTTTTTACAACTTATCTAATATATCTGCCCATATGACTATATTAATGAAGTATTCAGGTAAATTGTGTTATTGCCTATAATGGAACGCTAGGTCCGACCCTAAGTACAGTGCATTGGTACTTTTCAACATATACTATTGAATAATGAAATTGCTTGTGGCTTATTGGCTTGGATGATATCTAACAAAAATAATTTAGATAGTATTCGTAATCAACAATCTAGTGGTGTTGGCTGTGTTTTGGAATTTCAGGATAAGACGACTGGTCTGAGAGGTTCAGAATGCAGTAGTTGTCAAGAACACAAAGACTAATTTGCTTAGCCAAAAAAGTGCAATCTCGGAAAACAATATTACTATCTTATGCTCTTTATTGGTTCAATAATACAGAAAATATAATTATTTAAACCACACTGCACAACAATTAAAAACTTTACCCTTATTATTTAAAAACTCTGGATCTTATCTCTCGAAATTCGTAAAATTAAATACACATATTAAATTGAAAAAATAAAATACACCATTTGCATACAAATTTTTTTTGTTTCTTTCTCTCCACACTAGACATATATATACCACAACGACCCCATGAAAGCTTTGATTCAAATCTCAACCTCCTTTCACAATGCCTTCCTCCATCTCTCTTATCATCGCAGCCGCCGTCTCCGGCGCGATCATCCTCTTCTCCACCATATCCTCGGCGGCGCCAGTTTCCGGTGTCCGCCGTCCATTCAGCAAAATCTACGCCTTCGGCGACTCTTTCACCGACACCGGAAACTCACGCTCCGGCGAAGGTCCCGCCGGATTCGGACACTTGTCAAGCCCTCCATACGGCATGACTTACTTCAAGCGACCCACAAACCGTTATTCCGACGGACGTCTCACCATCGACTTCGTGGCACAGTCGTTGAACTTGCCGTTTCTGCCACCGTATCTCCACCTCAGATCAACTAAAGGTAGTAACGGCACCGCTACGGACTCTTACGGCGTTAACTTCGCCGTCTCTGGAGCAACGGTGATCAAACACGCTTTCTTCAGGAAGAACAACCTGACGTTTGATATGACTCCACAGTCTATCGAGACGCAGCTTGGCTGGTTCGACAAGTATTTAGAGACACTTGGAGAGAAACAGAAGGTTTCTTTGTTTAAAGATTCTCTGTTTTGGATCGGAGAGATCGGAGTGAACGACTACGCGTACACACTTGGATCTACTGTTTCAAGCGACACCATTAGAGAACGTAGTATTTCCATATTTACAAGGTTTTTGGAGGTAATATTTCTATTAAATTAATTTATTCCATAGTTAACGTACAGTTTATCATTGATCTGAAGATTTTATTTATGCATATATTGCAAGTCATGCTAAAAAGAAGTGCTCCAACCGATTAGTCATGCTTAAGGTAGTGGCTTGAGATATTTCGATAAAACAAGAACTCCGTGAATGTGGAAAATTATGCTAGGTTTTTTAACCGACCGGTTTGGTTGG